GCGTAACCAAAGGAAAAAGACCCCAAACAAACCAGGGGCAGCCCCAAAACCAAACAACCGCAAACCGGGGAGGAGATCGCCTGAGCCAACTTGAGCCAAAAAGGCTTGAGCCAAAATCGATTGATGCTTGCTTGCCTGGTTTGATTGATTGGTTGACTGATTGGCTGGTTGAGTGACTGATTATTGATTGATTGACTGATTGATTTTTGGTGCGTTTATCACACGCCTTTTTGCATCAGCACGAGTCGAACTTCCCGAAACCCTACTTAAGGGGGTCCCCCAGGGCACTCACGCTGTTTTTTTGGAGGCGCTAGCGTCCTCACCTCGGGGGGGCGGCGGGAGCTCGCTCAGTGGGGCGTCGCCAGTCCAACTCGCCAGGGGAGACAGGCCCGAGGAGGAGGGAGAGCAAGGCGGACCAACGGGCTGAAGGCTGAAGAAGGGCCGGCGTGGAGCGAGCTAGAGCAGGAGAGAGGCTGCGGAGGTCTCAGCCGACCCTACGCCGACGCCGAGCCCGGCCTCGCCCTGCGGGAGGCAACGAACAGACCACAAGCGCCGGAGCCAGAGGAGCCGTGCTCCCTGCCATTGCTTCCGCCCTTGGCCTGGGTCGGCTCGTTGCTCACCAAGCCTTCCGGGCGGGTCAGGGACATTGTTGTCAGTGATTTCTTTCGTCGCCTGGCGCGGCAGTATGCCGCGCCCCTCCAGGAAGCGTGCGGCCCGCATCAATTTGCTTTGTCTACTCGCTCTGGCACCGACGTGGTGGCGCACGCCCTTTCTGTTGCAACACTGCAACCATCGTCTCCGTTGATGGGGTAGGAGCCTTTGACACGACCTCTCGCACTGCCATGCTGCATGGCTTGCAGTCTGTCCCTGGCGCCAATGCTTGCCTGCCTTTCGTGCGTCCTTTCTACACCACTGCGGTTTTTCAGGCGGAGGGTGGGGAACAAGGAAGCCTTTTCATGCCGGCGCTCCACGCTCAGCCAGTGGCCCGCCCTTGCGGAGGTCCAGGAGTCTCTGCGCTTAGGCAAGCCGCTACTTTCCTTCCGGGATGACACCAACTTCGTTGTCCAGCCCGCGCTGTGTGTGTCAGACTGGTTCTTGACCTCCTCGCTGCCCTTGTGGCGTCACGCCGCATCCAGAAGGTCAAGTCCCGCCCGGGATTGGCGATCTCGATCTGGGAGACGGTTCTGTCTGGGTGGGTTGCCACTCCTTGCCCCCCTGAATCCCGCGGGCTTGTTGTGCTTGGCCCGCGTTTGTTGCTGCTCAGTTGCAGCACCTGTCCGCAAGCCACGCCGGCCTGCTCCAACGCATCCGTGGGCTCGAACGAAGATTTGCAGGCTTCGTGGCTGCTGTTGCTTCCCCTCGGCGCAACCCTGCCCTTCCCCACCTCGAAGCTGGCGTCAGCCCCGCCTTGCGCTTGCAGACTGATGCGGCGGCCGCCCCCCACTTGGCATGAAGTTTTAGCCGGGGCGAGCCTGCTCCTTTGCTTGAGGACTCCGGAGATCCCGCCCGTGCTTGTCCGCGCAGCTGCACACCCAGCTTGGCCGCTCTTCCAGTTGCTTGCTTGTGTCGCAGCAGGGCCCGTTTGCTGGTCAGCTGTTCACAGTGCTTCCAGTCTCCCCTTTCGCACTTGTTCCGTACGCTTCCCTTCGACGGCTCCGATTCCCCCTTCCCATCTCCGATCGCGCTATGCCGGCGCCGTCGCCGCCTCGACCCTTTTGGCGACCACCGCGCAGCGTGCGCCCGGGCTGGGTTGTTGCGGAGCCGCGGTTGCCCTCTCGAGCGAGCGGCCACTCAGCCGGGCGCTCGAGCCATGGCGACATGAACCGCCTTGTCGACCGCCTGGATGACCGGCGCCTTGAGGTTGTCGGGCTCCCCCCTTGGAATGGAGCTCAGGTAGCGGTCGCCACCACGTTGGTTGCCTCTCTCCTCTTCCGGCGAGCCCCCGCAGACACGCTGGCCGCGTTGACGGGGCCGCCCTGCGCGAGGCCCGGCGCCGGAAGCAGCGCGCCTACCCGGAGCTGCTGCGCTCCCGGCCGTGCCGCCTTGTCGTGCTTGCCATCGAGGAGGGCTGTGAGGCGGGCCAGGGCCAGGGCCGTGACGATGCGCGGGAATGCCTCCGACGTCGCTGGGGGCACCGTCGCGGCGAGCCAGTCACCCCGTTGAAAGGCGACCACCCTATCCAAAAGCGCCCGTCCCCCTTTTTTGCTCTTTTCGCCAGACGCGCACGAGCTGCGCTCGCGGGGTCGGCAGGAAGAGTTTCCAAGCTTGTACGCCGGCCGCGTGCGCCCACCGCAACTGCGGCGCGCCAAGCCCAACACTTTGGGAACGTTTTCCTCCACGGCCGCGCGCAAACGAGTAGCAGATAATTAAAAGTGGCGTTGACAACAGGGAAGCCACCAAGCCACGCCGGAGCGTCCAATTTCGCGTGCTGACACCGCCGGGTTCCTAGCTTGCAGGATGGATTGGCAAAAAAAAATCAGAACTTTTCTTTCTACTACTAAGATGGTTGTCCAAAAAAGTTGTAAAGCCAGGCGCGCATGCCCCCGCAAAGCAACGCGCGCAAAGCTGGCCACCGCAAAACCGCGCGCCCCGAGAAGGAGACCACCATCAATGTTGCGGCAAAAGCAAACATCGCAGCATCTGCAAAACTAGAGTCAGAACCAGCGTGCAACAAGCACGGAGCCAGTACTCTGCAAAGTACCTAAGTGAACGCGCAAAACAAAGGCTTGGCAAACACAATCAGGCGGCATCTGGCAGTGGCCCCAAGACCTTCGAAACTGGGGTTCGCCTGTGAATCTGACTGCAGGTTGCGTGCGCGTGGCTTAGGATGAGGCTGACACACGCTGCGGGGGTCAATGTAGGGCTCGGGGCTTGGTTGGCGGCTGGTTTGCTGTGGGGTGTGCCAAAAATGCACTGGCCCACCAGCATCATCGCAGGTTGGCGAGGGTCAGAAAATACAAAAACAAACAAACAAAAGTGAGGGTGCCAAATTTGCAACGCATGATTAGCATTATCCAGCCTCCCCTTAGGCACGCTGGCTATTTGGTTCAGGGCGCGGGCCTGTTGCTTGGTACCAGGTGGCTCTGCCAAATCTGCACTGCGTCACCAGCATCTCATCCAGCTTCCATTTGGCAGGCTTGTTGCTTGGTGTTGGGTGTGGGCCAGGATTGGTTTATGATGAGCGCCAGGTTTTTTTGATTTCCTGATTGACCTTCGGGGGGCTCAGGATAGGCTTGAGGATGTTTCAGGTTGGCAAATTGAGCCTTTGCTTGGGACACTTTGGGCGCTTGAAGCGCAGGTCAGTTTCTTGTTGATGGGCAAGTGGATTCGGGGCGGTTTTGCGCGGGCTGACGGAGCCCGCCCTTCGGTTTCAAGGAGGTACTGGCGAAGAACTGGCGCGACCCTGACGCCGCGCAAGCCGAACACGCTGAGCCGATTCCTCGCTCGATCCGACAAGACCTCGTCCGAGCCTTCGACGTGCGCATGCGCACCGTGCGGAATGTGGCCAAGCGAGGCGGCAAGTTCGGCAGGCGGATATGGACTTTTTAGACGATTAAGCGTCGTGTCCTTAAGTGCCCCGTCGTTCTCAAACATCTGCAGCAAGTTCTCACCGCCCAAAATTGTTATCCCCTTCTTGGTTTATCCGGTTTGCATCCTTTTTGCCGAATCCATTTCCTGGCCAATCTGTTGCATCTGGTCAGTTGACTGGCCAAAACAGTTTGAACGTTGTACCCTAAATTCAGCGCTGCAACGAGGGGTGCAGGCGGCGCTCTTGTCATGCGGTGTCTCCGTAAGAAACGAGAGATTCGTGAGAAAATCCAATGCAGCCGACGTAGCTACGGCTGGGCATGTCATCCACAACCACGAGAACCAGCTGCAAGGCAACCTTGCCCGGCACGTAATTCGGATGCGGATGCGTTTGGTATCACGCTGCTTTTGCGCCGGGCGCAAAAGCTTCGAGCAGTGGCACAAGCATCGCTCTGGGAGCTGCTGCACTGGAAGCGAGCCTCACTTCGGTGGATTCGGATGTGGGCGCAGCCGTGCCTATTCGCTTCAAGCAAGGGCACGTGGTAACTTGTGTTTGGCTGCGCCGCGACGAACGACACGACGAATTGTAGCGTAACGTTTCGACGGCCCCTTCGCGACGTCATGCCGTGTCTGGCATCAATCCGAATCCGCGCTGGTCTTTCTCAACTCGCAGATGCAGGTTCCAAGATGGAGCCACAGCAAATCCTCCCAATGCCACGGCATGCTTCACCCAGTTTTCCGAAACAAAGTGATCTCTGCGGGATTTGAAGCCGCCTTGGGGAGTTGCGAAGAACATGGGGGAAGCTTCCCCCACGGAGGTCCAAAGCACCTGTGCACGGCACTTCGGCCTAAGCTATGTGCATGTGCCGCCTTGTCGCTGCTTCGCAGCGCTCAGGCGGCTAAGTGATTAGTCTAAGCTCTGCTCTCCCGTTGCCCAATTCCAAGACTGCTTAGGGACAAACCAAGCAGTGGTTCTTTTCTTGCCTGAAACAGAACTCCAAATGACAGTCGCATAAATGTGCCTTTCCAACAAGTGGTGCTTAAGGGGGACATCTAGCTTGTCATTCTTATGACTTGGTTCCGTGACTTTGGTTCAACAAATGGACTCATGAGATCTCTGAGAGAAGTCGACCCTTCCGTCGGATTCAATCCAATGACTAAATCCATGGCAACGGGATGCGGAGAAACCGCACTATCTGAGCACTCCCCTCTATCAGGGGCAATTCCACGTGCCTTTGAAGGCCTCTGCCAAACCATCTGAAGAGGCAAGCTTTTGCAAGGCCTCGCTTCGCTTGAAGCTGCTGGTGAATCCAAAAGGAAACCGGGACATCTTTTAACGGGGACATCCAGATATCTTCGTTTCCAATGTCTTAAAATTGAAAAAAAGGCCACACACCCCGGCCTTCATCCCAATCAGGGAAGCACGAGTGAAGAAAGCCCATGTAATCACTCGCTGGATGTGGCCGAAATCCCCAGGTAAGAACACAAACCACGGCCTGAGGCCCCGAGAAATAAAAAAAAACCTAGCAGCACGCTTCCCTGGTTTGGCACGGTGTCTTGGCCGCGCGTTGCAAGCCCAAGCTTCAGCCCAGGTGTAGGGCTCACGGGCGGATGGCCTCACTGCTCACCCAACAGGTTCCCCACAAGTGACTGTCGTCTCGACTCTAGGGCTCAAAAGAAAACCAACAGTACACCCTGCAACGGGGGATCGAAGTGCCGTAGAGAAGGCAAATGCCATGTAAGAATATTGACTATAGGTGTATGGCGGAGGATGCATCATACACATAGATCCAAGACATTCATATTCAGGGTAGGGATATCTTAATAGAAAAAGACACACGGTTGATATGCTCCAAATGTTCACAATCTAAGCTTAACACTACACCAGGATCCAAAGTGGTCATGAATTAGACCAACCAAAGTGCCTTTCCCGCGACCCTGATGGCTTTGCAGCCGATTGTTGGACCGAACGCAGTTCATCCCCTTGCAGCCGTGAGTCATGAGCAAAAGAAATGCCCCAAGTTACGCGCACTCGGACCGGACTACATATTGGAAGCAGGCGTATCGGGCGTCCGGTTTTGGGAAATAACTACAGGGCTATTTGGCACGAACTTGAGCGCTGAGATTCGGCGGCTCAGCACCCGGCAATATGGGCTGTTCAAAAAGTGGCACTCCACTACAACAAAGGAAACAGCCACCATCTGGCATAAGTATCTTGCAGATTGACTTTGAACAACTCAGGCAAACCCTTGCCACCAGGGTTTTCCCCAATTTGGGTTTTCCTGTTGGCTTCCCTCTGAGCCAACCTTATTTTACCGGCCTCAAAATACCCGCCCACGCATGCAATCTCAGTTGCCCACAGGACCCAGAAACAAAAGGTTAACCTTTTGGGGCCATTACCAAAAAATGGACAAACACGTTGAAACTGAAATGGTGAAAAGGTGGGCGTTGGGCAAGTGAGGGAAATGGCGCCCCCTCTTTTGGGGTGGTTTTCTAGGGGCGCCCAGAAGGAAAATAACCCAACCACCCATTAAGGGGAGCATCTTTTTTTTTTCCAGGGGGGGAACCCAGAAGGAAAACGCCACCACCCCATTTTTAAGGGGAGAATCTTTTTTTTCCAGGGGAACCCAGAAGGAAAAACGCCAGCCACCCCATTTTTAAGGTGAGAACCCATGGGCTCGCCTTTCATCCTTCACCGGCCATGCCCCCCGGCCAGCGCTTGCTGCGCGCGGTGCTGCGTGTGCGCCACCCGCGCGACTCGGCACATCTCGGCGAGGTTCAGCGGTGCGGAGGAGGTCCGCGTGAGATGCCTCCGGTTGGCTTCGCATGGTTCGGGTGGGCGGTTTGGATGGGCACCCCTGGCTTTTGTAGAGGAAATCATGTTCTTTCTGATCCCCTGGAGGTTTTGGATGTTTAAGGGATTTGTTGGGGAGTTGCTGCGGTTTGGATGGGAAACACATGTTTTCTGTCAGCATCCCGCATCTGCACTCGATTTTGGCCCTTTGCTGAAAGGCCAGACTGAGTGTGACCCGTTTGAGTCCTTCCAAGAAATTGGAAACCCCGTTGTACTTGGGCGTCCCCTTGTGGGCACTCAAGAGTGGGTGACACTCCTGGGTTTTCACAACCCCCAAGCCACTGCCGAAGGGCTTGATTGGATATTCAACCACTGTGTGGCCACTACATAAAGTGTAAAGCCAATTTGTTCCTTGGTTCCCGGAGAGGGTGTGGCCGGCATGAATTTGGATTCTACAATATGTAAGCCCTGACAGGTTTGAGGCCTTTTTGAGGGAGTCTATACCCAAATGGCCATTGGCTTTGGTTTCCGTTTGGATTCCTTGGATGCCCAAGCAGCAGCCTGCCCAAAGGACAGTGGGCCTTCCGGAACCAACCTATCAGCCCGCTAAAGAGAAGCTCCTTTAAATCTGGTGACGCTTAAGTCATAAATCACCCAAACAATTTAAAGGCACCGACCTGTTGGGCGTTGGGAGAGGGGGGGTTTTGACATGTTAACCACTTGCAGGGACTTGCTGGAAGAGGGCGCCTTGCCCGGGGGGCAACAGTTGTTTTTTGTTTTATTTGGCACTCCGCCTGGTTGGGAAGATTGGCTGGATTGCAGAGTTTGCCTGTCTGTGTGAAAGCTTGGGGCGAAGTACCCAATATGCGAGGATCTGGTGGTGTTTGCCCATGCAAAGAATCAAGAGAGCTGCTTGCCGCAGCCATGTCTTGGGACTGTCCTCCACGAATCTTCGTTCAACCGGGTGATGGTGGCTCCTGTGGTTGCCCTCGAAGTCGATCAAAAGGCCCAACCTGCGACCGCCTCGGAACCCTTCTCGCGTCGAAACCAGGCATTGAAGGGGTCCAACTAAGAAATGCCACCTCCACAACTCCGATTTCGTTTCCTTCGCGGGGGACATTGCAAGACAGCCGTTCTGGGTGTTCACGGGGCTTCAATACCTCTTGGTCTGGCTAACTAAGTTCTACGGTTCCACAAAAGGCTTGAACAGACCTCGAATGGACCCGTCTTTACCTGAGTACTTGTCCTTTTGATTTCCCTTTAAACCAACCTGAGCAGGGTACCCGCACAAAATACGCCCAGGTAGTATCTCCTCCGGAACCCCTCCCTACTGCTCTGAACCACCCCAAAGCTCATTTGGGAGACCTCAAAGATGAATCAGCTGTGGGAGCAGAAAAACACGCAAACACACTCTCAAACACACATGCACGCAGGGGAAAGTGCTCGGTATGCTCACTAACAAGAGGACACCTCCTATCAATGAAGCAGAAGTTCTGCTTAGTTAAAGGCTACCCACAAAAGAACCCTCAACTCAGTTGTTCAGTAACCTGGAAAAAAAAGGGAACCCTTTTTGGGGAAGATCCTTTTCAGTGGGGCAGCCACCAAAAAACAGGGGGAAACAGGGTGCCACTGAACAAAGGAGTCAAACACACACACACACACACAGACACCAAGACACAAAAAGAAAGCTCCCAGCTCCCAGCTCCCAATGGCCCAAGCCCGCCCGAAGGACCGCGGCTCCGGCAGCTCAGCTTCCTGAATTGCTGAGAAACGCTCGTTCGCTCGTTGGCTCGTTCGTTCACGCCAGGAAACTCACCCAAAGTACTGTGGATGGACGCGAAGTGCATTTCGCACCAAAGAAACCCTGGCGTCCGAGGATTCCCCTGTAAATACTCACCAACAATGGCTTTTCATTCATGGCTTCAAAGTGGTGTAGGATTTCGTCCATCCACAGTATTGACAACCAAACAATGAGGTTTAACACCACTGCAAGTGAGAAGCCCTTCTTCGGGGTTCCCAACCTGGGGCCAAAGGTGTTGACATCTAGGACTCACCCTGGGTTCAACAAGCTACAAGCACCATTCATTTAACGCCCTCCTTTCTGGTCCTCTTTGAGAAACAGTTTGCTTAAACACATTTTGCAATCAACTCTAAGGGGCCTTGGCGGGAAGGTGATCTTCCGAAACCCTGCGATCGTCCACTTCCAGGACTCAAGATTGTTGCACGGGTACCCTGGCACCAAGGGTCGATTATTCCCCCAAGCGCTCGACGAGGAAACTGTATGCTAACTTCAGAAGCTCAACTCCAGGTCACAGTGAAGCAAACATGTTGAAGAGGAAGGCTCAGGCTCAACAACCATTGGCTCTTAACCAGATCCCAGACATAGCATAGGCGCGCTATTGGGAAAATAGATGGTCCTTGATGAAACCAATAGGTTTACCGATCGGTCCCGAAAAAAATTCAACTCAACTCAACAAAGCAAACAGTAAAAAAAAAGAGAAAGGAAACCCATGGAAACCCAACCCACAAAAACTACTTGTAATTCTCAACCCATGTGAAAGACCCGCTTCTGGACACGCCGCTTTGGGCGCGCGCGCGGAAAACTTCGGCGCCTCGGGGCGGCGGCCCAAGGTGGCGCCCAAGGTGGCGAAAGGCACCCCGCGCCTCAGCGAGCCAAGCGGAGCGAGCGGAGCCGCCCGAAAGCGAGCGGGTCGCCTCACCCGGCCCGGAGATCTGGAGCTCTCTCTCAAAACGGCCTCTTTTGGATCCAAAACCAAACTTGGACATATCTGCAAAAAATGGTGGACTTGAAACAAATGTGCTTGAAGAATTGAGAGATTCCCATCAAACCAAAATGGGTGTCTTGGGGGAATCTTCAGGTTGGTCCAAGAGGACATGCTCAAAACCACTTTGAAGGGGAAAGATGGGGGACCGAAGGGCAACACCTGCCAAGATGTGACAGTTTCGGGCCAAGACTAACAGTCTCACACACACCCAGAGCTACACAACTGCAAACCAAAAGAAAATAGGGCATGCCGGACACCAAAACCAACACCGCCCCATTTTGACCAGGCTCCCCATATTTCCCCTTTGAAGCATCACCCCACCAAAAGGCCACTACTCACATTAGCGTGGCTGTCCTCCTCGTTTCGCGTGAAATCAATCCCACATAGGGTACCCTAAGTCTCAACAACAACAACACACACACACACAGAAAATGTCGGGACCCGCCCGATTCGCGGGTTGAGTTCCGCGCCAGGGTCTGCTGCTGTACCATTTCTCGATGGCCTCCGGAGCAGTCGCCCGGCTCCGCACCTGGCGAAACCAAAAGGGGGAGACCCACCAATTCGTGACCCCACATGAAACGGACATATAGCTTTTTGGTTGGGTAGTAGGTGCATGGGTGGCTTGGTTGGTGGGTTGGTAGGTTGGTTCCATGCAAACAAAACGCGGTCGGGGTACAAACAAAAGGTCGGCGCAAAGGCGTCGAACGGAGACATTTCTTTGTCGATCCCATCAGCAGGGTTTGCTTCTTGCTGGGAAACCAAACAATGAGTGGCGAACTTATTGAAAAACAAAGAGAAGAGAAAAAAAAATGAAGAAACAAAAACTCCCACGAGGGGTGTGCCGACTTTTTTGTTTTAAAAGGGACCCCCCACCAAAAAACCCGGCTGGCTTCCTTTCAAAGGCTTCAATTTTCTTCCAAGCCGCCAGAGAGGGGCCCCATCCCTCGGCTCCGCGCCTCCCAGCCCACCTTCTTGGAGAAGACCGTCTGGGTGGGTTCCACCTCAAGCGGATGGCCCCAGGGGGGGCGGCGATTCCAAGCATTCTCTTCAACCCATCCTGCTTAAATAAAAAAAATAAGCAGAACAAAAAAAGAAGAAAAAACATGAACTGTGTCGCCCGGCTGGTTGATGGGTTTCGGAAAAGGATGTGTGTTTTGGGGCCGGAATATGTCCCCGAGAGCGCGATGGAGTGCCAAGGCTCCCTGAAATCTAGGGTCTGATTCCAAGCATTCTGTTCAACCATCCTTCTTTTTTTCAATCACGCTCTGCTTCACCTGGCTGTTTGATGGTTTGTTGGAGAATCACCGCTATTCATCTCCCATGACCGAAGCTATTGGTTTTACGTTTCCCCAGCCCCGGATGAATTATTGGGGTCAAATACCCATGTGCCCAAATACCCGTGTCCATGGTCAGTATGATTGGTTCCTTTCACGAGAATCTATGGTGTTCCTTGATCGCTATTAAAGGTCGAGTCCCGGCTACCCTGCGAGTAGGAGAGTGTTTTGAACATGGTTGATCTGGGCATGTGTGTGTTTTTCTCTGCGGGTACCCTCTTTGGGGTGGTTTAAAGCAAAACCAAAACAACAAAAAAACAGGGCCCCCCGTTCAAAGGGAAAATAAAAGGAGCCCAGAGAGCAAAACCACCCTTTGGGTTCCCTCAAAACACGGAAACTGTTCGCCCATGCGGGGGTGGTCAGAAATATGGACACTGTTGGGACCTGGTGCCGCCTTGTGCCCCTACTTTTGACACACCTTCGGGCTCCTGAAAAAAGACAAAACAACGCTTCAAACTCAACTCAAAAAACAAACACACAAAAAAAGAAGAAGAAACGGAAACGTTCCGCCCCATGTGACGTTCCCTCGGGCCCCGCGCAAGCAAACTCTGGCGCGGGGGGTGCGGGAACTCTGGGCCCTTGCCCCAGGAGCCCTGGCGGGCCTCGGATCGGCGCAACTCAGCGCCCCTTTGACCCACCTGGGTCACCCTAGTAACTAAGCTGTTTCTGGAGTTTATCTTTTGTTTTTGGTGTTTCCCCTATGAACAAGCAACTTATTTCCCGAGCTGTCTTTGGAATTACTCTCTTGTTGTCGTGCCACCCCTGTGAACAAGCTAAGCGGTTTCTGGAGTTGTTGTCTTGTTGTTGTTACCCCTATGAACAAGCAACTTGTGGCTGAGTTGTTTCGGACGGCACCCCGTTTTTTGTTCTTTGTTTTTAAATAAATATATATATATATATAAAATAAACACTGGAAAAACTACGATTTTGGAGGACCCTCTAAAAAAGACACACCCTGGTTGTTCTGTGGAACACTCCCCTATTCACCGTCTCTTCACGGCAAGCGTGTGCTCAAGGCTTGTGCACTTGGCTTTTCGTACCCTCCACACCCAGGCTCCCTAACAAACTGGAAGGCACAGTATGGTTTATCGGGTTCTTGATGGCTTTGATTCAGTTGGGCTTTTCTCAAAATGGTGGAACCAAGAAGACATGCTTGGTGTCCTTGTTCGCACCAGGTCCAAAAAGAAAAAGAAAAAAAGAAACAAACACCTGCAGATCAACGGGCGCAAGCCAAAAGCCCAACTTGGCTTCAGAAAGGGAATCTCATTCTGAGGATCAGCCCCCGTTTCGTGGGCTCCATGGTGGGGATTTGAATCGAAAAACGCAGATCCAAATCAAACCATGGTAACGACAACCTAGTTGATGTTTTATCCACTCTGGGGGTGCAATGGAGGGTTTCCCAATGGAGGGTTTCCCAATGGAGGGTTTCCAAATGGAGGGTTTCCAAATGGAGGGTTTCCCTTTGGTGTCCTTCAAAGGAGGAAACACCCTCTTATTCGTCTTGCCGGGGCGTTGGTGCGGTGTCAACACCGATTCTCCGCATGATATTGAAGAAGCGTACCTAAAAGAACATCAAGAATCTAAGGGCGGAAAGGCGCACCTCCGGTGAATGCCCTAAAAATGTAAGTACACCAATCACTCTCAACCCCAAAACCTAGATTACCATAAAATAGGGGAATCCGTAGTTGCTTTGCTTGCAATATTTAGGGCATTCACCGTATCACTCGTTGGGAATACGTAACTTCACACTTTGATTGCGGCTCACTTGGGACAGTTTGGGCCGTGTGCCTGAGGTTTTGACGTTCCCCCATTTGCTTAAGTCCCCAGAATAAATAAAGACTTTCCAGTAGTCATAGATCCCCTTTAGAACCAGCCACACAAAATAGCTATATGTATTTCTACCCATATATTGCCACAAAAAAGAGAAACACGCACACACACACACACACACACACTTATCTCGAGAGGCTTCACTAGCCGAGATGAAAAACGCAGTCAGTAAAAATGCGTGAATGCAAACGCAAATCAACAGGTCACAACATCGACACCGAACAGGAAGCAACAGCGACAAACAGAAACCGCAAAAGGAATCAGGAAAGAGGGTCAGGAAATAGGCAGGTACGCCGGATTGATCAGATCCGGTATCCACCGAAATGCCGTAGCTTCATTGGACTGGATAGGCAAATCGGCTCCAGTCCCCCTGCTGCTTAAAGTTTTGCGTCCGTGCTCCAGGACGGTTCACACACACAAGGCCCCGAGTGGGGCGGACACGAACCACACAGAGGGAATTCCACCAGGGGACCGCCAAAACCCCGCGGCAACAGCAAAAGATTTTCAAAGACGAAAAACCGGGCGCACAAAACCAAGCAGAGGGAATTCCACCAGGGGACCTCCAAAAACCCGCAGCAACAGCAAAAGGTTTTCAAGGACGGAAAACCCGAGCACACAAAAACCACACAGAGGGAATTCCACCAGGGGACCGCCAAAAACCCCGCGGCAACAGCAAAAGAATTTCAAAGACGAAAAAACCCCAGCAAATCAAAGGAGGTCAAAGGCGTCGCTTGAACGTGAACGTGAATTGAACTGATCTGAGTCGGTGCAAAGCGTGAACCGATGAACTGCAAAGTCGGTGTCTGACCGACTTGTCACTCGCGCATGAAGCTGCCGATGCCTGATACCTCATGAGAGCTGCCTTGTTCAAAGTGCAGGCAGCGCAATGCGAATGAAGCTGTCAAAGCCTGAGACCTCATGAGAGCTGCCTTGCGAATGGTACCTCACCTGCAAAATTGCTGCCTTGATCATGGTCAATCGCGCTGAACTGAACTGCAGCTTGAATTTGAACACTTGAACGGTCTTCCCCTCGCAGGGGGCTCCCGCATGTGGCGAGTCCAGCCCACAGCGCCATGTCGGACAGGCCGTGGGTAAACACACTTATCTCGAGAGGCTTCACTAGCCGAGATGAAAAACGCAGTCAGTAAAAATGCTTGAATGCAAACGCAAATCAACAGGTCACAACATCGACACCGAACAGGAAGCAACAGCGACAAACAGAAACCGCAAAAGGAATCAGGAAAGAGGGTCAGGCAAAAAGGCAGGTACGCCGGATTGATCAGATCCGGTATCCACCGAAATGCCGTAGCTTCATTGGACTGGATAGGCAAATCGGCTCCAGTCCCCCTGCTGCTTAAAGTTTTGCGTCCGTGCTCCAGGACGGTTCACACACACACACACACACTCACCATGAAACACGTCTTAAGCCTTCAGTTCCAATCTCAGGCCGCCGCCTCGCCCATGCCGAAACCAAGCTCGGCGCTGAGCCGAAAGCCAAGTCCGAGGACTTTTGCGCGGGGTCCATTGTCTGTTCTGCCCCAGGGGTTCTCACAAACATGAGGGGTCTGGCGAAAAAACAAAAAACAAAAGGAATACCCCTTCTCTTTCGGTCGCCTGTTGCGGGGGAGGAAAAAAAAACAAGAAGTGGCTAGCGGCCATTGCACCTAAATTCACTTTTAGCAGGTGGGACTCAACACCTGGTTGCCAATATGTTTGGTGAGTTGTGGAGTGAAACACTTCGGTTCCCCTTGTCTGCTGCGCCCAATGACTTACACCCAAAACCTCCGCACCTTGTTCGTGCAATCAGCTGCCCTGGGCTTAAGTCAAGCTTGGGGGCATCCAAAAAAGAGGGTCCCAGGCTACATCGGGGAGGGGGGCAGGCCTTAGGCTCCCATGAGCTCGCTCTACGGAAAAATGAAAAATCCTAAGAAAATGGGCCCAGTGCCAGTGCTCCCTCCATTCCACGCAGGTTAAAGGCGAAATAGGACCAACTGGAAGCTGTTCACTTCCCAACCCCCCCCTCCCACCAAAACAAAAAGAGAAGAGGCATTTTGATTTGGGTTTATGTCCACCCCTTGGTGGCTCAGCTTCAGGAGAACATGAAACCGTTGTGAGGTTCCAAAGCTGAGAGACCTTTTTCATCCAGCTCACTTGTGGGGGAGTTGCAATTACAACCCCCGCTCACCCTTTTGTGATCATTTCCCCACCAGTAATCCCAGGGGGGAATACAAAACCTCCGACTGAGCCCTTGCTCCCTTAAAGTAGTTCGACTTCCCTACCACCTTCTGTTTAGTACCCCTTAAAGCAATGTCGCTAGTTTGGGGCTCCAACTCATTCAAGCCAATCGAGGCGCTCCAATTTGTCTGCGCGCTCGGCCGCAATGTTCGCAGCCAGGGGTGCGAAAAGGCAAATGGGTATGTCTTTCTTGGAGGGTCTAGTACCCTTATCTACGTTGAAACAAGATCAGCCGGGTGATGTGGTACCCCTTTTTGTCTTGGTCGAACGAAACCAAAGAGACACTCAACCAGCTTCGTGGCTCTCGATTTGACAAACCCAAATGCTCTCGCGCATAGGAAGCATGCGCAAACCATGCCTCAGTGAAACGAAGGGCTTTGGAGACATCTGCGTCTCAACCAGGGCGTCGGAGTTTTTGACCCAGGATAGACAAAGCCCTGGTCGATCAATGGGGTGGTTCATGTCTCCCTAAACTTCCCCCTTACACATCACCCCAAGAAGAAACTCAGCCCAAAAAGGTGAGAAAAATATAGGGACCCCTGGTTCAAGAAGGGATCTTCCACTTCGGTTCGTTTCATTTCTGTCGTTGGGGCCACCACCAAGTCCCTTGCCAACCATGTGCCACTCACATATGAGCTACCGTCAAAATCACTTGTCTTCGTCAAGGAGGTGTTTATGTAGTTATCGCTCTAATCTTATCATTTTTGGTGGGGGCCCTATCGTTTTGCAAGGCTTTCTGCATATTTATGCTGCCAACCCTGCTCTTAAAGTGATCTGCGCATGCTTTGACCGTGACTCATATGGATATCCAGAAGCAAGCCTTCCATGTGCGAATATCGCGCAGCCAACAACTGCAACGGGATGCAACGGGTAGACAGCCATGATGATTGTCCTTCAGACCCAACAGGAAACAATGTCATTGCTTTTTTTCTAAACCCTAAACCCTAAAGCAACAAGAGGTCTGTCAACTCGTCCACCCCAGCTCCCAAGTGTTGCACTCATCGCGAGAGCCTGGCGTGATGGAGTGAAGCTAGGGATCCTCTAGGAAACCACCAGTTTGATTGCTTAGATGCGGGTCGAATCAGCAAGCAACAGGACCGGGATTGCTTTTGCTTCCCCGTTCAAAGGGGCCAGGGCCTGGTTGTTGAAACCAATGTTGCCCCAAGACTGGACAATTTTGAGAGGCTGGCATTCCAATATGAGTGGAATTGTAGTCTGTGCAAACGCGTGTATACTCTGCATATACATGTGTATATATATAAAATGTATATTCAAGCGTATCATAAACAGAGCATGTGATGTGTCTAAATAGAGACGTTATGAATCATGATACCCATGTCAGGCTTGTCCGGCAGACTGCGAGACAAAGCTCCGCTCAAGGAACTTGTTTCAACCATTTCAACAACAAACAATGATTGAGACCAATGAGACCAAAACGCAAACAGGGAAACCAATAAGACCCGCAATTAGTCAATTCATACACACATGCTTGATCTACGCAAAAACACATGCACGCACACCATCCCATTTGCCCAAAAAACAACTGCCAGCCGCGTGGGGGCAATCAAACCTATGTTGAACTTTGCTGATGCCTTTTATATCCGAAAGCTTTCGCAATTGGATTGGGTGTGTGTGTTTTGTTGAGGGCACCCTTTTGTAGATTGGTGCAAATGGAACCAAAGGGGAAAAATGGCAACTCCTTGAATTTGTGGGTTTCCCTTTTTCCCCATGTTGCGGGGAACCGGTTTGGTTTAGGGAACCCCGTTTTGTTGTAATTATGTTGTTTAAACCGTGAAGCCCCACAACTTCTACCATAAAAGTCACCCTACCCCTAATTTGTGGTTTGGTGGTTCGGGGGTGGTTTACCATTCACCCTCCACAAAAGCCAACAGTTCAAATCCGAATCCAAACCACCAATCCAAACCACCAACTAGTGAGACCCTGAATACACCTGTTCCGTGGGGTACACATCCCCATGTTTTTACGTGTCTCTCGCTTCAACCCTGCGGGGAGCCCCCACGGCGTGCCTTTCCAGCGCGAGGTCCGGCCTGCCCAGCATAGTGGGTGTGTCACGTGGGTGCTTCGGTTTCCTGTTGGCTTCCTGTAAAAATATCCCCAAAACGCTGGCCTTAGGCACCATAATGTCGCACTCAACATGGACGACCCTCCCATAAAAGGCTGAAACCATTCAAGATCAAACCAAAGCGCAAGCAAGGCATCAGGTTCAGTGAGCCTGAGATGAAGTCACATGCCAACGCGCTGCTTTGTTTACGAGATGCCTACCGACATGGATCACCCGCACCCGGCAGGTTCGATTCGCATCTTGTTTTCCCTTCGCTGCGCAACCTGCCGTCGACTCTCGGGACTTCATCTTTTGATCCATCTGGGTCAGGGCGGCCCTGCACATCCGCCAGTTGCTGTGGTGCCCGCGTGGCGCTGGGAGCCAACTTCTGCGGCGATCTGCCGGAGATCGCCGTCGGGCGTCGGGCGATCGCGGTGCGCTTGGAGAGCCAGGATGAGCCAGGCACGGATTCCCCAATCGCTAACTCTTTGCATAGCCGCCGCAGGGCTCAGACTTGGCGTCCGAGCTGCTCTTCAAGCACCTAACAGCACAGAGTTGGGCCGTTGCGCCCGCGTGAAAAGGCAGTGGCTCAAAAAACCGGTACCAAAATGGAACCCTGGGAAGTGGAAACAAAGGCCAAAACCTGCGGAACCCCTCCTGGTTAATTTTGAGCCACACCCAAACGAACTAACTAATCATGCTGCACTTACTTGCCCCGTTTTGTTGTGTGTTCTCCAAATAGGGGGCCCCTAAACTGGCATCTTTTCCTTGGGTTCCCCTGCAAAGCCATCAAGACCAGAGCGGTCCGCCTTTTTGAGAACCCCTCCCATCCCCGTCCCCAGTCCCATGCGCAGGCGCACGCACATGCGCGCGCCTTTTTCTCCCCGCGCTGCGCTGAAGGGCCTCAGCCTCGGCCGCTCCTCCGCTCTCAGACGGCTCCAGGCGCTCCGCGGCGCGTCGAAGCCCGGCGCCAGCGGCGCCACCTCGCCGCCGCCGCCGCGGGCGGCGGCCAGCAGCACGGCCTCGGTGTGGCGCGTGAGGCGCCAGCGGCGCCAGGCCAGCCTCCAGTGGACGGCCAGCGGACGCAGCACCTCGCACAAAGGTGGGGTTACCTTTTGGCTTCAAGCCCAAAAAGAACACCTTCAACAACACACTCAGGCAATCAAAGGGCATCACCCCTTTTTGCAGCTCTCTTGAAAAAGCTGCACCCACCGATTTCTTTCCAGCCCAGAACCTTGCCTCGAAGGCCGCGGAGTTGAGCAGCAAAGCCATGCGCCCTGTGGGCGTCAGCACGCGCCCGAACTCCGCCAGCAGCCGGGGGTACAGGGCCTCCAGCCCCCCCGCGGCCGCGAACTGCCGATCCCACGGGGGGGCTGTCATCAACTTCTCCACGGAGTGGTCTGGCAGTGGGAGGGAGCAGGCGTTGGCGACGTGAGTCTCCACCTGAGCTTCGCACTTACATGGGGGTAAGAGGACATTTGAAGTGTCGAACCCGCGAAGTGGGGCACTTTTGTTTCCCATTGCCCGAAGCAATCCCAAAGACCTTTGCCGCAAAGAGCAACTGCAAACCAGCTTCCCTCTTGGTTCTACAGTTTCAAGGTTTTGGCTTCAAATCCATTTTCCACAGAAGGGCTATCCAAACTTGACAAACGGAGGTCCAAACTTAACAATCTGTTGTTCAGCCCACCTCGGCCGACAGGTACCGGTGGTTCTCCCTGCACGCCGCCAGCTGCGCGGCATCTGTGTCGCAGCCCACGTACCGCGCCGGCCACCAAATGCTGGCCTGCGCCACAGTCATGTCCCTCCAAAGCAGGCGTCGACGCAAAAGGTGCGTCTTAGGATTGACTTCGAGTTGCGAGGAAGGTGTGGTTTTGCTCCTCTAAAAGCGCGCCCTCGAGCAAAGGGTGTGTCGACCCAAGGTGCGTCTTATGCAGGCTGAGGCGTCAGCGGGCACGCCGCCTTTTGTTTGGAGTTGGTACCCAGTTGTGCGGAGAACATGACATCCTCAGTTGCGGGTTCGCTCTCCTTGCTTTAGAACCGCACACATTTTCGCACTTTCGGAATTTACAAGGAAAGCAATCGAAGCGTCGGGGGAACGAGTGTGAGGTTTCATTGCTCTGCCAAATCGATCCCAAAGATGGTGATGCAGCGCAAGTCTTCTGCTCGCCAGGACTGTTTAGGCTTGCGAGGGAGTGACTAGGTTCACTGGTGCTGGAACAGGCAGTTTGGTAGGTCTTGCGTGGCCAAAATGAGTTCTCAACATATCATGCTGGCAAGTGGCCTCAGAGAGCAAAGGAATTTGTGTGGGCTTGCTGGGATTCTGCTTGAGAGGTGGTTGAAAAACAAGTTATCAAAGCGTACTGGGAGGAGTGCGAAGTCAAGCCTCCACTTGCCAGCTATACTGAGAACTCAATGCCGGTGTACCTGGCCACCACGTGAGACCTATCGAGTTGCCTTTCCCTGCACACCCTTGCACTATCGTGATCGATGCGGCGCTTTTATACCATGTCACATCCAAAACAACACCCCAACAACCAATCTTTGGGCTCTGTCTGGTCCCCAAAAAAGCCACACACACACACACACACCCAACAAACTGAAAAAGCTGAAGCCAACCCCCCCCCAAAAAAACAACAACAACAACAAACAAAACACAAAAAGTTCAAACCCATTTTCATGGCCTCACCTTTCAAGGGCCTCACACCTATTCAACACACCGATGGAGTCCGCTACACCACGGCCTCCGCCAGCAAGGTGCCCTTGCCACACATGGGGTCCAGCACCAGGTCAGCCGCTTGGATGTCCAAAGACTTGGCCACAGCCCAGGCCTCCACCTCACCAGACACGGTTCCCCGGCCGATTTGTTTGTTTTTTTGAGGGCGCGGGTGGGGGGGGTTGTACCCTTGGGGGGGGGGGGGGGGCTGATTTTGTTTTTTGGCTTGTGGAGTTGGTACCCGTTTGGGGAAACGCCTACCCTTTTGGTACCATTTTGTGTTGGTTTGCCAGTTATTTTGTTTGGCAATTGTTTGAAAGGAAAACCCTTCCGCTTTTGCGGGAGGTGGGGGGGAGGGTTGGCCCTGACTTTGACACCCGGGACGCTTCGAACGGACACCACCTTTGCAGCGCTCCATCTGCTATTCTGCCGTGTCTGGGAAAGAAAAAAGTGAGAGATACATCCATAGTTCAGCTCTTGGAAACATCCATGGGTTTCCCTGGATGGCAAACCCCATCTAAACCAACAGCTTCCCCATCCACCCCATCCAACCAGACTATATACGAATCCGACTGCTTTCCGCCTGCTTCATGCCCGGCTGCGGCAGGCCGCCCGCCAGGCCGCGCTGCTGCACCAGCAGCGGCACCTCCAGCAAGACCTTTCCCCCGGCGCCCAGCACCACGTGGAGCTCGAGGTCCTGAGCTGCCAACCAAAAAGCAAAGGTTTTGGAACATAGGTGTCCTTTTAGCTGAAATGGCTGTGGTTGTCAAAAAATAGGATAACCCCAAAATGGAACCATGGTAAATGGAAACATGGACTAAAACCTGCGGGTTTTCTGGTGGTTTAATTTTGACCCATACCCAAATAGATGGCCCTGGTAGATGATTAAAACACCAGGTAAGTTAGGACCATCTATTTTTCTACCTAAACAACCAAAAAGGACACCTATGTGTTGGAATCGGGGTTCTGCAAGGCTCCTAAGGAACCTCAGGCCTCTCAACTACCCAGCCCTTTTGTACCCATCCACCACTGGCAAGACTGGCACGCTTGGGGAAAATGCCCAGCCCTGGGGTCTGGAAATAAATCCAAGTGGATGAGCCAAGGGCAAAGATTTAAGGGTACTACGTCTGCAAGATGTCTCAAGTAGCATGGCCCTAAACCATCATAACCATGGACAAGGGCAAAGATGTGGGTGCGTCTGTGGTGTTGTATAATTGTGCTGTTGCAGGATTGGTTTTGAAGGAAACCAACGCGTTGAATTTTCTGGGGTCCGGTTCATATCCTTATATGAGACACGCCCATGAAACATGTTACAAAGCGTAAAGCATGCTTCTTGCGTGAACCAAGGAATTAAGCATGCAACCAAGGTTCAACCGGTTCAGCATGTGAGAGGGCACAAATTTAAGGCACTCGACCCTACCGTTTGTTTCATCCATTGAGAAGGGCGGACGCTAACCATCCTTTCCCGTGTTCATAAAAGGAATTTCATCAAGGGCAAAGATGCGACTGTTTGCGGGGTCAAAGGGAACAGTGGCATGAAATCCTAGCAAGTAGCCTACTTGTGTTCTTTTGTCTGAACAGTGCTTTTTGTCGTTGTCTCATTGTGCTGCCACACAGCCGCCTGGTTTGTCGTTGTCTGGAAAGAAGGATCCCTTGTTTTCGTTTAGTTTTTGTTTCCATTTGCCAGGGTTCCATTTTGGGTCCCCTTTTTGACCCACACCCATTTGTGTTTTTGTTTCTCGTCTGCACAGAACGGACAGGTTCGCCCGAAGGCAAGACGTCGCCAACCGGCAGAGCGTCTGCGGCGCTGCGCAGCACCTCCGGCGCCCAGTTGCGCGACGCCTCCAGGCGCAGCGCCAGCGCTCTGCGCAGCTTCAGCGAGAGGTCCTCGGGCCACGAGGCCTGGCTGCGGTCAGCGGTCTACTGAGCACCAGCAAGTAAATCTAGGGTCTGATTCCGACCATTCTTTTAAACCATGGCTCTTTTCAACAACCGATTGCTGTGTCTCTTGGGTATTTGATGGCTTCCTAGAAAGAAGGATCCCTGGAAAGAATGGGGAAGATTCCCCTAGATTAAAGGATACATCCACAGACCTATACGACTCCATTCTCTTTTGAACAGCTAAAGACTTCCCTTTGAAAACGGTCTTGGCACCCTTGGCTTCCCGCAATCCATTTTAAGAAGCCGGCAAGCCACTTGTGGCAAACCCATCCAAGTAAGCCATGCTGTAAAAGGGTCTGGTAGAAGTGACTTTTCAACTACCGCTGGGACCCTGGCAACGGACACCCATGGCGTGTCCTTGAGGTTATTGAGGGTGTAGTTTGCTTTAGGTGATTACTTGAAGGAAACCACACATTCTGGCCTGTCGTCAATTTATTAAAGCCATTTAATGGAAAATTTATAATTTCAAACAAATGACGCACACCTCGCGGAGGGAATCCTGTTTGGGGTTATTTGAGGGAACCAACGGAACCCCCTTTCTTTTGGGGTCCAAATCCTATCTAAAAACCTTTTTCGCAGTGGAAGCCCCTCTTTGGGGGGATGATGTTTACGAGAACCAAAGGGAACAACTCCCCATTTTGATTTTCGGCCGATTTGAGGCACCAAACCGCCGCCTTGCGCCGGCGCAGGCACACGTGGCAGCTGCGCGGCATGTCGTTCCCCGCCAGTCCCCACGCCGCGTCCAGCAGCTGCCACTGCGCGTTTCCGCAGATCCACTCCGCCAACGCCTCCGACGAGACCTCCGAAGAGGCGTGAGGGTACCTGGCCCAAAAGACGGGCGCATGTGTCTTTTCTCGGTTGCAAAATCTGCTCCCCTGCTAAAAGTGAATATCTTGTAGTGGTTCAATGGAAAACACATTAGTTGGCAAAAAGTTAAAGTCCGAACATCCAAGCAACATGCACCAAAGTGTTTGTTGGGATTTGGATCCTCCAAATTGGAGGGGTTGTCCTTTCCGGCTTTCCAAACAAGGGTACCCTGGGAAAAAAAAACACCCAGATTTGGAACTGAAGTGTGACCGCCCTTTAGGACCATGATCACTTCGGAAAATGGAGTAAAGTGAGCATCGCTGAACTCAAATTAGACCGGAAAAACTGCAGCTCGCCCAAAACTGGAAAGCGAGCAACTCACCTCAAACACGGAAAGCACAACAAACAAAAGGAAAAAGGAAAAAGGCAGAAAGAAAGAAAGAAAGAAAGAAAGAAAGAACAAAGAAGGAAAGAAAGAAAAGAAAAGAAAAGAAAGAAAGAAAGAAAGAAAGACAGACAGACAGAAAGAAACAAAGAAAGAAAGAAAGAGAGAGAGAGAGACAGAGAGACAGAGAGACAGAGAGACAGAAAGAAAGAAAGAAAGAAAGAAAGAAAGAAAGAAAGAAAGAAAGAAAGAAAGAAAGAAAGAAAGAAACAAAGAAACAAAGAAACAAAGAAACAAAGAAACAAAGAAACAAAGAAACAACCAACCAAACCAACCCAAACAAAGATCATGGTCGCTAAGCCACTCCTCCGCCAGCAGCACCGCGCGCACCGAGGACACCCGCCGCAAGTCTCGGAGCCGCGAAAGCGAACGCGTGTGGAGGGGCGCGTGGAAGTGCCAGCGCGACTCGTAGCCCGTGACCTGACGAGAACCATGGGACGGGCTCATTGCAAGAATCTGTCCAGTATACCTACCCTATGAAATACCTACCCGATGAAAGGAATCTGTAGCGGAGGCACAGGGTTCAGTGTTGGGCTCACGGGGGATCAATGTGCAACACAATGTCCACGAAGGCAAGGCGCTCAGCGCACCTGTTTCAGCTGTCGGACGGCCGTCAGGGGCCGATGTAATCACTATGGCTGGAAGCCAGACCTCCCGGTCTGAATAGGACAAAAAGGGGGCCCCCTATGCATGAGCCGATATGGCACACCACAGGATGACTCACCTGACATGTTGTTCAGGAAGCTGCACCAGGGAAAAAAGGACTCAGGTGATCATCCGTATAATGGGGGCCACAGGCGCTGATTGCGAACTGATTCCGCCCTCCATGAGGTCCAGGTTGTAGTGCATTCTCGTTGCTGTCATCGCCGAGAGAGTCCTGCATGCGACTCAAGGCGGATTTGCCAGCCTTCTTGTTTCGCTTTGCCGACACGAAATTGGGATCGAAGGCTATGCACCATCGCCAGGTCTGCAGAAAACGTTCTAGCCCCGAACGGCTCTCTGAACGCTTCTTGGTCATGGCGTCCGCGAGGTCATAGTCGGAAGCCAGCCATCGAAGTTCACAATGAACTCTCCGAAGATTGTCACGCAACTGAAAAGCCTGCAAGGCTGATCGAAGGTTTGACAACCCAAGCAACGGTGACTCATTGCGCTCAACAGCGTCGTAGCCACCCCGAGAGTCCGTGCACAGGACACCCTTGACCAGGACGACTTGATTCTCGGCCTGGCTGATGAGATCTTCTCGAAGAGGAGCTCGATGCTGACCTGCACCATGTAGCTCACTCCAAAGAAGCCGAACTCGGAAGTTCTGATCCTCAGCTTCCAGGATGCTTTGTACTTCGGCATCATTACTCCCAATGGCCTTGCGACGAAGCTTCCATGTACGCCAGCTGAGCAAACACATAGGGGACACATTCCCGGCAAGACATGATGGTCCAGCAGCAAGAGTCACCAGACCGCCAGTGGAATCACCTTGAGGTCGATTGGAATGTGCCTGATCTCCCATCGAGATGAAGACCACATCTGTCCATTTGGAGACACCCTCCAGCGGGAAGAACCGCAGCTGTGTGGGACATCGTCTCACCTCGCCGACCATGTGTTGAATTTCACGAGCAGTCTCCAGAGTGCCACCGGTGACCACTTCAGTGAGTAGCAGATTGCACCTCGAGCACAGCAAGGGTTGACTCTGAATAGCGAGCCACTGGAGAGCTCCCAAGGCAGTGCGGCATGCATTCACCTCAGAGACAGTGAGGGGCCCATCTTGCCGTAGACGGTCTGCAGGAATCGCTACATCCATCAGGGACTCTACGTAGAAGTCCTGGTTGACTGTTATCATGAACTTGCCGTTCTTGAGATCAACGGTGGTGACATCGGTGCCGGCATGGCGGTACGTACCAGTCTTGGTCGTGCCCCAGGTGTAGGCTTTGTTGATGGCATCGCAGATGTCCAACCATTCAGCAGAGCCACGATCACCAACTCGATGAAAATCATCTACGTGACCTCCCATGGCTCCGAGAAGACGAGGAAATTGACCAGTGCTGTCCTTTTCACTCTTGGAAAACCAAGCCCAAAGACAGCGCTCACCAAGGAGTGGTACGGCACCGAGTTTGACCAGGGTCTTGTGAAGGTCCAACCAGAGACCACGTGGAGCTGTAGTCGAGCCATACACATTGCGAAGAATTCGCATTATGCCCTCCTTTCCCACATGCAAGGCTGACCTGAGCTCTTCCACTCCTGAAGTCCAGATTTCAGCATCCGCTTCCGTTGGTTGCGTCTGCAGGAACGCTGTCGCCAGATCCAGTCCTTCAATGGGCCATTGATGCGTAGCAGCCATCAAGTACAGCAGGTTGCGACCAATCATTGATTGGACTGGGGCAGCAGTCTTGAAGGTCGGGTCCAGAAGACTCGGATGTTGAAAACCAAGCAGCACAATGCGTGCCTTGGCCTTGCGGCTACCATCAGGAGTGTGAACCGTGTCCGGGTTATTCTTGGAGTCCAGGAGAGCTTCTTGTCGATCTTCAGGAGGTACAGATTTCCAGGTCAGAACCCATCTCGCCTTGAGGATGCGGTTCGTGGAGTAGGCACGAGAAATCTCTGCATCGTCCAGGCATTTACGGACAGCCTCATTCTTCAGGAAGGAGTTCACCTCCTTGGTCTTGGCTCTCTCGAAGAGTCCACGAAGTGAAGGTGTGAGCTTCTGCAACTGCACCTCGGAGGAGTTCATCTTTTTCACCAGGAAGGCTGTGGGGTTATACTCCAGGCTCTTGCGCTGCTTGTTGGAGTCCAATGTCACATCGAAAGTGATGGAGAGGCAGTCCTCGACTTCCTGGAGCGCAGAGTGCAGGTCGAGGCTGTTGACTTCTTGTTGAGCCTCGGATTCAAGCATCTGAACCCACTTGATATCGTAGTCGATGGTGCGAGCCTTCTTGGGGTCCGGATCATAGTCATTGACATCTTCATCACCATCTTCGGGCACACGACGAAGACCAGAACTTGAAGAGGGTTCATGGCCAGCTTCAGGAACTTCAGGAGCATCGGGAGCATCGGGCACCGTTGAAAGTCCAGTTGGACTTGTAGTTGACAGGGATCGCGACGGTCCAAGCCCAATGGGAGACGATCGATGCACCCTCCTGTAATCTTCCGGCGCCATAGTGCGCTTGGTGTGTTGTCGTCGGAGAGGAACCAGAGTACTGGAATCTGGAGATGGTGGTAGATGACATTCTTCAGGTTCGTTGGCATCCGGTATCTCGTCGGTAATGTCGTGGTACTCCTTACGGGGGAGTAGGTCTGACAGCGATTTCCATCGTGTAGGGTCCTCCTTGTTGGTGAGGTCCCAGCGAAGATGCTCTGTGGGAGTGACTGGCCGGACAGAGTGCACACTGCAGCGAAACAGCTTGCCAGACATCAGCACCCAGACAATGTGACGTCTAGGATCGTCCTCCTTCTGGTGAGGCAAGACTTCCATGAAGATCACCCGTCCAGGTCCTATCCAACCAGGTCTGCCCGACTTGCGAAGACCGCCTCGAGGTCCAGTAAACTGTTCCAAGGGAAGTGATTTCCGCCAGATCTTGACGAGCTCAGTGGGCTGGAAGGTTCGTAGGGGTTGTCGTGCTTTGGAGTTGCCAAGGCGGGTCAAGATACGCTGAGAGCGAGTTTTTCGGGCAACCTCCTCGGCCTTCTGACGAGCCGCCACCAGGTTGGAGTAGGTCATGCGGTCGGAGAGCTGCATGTGGGAGCGGTGATCCTCCTCGGAGATGTTGTAGTCCCGACCAAACGCCCATTGGTGCGAGGTGAATCCAGAGGTGTACTCAGTACTGTTCAGGGCAGATGCGGCTAGAGCCAAGGTCACCGCAGGGTCTTGATCCAAGGCCTCCAGCTGGATGGCGCTGGCAGTATGTTTGATGTCTCGCACGGCATGTTCAACGATACCATGACTCCAAGACTCCTTCTCCGGCGGGAAGGTGTGATCAATGCCAACGGATCTACAGAACTCTGTGAAGCGCTCTGCAGTGAAGGACATGCCGTTGTCGGTGATGAGGTGGATCGGCTTCGGGTAGAAGCGCAGCCAACCTTCAGAAAAGGCTTTGATCATGTGTTCGGCATTCTCGGTCTTCATGACTAAGAGGTCGTAGGCCTCGAGCAAGGGAATCACGACTCGCAGGCGAGTAGCGAAATCGATGAACACAGCAAACTTGACCTTCTTGAGGAGGCCAGGCACGGTCCACTCTGCTGTGTCTACACCGACAGTTTCCCAAGGTCCATAGAGCTCGTGTGTGGCTGCTGGTGGGATAGCACCGGAGCTGGTGCCACCAGGTCGAAGAGATTCACATCCCGGGCACTTGTAGTTCTCGGCTGCCCGTAGTTTCCATTGTGGTTGACCTGATTCTCGAAGTAGACGAACCAGATTCCGGGACGTAGGATGTCCGGCAGCCTTGTGATAATGAGCCACCTTAGCTTCCCATTTGCGAAGCTCTTCTGGAGAGGGACCATCACCATCGTGAACTACCGGTGGAGCAGCAGGGGGAACAGGAGCAGGTAGAACCGGAGGTCCAGGCACTGGTACGGCAGGGTCACCAGCTGGTGGTGGATCATCAGCAGGTAGAGCAGCAGGAAAGATGTCCACCTCCTCTTCCAAGTCGTGAAGATTCTTGATGGCCGTTGCACAACGAAGTTGCCGAAGTCCAACTTCTTGATCGCGCCAAAAGCGTGCAAAGGAAGTGACCATCTTCCAAGGGTAGTAGGCCGTCTTGGCGGTCTCCTGACCAGCGATTTCACCATGAGGATGTTGGGCACAGCAGACCTTACAGCGGTAGGAATGCCAGAAGGATTCATCATTGGTCTGAATGCGCCACTTCTTCCTCAAGAACTCACCGGTGGTGGCGCGCATGTCATAGACACAGCCATCTATCCGGCACGGATTCCAGGGGATGAAGTTGGTGTCCATGTAACTCTTGAGGTCAAGCAGGGTGGATTCTTTCCAGCCCTCACATTGTACCGGCCATTCCCAGTAGATGAGTACATCAGGGTCAACCTTGAGGCAGTCCTTGATGAAAGCATTGGCCTGCTTGAGCATGCGACGTTCGCGTCGTCGATAGTCTTCAAGAAGATCTCGACGCTCAGGAGTCCGGTAGTTCAACCGATTCCAAGGACACCACTTCGTGCAAGGTAGTGAGAACCAGAGGTGCCGAGGGCGTCGCCGACGATATTCTTCTCGAAGACGCTGCCAGCTGGCCGGCTTATAGAGATCATATCCTTGTTCAAGATTGACTCGATGAGGTTGAAGACCTTCTCGATCACAGGCTTCGGATAGCCAGGAGTGAGGTGCGCATGCAATTTCCCAGAGTCCGTCACGACCATCCATGACAAACTTCGCAGTCTCGGTGGTGAGCTGGTTGAGCATGAGGGTGGCCATCAACATTACCTTCTTGGCCATGTTGTGAGAGACCGGATGAGCCTTCACTGAGACTCCTCCTCCAGCTCCTGACCGACCGCGTCCCAACTTGTCGGTGTGCTGCTGACGGATGGTTGTGCTTGAGGTTGAGGCTTGGAGACCTTCTTGGTCGGGTAGCCCTTGGAGATCTTGGTCAGGGACTGGCCGATGACCGCCTCGATGGAGGAGTGCAGAGCTTCCTCGGCCTCGATCTTCTTGAACATCGCCCGGCAGATGTCGGCCGTGGGAATGTGACCATTCATCAGGGGCTGCAGCTCGTTGAGCATCCTCAGCACCATGCCGGGGTTCTCGTTCCTGGCCGAGTTGCCATGTGACCCTTTTCGAGGGATGTACTCCAGACGCACTTGACATACGGCACAATCGATCCATTGAGCGTGTGGGTTGGACTGAGCTCGAGCAGGGAGATGCTTGCCGTAGCATGGCCATTGAGCCATCTGTGCACGGGGGTCTCGAAGGTCGATCCCATTCTTGCGACTCGGATCCAAAGGTCGGGCCGGACTGCGGCTCGGAGTACTCTTCTTGATGTGACCAATCAACTCCTCGGCTTCGGCGGTCGTCACGGTTGGAGTCGAAGGCTGAGCCATCAGCGCCGAACTGAGGAGTTCTCGAATTGCAAGGGGTACCGTTACCACCAGACATTGAGCAACTGGCAGCTGACGGGTCATGAAATGGTTGATCATCTCGAAGAGCAACCGATGCGGCATGCAGAGTTCGGAGTCTTTCACAAGATTGTTCAACCCGTACCTCATCAGGAACGATATGATCCACGGTCATGTCATAATACTCAACCGCATGGAACTCCAGTTGATGGATGGTTTCCACTTCAGGGGGTGCTTGATGGAGTACACGGATTTCCGGATGGCCTTGATCATTACCACATCCCCTAGTCAAGTAATGGACGAGGTCCAAGACATAGTGGCCCTTCTTGGTGGTCCGAAGTTGATATGGTTCTGGATGAGGGTCATGAGCATCCATAGCCAGTCCCGTGGAAAAGTCAATGATCATCGCTGAGGGGTCCCTTGCCAAGTGATCCATGCCCAGAAGTAAGGGGACCAAGCTGGTTTTGTCGAACTGGGGATGATGAAGATCCGGTGGATTGGGCAGGGCATACACGGAGAAGCTCTGGGGTTGTCCCGAACTGGTAGATGTGATAGTGACACGATATAGAGCCTTACCCCACTTACCATTGCCAAAGCGAAAGCACGGCCGCATGTACTTTTCAATCTGGATGGAAGCTGCCTTGTCCAAGGCCAAAACTGACTTGATCAGTCCCTTGACCGATTCCTCAGGGCCGGCTGACGCGGTGGCTCCACAACCGATCAGAGCTTCACCATCTTGAATATGCGGGGTGTTGCCGTTGGGAGGCAGGTCGGAGTGACTGTTGAAGAATTCCAGGCCGTGGGCATAGTACTCCGTGTTGTACATGTTCACAGGTGGACGGCCAATAGGCGATCCCTTGGGGGTTCCTTTGGAGCCTTTCCAAGCAGCCTGAAGATCTATCCAGTTGGCGAACTTGCCCTTGCGCCCCTTCGACTTGCTCTTGCCCTTGCCCTTGCCGATGAAGTAGTCGTCGTGGTACGTCGCGAAGTCGTCGACGTAGTGCATGAAGCGACCCTTAGGGCGATTCTTGGCACCCGGATGGGACCGATCTGGGCAGTCCCGAGCGAAGTGTTGACCTCCGCATCGAAAGCACCCGGTGTCTGAGGAAGACATCGGTTTCTGATGGCCAAAGCCACGATCTCGTCGAAGAGCAGCTGTAGCTCGCTGAGCTTCAGTCCATGTACGCTGGGCCTCCATGGCGAGGTTTTCCGCCATGCGCTCAGCGGCTTGAGCTTCCTGTAGTTGAGGGTCAGCAGGATCATCACCTTGGAGTTGATGGGCTTGAGCTTCAGAAGGTTCAGATTCTTCAGGGATGTCGCCGTACCCGTAGTACTGGTCATAGTTAGGGTCCGTCCAGGAGTCCCAGTCGGTCTCCGCGGCGTAGTCTTGAAGCCACCAATCGGACTCCTCCATGGGGGACTCAATCATGTTTTGGTAGTGCCAGGAAGGACGAGGTTGGGATTGATGTGATACTCCCGGTCTACCTAGAAGCTGTTCGTCCCACATGGTCTGGAGAGCCTTGACGATGACCTCAAACTCCAGGGATCCACGAGTAGCAGAAACGATGTCACGCTTCTCGTCAGCATTTAGTCCCGCCGCCTGTAGCAGTCGAAACCCACGAAGTACTCCAAGCACAAAAGAATCTGCCAAGGAGAATCCAGGGTCATCCGGACCAACTGCGGCAGAATGCCGACTTGGTGTGGATCTCGGTGGAGGTCGAAGAGGGGAGCCAACTGATCCATCGGTGTCACCAGCCGCAGGTCTGGGTGTAGGTGAGGGAGAAGGTCGAGCACGGTCTCCGCGATCATCATCATCATCAGGATCAGGTTGATCCTCACCCAGCTCCGCCTCGTCGGTGACATACTCCTCGGGAAGGTCGAAGTCCTTCTCGTGCTGTTCGATGCCCATCTTATCATCCTTAAGGCGTTCCAGCGCCTCGATGAATTCGCTGTAGCCGAGTGCTTCCCGTACAAGGAAAGCATGCATTGCTTCTCCATGTTGGCGACGAAATGCAAAATACTGCTGGCAAATTGCTGCAGCATTCGGGAGGCTTTGCCTGACCAGCGGACTGCTGGCCAAACGCTGTAGGTAGAGCTTAGTGCCGCCAACGTGATCAAAATCCGCATTGCGCCATGACATAGCCAGAAGCCTCGCAGGGCCAGACAACCGACTCACCAGTTTGGTGGCGCAATACCTCCGTTTATGATATGGCGTGCTGCGAACGAACCATGACACTTCTCGAGTGTAGCGTCTCCAGGAGCGAGCAGAGCCATCCCAGGTGGGCACATGATGTTCCTTCTCAGCCATGGCTTGAATAGAAAACTGTAAAGCAAGGTCCAGGTCGTCTCACCTGTAAGTGCAGAAAATAAAGGAGCGCCGCCAAAAACTTGAAGACCAAGCAGCAGCAATGAAGCAGGGGAACTTCAGGAGATCAAGATTCTTTGAGAATCGGCTCAACTGAAGAGGTCCAGGCTCGTAGCGCTCCGCTACCAATGTAGCGGAGGCACAGGGTTCAGTGTTGGGCTCACGGGGGATCAATGTGCAACACAATGTCCACGAAGGCAAGGCGCTCAGCGCACCTGTTTCAGCTGTCGGACGGCCGTCAGGGGCCGATGTAATCACTATGGCTGGAAGCCAGACCTCCCGGTCTGAATAGGACAAAAAGGGGGCCCCCTATGCATGAGCCGATATGGCACACCACAGGATGACTCACCTGACATGTTGTTCAGGAAGCTGCAGAATCCTCACAGGAGAGCTGGACTTCTGGACCCCTGGGCTATGGGGAATGGGCCATCCCTTAACCATTGAGTCCTGGTCAAAACATCCACACCCCAAGAATCAAGAGGATTGACCTCGGTCACAATGAAACCCTGGTATTACAATGGGGTACCCCAACCAACGCGGCCGCACCCATTTATGGTTGGGATTGCCTCTTACTACCCTTCATCTACTCGGTTTAGTTTTGATTGTGACTCAGGCGCACAATCACTGGGTCTTGGCTTCCAACATCCTAAAATCAGCGGGTGGCGTCCCTGGTTTCCATCTTGCCTGTGTTCCTGGAAAAAACGGGCATGAGTTTTGATTGGGCACCCTTTGGTAAACATCAGAATTTGGCGAGCTCAGTACCAAAGGCCTCGCCGCCCAGCTCCGCCACGAGCGCGCCGAGCTCCGCCCGGGCCGCCGCGTTCTGCCGGCTCCGGGGGTTGGTGGCCGGGGGCACGGCGCTGAACCACCCGCTGAGCGCGGGGCCGAGCCCGCAGAGGAGCAGCGCGCGCCTGACATTCGGGGGTCCCCGGAGCCCAAAAGGCGAGTTCAACTACTATTTGCCGGTGGGAAAAGGACAATACACATGTTCCCTTCAAGTTAAAGACTTAAAGACAAAGCAAATATCGGCTAACAGGTGTATTTCACTTGTTGGTTGGTCAGAAACTACACATTTCCCCAAGGTGAAAGATCCAAGTAGCCAAGGCGCAATCCATTGCCCAGCTTCCGCATCATGCAACCTCACCTCACCTCTTCGCAAGCCATGCCAGGAACGGTGACGCACGCCGCGAAGAGGAGCCAAACGAAATTCAATTCCAGAGCTTGGGAACTCAATGGCCGCAAGACAGCTGCATGCGCAACAACCCATTCAAGGGCTGCTACCCAAATTGTGTCTGCACCAACGACAGGCATTCAAAGCGCCTGTTCTTCCACGTGCTTGCCATTGCGTGCCTAAGGTGGCACCAAACAGTGCCGTCATATGTTACCAGTGCTGAAAACTACTTCCCTTGGAACATCATCGAAGATGCATGCACAAGCAATCACCAACTCTGCGAATGGAATTTCACCCGACAAAAAATCCACCACCCTTCTTTTCAAGGCAAAATCGTGTCAGGCTAGCTCTGGTTGCATCAAGCCAACAGTCCTTGTGTCAACAGTCTTACAGTCGTTGTCTTGTGAACTCACATGGGCATTCGGTGATCACAACGGCAGTTTGGTGAGCGTCCGCCTTCCTACAGGGGATGTTGGTCTCACAGTCTCTCGAGACATACGTCCCGCGTAGGACAAGAAATGGCTTCCAGCCACAAAACAATCACATTACACACCTTTCAAGCAACAGTACTTGTTCAACAACAAAGAAAGGGAGCGACCAATGCTGCATTACATTCATGCTAGTCAGCATTCAGCGCTCAGCATCCTCGACACGTCGCTTTACTGGACCCAATCTCAGCCGAAACCCTAAGGCTAAATACGGGGCACCATTGAGACCATCTCTTGATCCAGGGCTCGGATGCCCGGCTCGTGGCAAAACCCAGTGGCTATTGACAAGAAACGCAAACTTGGAACCGGCTGCAAACAGCTCAGCCCCTTCACACGAATTGCAGAACCACATCGTGCGGGAATTGCCGGTTGCCAACCCATCCATGTCCCTCGCTTTCCCCCGACCTCCCAGCACGCGCGCGAAACCTTCCCAGATGCCCAGATTGGCCCCCCAACTCCCCCAACGACTCCAAGGCCGGCGCTGCAACGCCTGCTGTGCCGCCTGCAGCCCCGACAGGTACGCCCCATGCACCGTGGAGGGATACTCGCTGCTGCAGTGCTCCCCCGCGAAGAAGACCTCTGGAGATCGCGCGCGAGAGATCTGTCCAAAGCTTTAGGGCCTGAAACAAAGAATCGGTTAACCTGCGACAAACAAACTGTGTGTGTGTGTGTGGGTTTAAAACTCACAAGTGTGACCTGAAATCATGGAGAGATACTGGGTGAACATATTTCACACGCCGGAGATTGAGCATCCCAAATTGACATGAAGCCCAAAGCAGTTTCCTAAAAACAGGTAGATTCCTCTCCACATGGTGGTTTTTTTCATTCCATCATCAAAAGGCAATTGCACGCATTCGGCATATCCACTAGCTCTGGACCCCGAAAAGCCCGTGGAGCTGTTGGCCCAACTGCGCCCCCGGGAAAAAATCGGCGCCCCACCGCGGCGGCGGCGCTTGCCGTCGCTCGGGGTCGCTCCGAGCTGCGCGGCCGTGGGGCTCCGCCAGGACCTGGCGGTCCGCGGGCGTCGCGCCCAGCGGCAGAAAGGAGTAGCTGCCCTGCGCCAACTCGTCCGCCTGCCGCGCGGAGGTGAAACAGCGGCCCCGAGAAAATGGTCCATGGTGGGGTTGAGGGAGTTGAGGGGGGGGTTCTCAAGATGGATTTCGAATCGACGCCTGATTCTGTTGGGGGTTTATTTTTTGAAATGTTTTGTTTTTGAAACCAATTCCTTTGAGAAAACTCCAGGTCTCATTTCTCTGTCGCCAGTGGAGTGTTTGCCCAATCCGATCTTCCATGTTCTCTGTTGGAGACCCACCAATTACAAAGGATTTGGACCTCGTAACAAGGATGAAGGGGTGCTTTTGAACAGTCCAGCTTGTGAAAGGAGCTAGGAAAGCAAGGTAGAAGCAAGAGGGCTCAACCACGTGCCCGTGTAGAAGGTGCCCCTCATATCTACCCTTTATTCACCTGAACTATTGAAGTTTCAGCCATGCACATTAGGTACATAGGTTTGTGTCTTGTTTGAGGGGGGCCTTGTCAGTTTGCTCTAAAGGGAATCTTAGAAAGGGACACCCAGTCACTTTTGGAAGTTGATCCGTAGATTTGGAGCACTTGCATCGGGCTGAGAGGGCGCTTGCTTTGGCTGGCCTTCAGCTGGAAAATCACTAGCGAACGGTTTTGGGAACGCGTGGGATCTCGAAGGAAACTTCCCAGCCTCCCAGCGGCTGATCTTGACCTCCTGCAAGGAGACCTGCCCAAAGCCGACAGGGCGCAATGAAACGCACCAAACTTCCAGTTGCTTAAGTCCCCTGGAAAAATAAAGAATATTTCCAGTAGTGATAGATTCCTTTTAAAGCCAACAGAGGAAAACAAAAAATGTTCTTCAGGCAATGGAGGCAAAAGGGACCGCAGAACCTACTCCAAAAACCTAAGATGCTCCGATGTTCTGCTTCATGTTTTGGTCTACCCCATCTTTGTAAACTAGTTTTGGATGGTTCGGTCACATTCTGCGCTCCCCTTGAAAACAACCGCAAGGGCCATAGAGGCTATATAATTACTATCATGTTATTCGGGTGCCTATGTCTGGCAGCTTACTTCTTCTCGGTCAGTACTCGCTTGTCCTTCCCTTTGAATCTCATATTCCTTTTGGCCGTTCCATGCTGATGAGTCTTCCACCATTCTATCTGTCTGCCTGAATTGCCGATTGCTGTCGCAACCTTCAGCAGCGTTCACTGGCCATGGTTCCCCGGACTGACCAACTGACCAGCTTCCCAAATGACTGACCAGCCGAGCAGGCAGCGAGACGCACAAACCAACCTGGCCACCAACCAACCAAACTGAACCAGTCAACCCAACGGACCCAGCCAATCCGACAATCCAACAAACGCACCAAAAGGCCACACGATGCTTTCTCCGTGTACCTAATATGTGGCCCATGTTGTCTTTTCTTGCAGCAGCTATCATATGAACCCATCCCCCAAAAACATGAAAAACACAACAAACAACAGACCCATATGGGTGTGGCTCAAAATTAAAGGGTTAGGATTACGCAGGTGCTAGTCTTTGGTTCCATTTGCGAACCGTTTTGGTAAATCTTTTTGAGCCACAGCCATATCCCAAGGAACCAAAACACCAGCGCCCCCCCCGTCCTTTTCCCCCCCCCCAGATATTCCCCTCGCCTGCAGGGCGGCCAGCGGTTGGCCGAAAGTCTCGGCCAAAATGCTCAGCAGCCGCCGCGTCAGCGCCGGCTCCGGCGCCTGCTCCACACGCCTCGCGAGGAGAAAACACGGGAGGGGGCGGTGTGGGGGGTGGGTGGTGGGGGGTAGGGAGGGCTTTGGGGGGAGGCGGTTCGTACGGAGGATACCCATGCTATTTTGGAAGTAAACCAATGCCCACAAAGTAGGAACCTGGAGGGGAGGGGGGGGACACTTAAAGACTCACTTCCGAACGAGTGAATTGGCAACAAAAGAAAACCACATTTTGCAACCTCCTTCCTTGAGGGTATTGTTTTTCTTCGGGTTGGCTGCAAAATCGCCTCTAAGCATCCATTGGCATGGGGGGTCAAAATGATGGCAACCCATTTTTGGGCCCCGAATGAGGACCCAAACAAATTGTGAAATAAAGGACCAAAAAGTGGCCTCCCAAGAATAGTAGTTTCGTTTGGTCTGGTGGGATGTTTCAATTGGCAAAAATGCAATGTTTCTACAAAGCCCTGTGAAAGAAGACATGGCCCCTGCAAATGCTGGTACCCTTTGCATCTTCAAGGAAAACCGAAAGGCGGGCCGGGAATCGTGGGTCAGAATGCCTTTTGACACATGACGTTCTTTCTTTTGTTTGAGGGTACCTCTCTCGTGGCAAAAGAAAAAAAGGACAACTGCAAGCAACACCCATCATGTTGTCCTTTTTTCCAGACCCACACCGCATGTGTTGTTACATATATATATATATATATATATATTATTTTTATGTGCACCGGCCTGGCCATGTCACAGCAGAAGTAGGCCACGGCCACCGAGCCCACCTGCAGCGAAAAGAGTCAAAGTTTCGGCTTGGGGGTCGTTTTGGGAGGTTTGCCCACAAAGATGCAAGCCACATGACTGTTTGAGGAGAAAAAAACGCTTGCTGTGAGACAAACCCATAGGGGTCTTGGCGTGATTGTTTCGGACAACTCCTTTTCAGGCTGGGGGCAAAGGACACCCATACGAGCAACACACTGCTTTTTGTTGTTGTTTGTTTTTTTTTGGGGGGGAGGTCTCAAAATGGGGGTCTCCGTTTTTGGATAGCAAGGGGAAACCGGTCCTTTTGACACCCGTTGTGCGACAAGGCGCATACCTAAAAAAAACTTCAGGCAGGCCAAACTATTGCACGCCAAGACAAAAAAATGCAAGGGTCTAGCCAAATCCCTGTGAAGAATCAAAAGGGCGGCCGCACCTGCTTATGGCTGGGACTGTCACTTACCCTCGATCTACCAGGGTTTTGATTCTGGCTCAAGTGGGCCCGAAACTGCCAAATGACCGCCCCTCCAAAAACATGTTGCTAAAAAAAATGGGACATTCACCAGTTTATATGTTGTGTTTCCCAAACATTGACTCAAACATGTTAAATTAGGCAAACAATAAATAGGCGATATGCCCACATGCGATCGTAGTAGCGCTTCCAGGTGTATTTTCCAGCATGTGCTCGAAAAAGGCAGTTCTGGTACGTCTGCTGTCGACTGATCCCATCTCCCCCTCTCTCTCATAGCTTACGAGTCCTTACAAAACTCGGTCCCGGCAAATGTCAAGTGCTAATCCTAAACATGCTTTTTGTTGGTTGCTTTGAAAGGACTTCAACCAAAGGGCGAGTGATACATGTGCGTCAAAGAAACAAACGCCTGGGCTCAAATTTTCCCTCGGTGTCCCTTTAATTCAACCCCCGAGCCATGCCCCCGACCCCTAGGCCCTCCACACTGCTGGGCAGGAAGACCCACTCGTGGGCTTCGATCTCGCTCTCCGTCTCAGTTAGCTCCCGCGGAGGCACGCGGTCGAAGCCGGCGATGTCCTACGCCGGGCTTCCCCAGGCTCTTTTCTGTAGGCGGGGCCCGCTTTTCCTCGCGAGAAACCAGAAGACAAATACAAGTTGGGGGGAGTCGCTAAAAAACTCCCTCCTGTGTTCAAGTGAGATGCCGTTTTGCAGCGGGACTTCCACAGGGTCCATGTTTGACATCCTCAAAGTTCCCTGAATCGAAGCGAACCGCCCCCCCCCCCCCCAACCCCTCAACATCAAGCTTCCTCATTTGGGGCCTGAATTCTAGGTTTACATGGGTACATCACAAATACATGGTTGGATGTAGGCAACCGCCAGCCATTGAGAAAAACAAGCCAAGCCATGGTGTCAAGCCGCTCTGAAAGTCGCCACTTTTTACGCCTGGCCTCATTACTCACTATGTTGCCGTGATCAAAGTCACCCAAGTGGTGGGCTAAAAGGGAAACAACCAATTCCATTTTCTGACTTTGACCACCGGAAACAGCTAACACAATGACCCCAGTAAGACCAAAGTTACCAGGACAGCCCCTCGGCCTTTGACTAAACAATCCCCAGACACGATCGTCAAACCCATGGGGCCGTCTGTGAAGTGGATCCGAAAAAAAGAGTCCACACATTAACATGTCGTGAAATATCCTGTCGGGTGCTTAAACTCTTGGGCCCACTTCAGCGGGGTGATGATACACAAAACAGCTCCTTTCCATGGGTTCTCATATGTAGGACCCATTGTAGGCAGCTGGTGTGAACCTCCTCCCAGCCTTTCATCTTGCACGGGGCAATGCCTCCCTCCCCAGTCCCGAAAGCAGCACATTAGGCATCTCTCAAACCAGGCGAAACCCGCCAAATGTGTGGCTTCCCTCAAGCGTCGACTTGGGTGCGCGCTTCACCAGTCCCTCCTCCGGCCAGAAGGCAGCCTCAAACCTCAACGCCACTTTGTTCAGCAGGCCCAGCCCCACCTGGCAGACTGAACCTTTTTAAGGCAATGGAAGTGGACAGGGAGGTTTCAGAGGGAAGTTGTCTTCCGAACCCCTTCGCTTCTATGAATGTTGGGAGGCCAAACAGCGCCCAAGCAAGTGAAACTGTGTGTCGCAAAAGGCTTTGGTTGTTTCCCTGACACACACACACACATTTAGCTTTATTCGCCATTTGCGGCTTTGACACCTGAAGCCCGCCTGCCAGGCTTGGGTTGTTGAAACATGTCTTTAAGCCACGATTAACACCTCCTTGGGCGTCCCTTTAAAAGGGATCTGGTTGTTTAAACAAATCTTGCAACCAAGGAAATTGATCATTTACCCATCCCTTGTTGGCCGCCAAGGACTCTTGTCATCGCGAGCCGGGTCGGGTTGGCGAAATGCGGACAGGTGTCTGCGGAAACGTCTTTGCCCGCGGTTCGCCAATGGCCAACTTTGCTGCGTCAAATCGTTGGTTGCGCTATGACTACTGTCACGCCCTAAAAGCCGCAGCCAAGGTTGGCCATTCCTGGCACATCCAGAAAATCGTTTCTCGAGCGCCCAGAAACAAACCCAATCAAGCCACATCTCATGGTGCTGTAGTGGAGCACTGCGTCCAACACATTGGTGAACCTTTTCAAGGCACAGCCCTTTTGTTCCTGGCTCACCACCCAGGCTGCGCCCTCCCCTATTTGCAGAATCTAATTAGTTTTGGCGTATAGCGTTCGCATATATGAGTTTTTTGTTCAAAGGCCAAAAGGACCATTTTGATGTTCCTTCTTTTGACACACACACCACGCATCAGGCGACCTCACAGGTCGCCCAAAAACACAAACCTTGGGTTCACAAAGTTCGGGTCACCGTCAGGAGCCGCCTTATTGGGACCGCAGAATCACATGCTGCCAATCCAGAATCTGCAAAGGAGCAGGCCTAGGTCATGGCACTGGGCGCACACCAGAGCGTTTATTGATCTGTGATCCCGGGGGGAGGCTCCAGAAAGGAACCATCATCAGCGGCACGCTACGAAGCAGCAGGAAGCGGCAAAGGAGAGCACTGCACGGGTCGAAGGGGAGTCCTGAGAAGCGGAGGTCAGGGCCACTGTATGGGTCCAAGATCCTGGTCGAACACGGCCGACCAGCTACGCTCTTGAGCCAACATGGCGGAAAAATAAAGGAAACCCCAAAAAGGAAAGAACAATTAAAAGGTGCGTAAGCCCAAGTCTGGCGACGCAAAGGGGCAGCCTTTGATCGCTTTTAATGTCAACCCCGGATCAATAGACCCCTGGTTGATCAATACGGGGTTGTCCCCTTGTAGTGGGCTTCAGACCACTTTTGGAGGCAACACGCCCCTAATGGGATGGGTTCTACTTAGATCCACGGTCAACCTTAGACCCCCCCCCACCCAGGCCCATACCAAAAACAAAGTTTAGAAGGTACGTAAGCCACAAGTCTGTCGATTGAGCCCCCTAGTTCAAAGGGGGCCCCCCTCTCCGGCCTTTTCGACGGCCTCCACCTTCCGCGGCGCCAAGGCCGGCGAGAAGTGCACAGCACCGGGTCCACGCGCCTTCAGCACGCCCAGCGGCAGCGAGACGATGCACAGGTCCCCGCGCAGGGCCTGACGCGCAGGTCGCGGTGCCACGGGTCAAAAGTGATACCTGGCACCGCCAAACACGTAGCGAACCCCTGCCGGGTGAAAAAGGCCTCTCATTCATGGATGGGGATGCAAACCTAAGGATCGAAAGCCCGATTAGCCCCCAGTGAACATCAACCAATCCAACCCACTAAAATGAGTCCTAAAATGGGTGGTGAATTCACCCACCCCAAAATGGGATCCCATTGGTTTTGACCCACAGCCACATGATGGACGTGAAATCCATGTCGCTCCATGACATCAAACCATGGGTTGACACCATAGCAATGGCTGGTGTTTTCCTTGGGGAATGGAATCATTCCAAAATATCTTAGGTGGTGCGAAATGGATTGGCCGTGCACAAGAGGCTGGATGATGCGAATGATGCAGACAAGAGGCTGCACGAGAGACTGGGTGATGTGAATGTTGCAGACCCAACACAACGAACGAAGCACCAAGAGGGCGCACAAGAGGCTGGATGATGCGAATGATGTAGACAAGAGGGAGACTGGGTGATGTGAATGTTGCAGACCCAACACAACGAACAAAGCACCAAGAGGGCGCACAAGAGGCTGGATGATGCGAATGATGCAGACAAGAGGCTGCACAAGAGACTGGGTGATGTGAATGTTGCAGACCCAACACAACGAACAAAGCACCAAGAGGGCGCACAAGAGGCTGGATGATGCGAATGATGCAGACCCAACTCAACTCAAGCAACAACGCACCAAGAGGGTGCACAGGAGGCTGGTTGATGTGAATGTTGCACAGCTCACCAAGAGGGCTCCCAAGCGGCTGGACGATGCGATGATGCAGACCCATGTCAACGAACAACGCACCAAGAGGGTGCACAAGAGGCTGCGCCCTCCAAGGCGTTTTTTTTTTTGTTGGAAACATGAGTAGGTCTTCGTTGGCTGCAAATTTTCCAGACCCCATGGCTCCCAGACGAAAGTCCTCATTCAGAGTCTGTCAGGTCAACAGTTCCCTTGCTGGTTGAGTTGGGTCTGCATTATTGCATCATCCAGCCTCTTGGGTGCCCTCTTGGTGAGCTGTGCAACATTCACATCAACCATCCTCCTGTGCACCCTCTTGGTGCGTTGTTGCTTGAGTTGAGAGGGTCTGCATCATTTGCATCATCCAGCCTCTTGTGCGCCCTCTTGGTGCTTTGTTCGTTGTGTTGGGTCTGCAATATTCACATCACCCAATCTCTTGTGCAGCCTCTTGTCTGCATCATTCGCATCATCCAGCCTCTTGTGCGCCCTCTTGGTGCTTTGTTCGTTGTGCTGGGTCTGCAACATTGACATCACCCAGTCGTTTGTGCAGCCTCTTGTCTGCATCATTCGCATCATCCAGCCTCTTGTGCACCCTCTTGTTCCCTTGATGGTTGAGTTGGGTCTGCATCATTCACATCACCCAGTCTCTTGTGCAGCCTCTTGTCTGCATCATTCGCATCATCCAGCCGCTTGTGCACCTCTTGTTCCCCTTGATGGTTGAGTTGATTCTGCATCACTCGCATCATCCAGCCTCTTGGGTGCCCTCTTGGTGAGCTGTGCAACATTCACATCAACCAGCCTCCTGTGCAGCCTCTTGGTGCGTTGTTGGTTGAGTTGGGTCTGCATCATTCGCATCGTTTGCATCATTGGCATCATCCAGCCTCTTGTGTCCCTTCTTGGCGCATTGATGCCTGAGTTGGGTCTGCATCATTCGCATCATCCAGCCTCTTGTGTTTTGTCTTGGTGCATTGTTGCCTGAGTTGGGTCTGCATCATTCGCATCATCCAGCCTCTTGTGCGCCCTCTTGGTGTGTTGTTGGTTGAGTTGGGTTTGCATCATTCGCATTATCCACCCTCTTGTGCGCGTCATCCAGCCTCTTGTGAGCCACTCTTGGTGCGTTGTTGATTGAGTTGGATCTGCAACATTCACATCACCCAGTCTCTTGTGCACCCTCTTGCTGGAGTTGGGCCTGCATCATCCGCATCATCCAGCCTCTTGTGCACCCAACATTCACATCACGCAGCCTCTTGTGCGACTTCTTGGTGTGTTGTTGGTTGAGTTGGGTCTGCAACATTCACATCACACAGCCTCGTGTGCGACTTCTTGGTGTGTTGTTGGTTGAGTTGGGTTTGCATCATTCGCATCATCCACCCTCTTGTGCGCTCTTGGTGCGTTGTTGGTTGAGTTGGGTCTGCAACATTCACATCACCCACCTCTTGTGCAGCCTCTTGGCGCGGTTGGGTCTGCATCATTCGCATCGGTTGCATCATTGGCATCATCCAGCCTTGTGTCCCCTCTTGCATTGTTGCCTGAGTTGGTCTGCATCATTCGCATCATCCAGCCTCTTGTGCACCCTCTTGGTGCGTTGTTGGTTGAGTTGGGTCTGCATCATTCGCATGTTCCAGCAACTTGTGCGGCCTCTTGGTGCCTTGTTGGATGTTGGGTCTGCATCATTCACATCGCCCAGCCTCTTGTGCACCTTCTGGGTGCGTTGTTGGTTGAGTTGGGTCTGCATCATCCGCATCAAGACTCTTGTGCAGCCTATTCGCATCAGCTAGCCTCTTGTGCGCCCTCTTGGTGCGTTGTTGGTTGAGTTGGGTCGGCAACATTCACATCACCCGTGTGAAGTTTCTTGGTGCGTTGTTGGTTGAGTTGGGTCTGCATCATCCGCATCATCCAGCCTCTTGTGCGCCCTCTTGGCGTGTTGTTGGCTGAGTTGGGTCTGCATCATTCACATCACCAAGCCTCTTGTGCGCCCTCTTGGGGCGTTGTTGGCTGAGTTGGGTCTGGAATCATTCACATCACCCTCTTGTGCACCGTCTTGGTGGGTTGTTGGTTGAGTTGGGTCTGCATCATTCACATCAAGACTCTTGTGCAGCCTATTCGCATCACCCAGCCTCTTGTGCGCCCTCTTGGTGCGTTGTTGTGGTCCCACATCACCCAGCCCAATGCATGCCATACTGGTGCGTTGCTGGTTGTCTTAGCTCTCACCCAGCCCCTGGAGCGCCCTCTCGGTGCATCATTGGTCGAGTTGAGGTCTGTTGCTCTCGTGCGCCCTTTGGTCTATTGTTTCTTAGGTCTGCATAACCGTCGTCCTCAAGCCCGGTGCGTGCTGTCTTGGTCTGTTGTGGGCAGGTTCCCCATCAAAAACATGGCGGAGCCGTTGCCCAAGTGCTTCGGAGAAGAGACTGGTAAATGAAAAACCAAACCGAAACCAGTGGAATCCATGTAAGCTGAAAGGATGGGTCACTGGATTATCCTAACATTGGGATGTGTCTTAAAATTGGGAACCCCCATGGTGGCTTTGTCCCTATGAAACCAACCCAAAGGGGAAACACCTCACAAGAGACACAGCCATTGATCAATGCACTGGTGGCAAATGATTTCCTGTCGCGCACTCTGGAGGCGAGCTCATGGTACTCTTGTTTGTTGATGGATTGTTTTTGTCCTTTTTGTTTATTGGACAACCAAAAGGAAACCCCGTCGGGCATTCTTCTATTTTGAGACGCCATATGCTACTTCTATAAGGGCTGCGTACTGCTCAAACTGTATTGGTGACGTACGCCAGCCATGCCTCACTTCCTGGATTCCGAGCAAACTATTTCAGACTTCGTGTTCACACAAACTCACAAGTGCTTAAAGTCCAGAAAGCCTGGGTGTGGGAATATCTCAACCCGACTCAATGGCCGATATTTGCGGGAGTCCCCTGGAAAAAAGACTTCCCCTAGTAATAGATTCCAACAGGGGAACATTAAAAAAAAAGTCTTAAGCAAATGGACGCATCGTCTCGCCCGCGCCTCGTCCTCGCACCGCACCTCCACCGCCTCCGCCGTCTCCTTCACCTCCACAGCCCGGCAGCCGAAGCGCACCTCGCAGCCCTCGGCGAGGTGCCGGGTGAAGCTTCGGAAGCCCTCGGCCCACCTCGGAGACGTGTTTTTTTGTTTTTTTGTGGCTGCCCAAGGTTTTTAAAAAGGTGGGTTTTAACCTTTCAACCTTTTCCAGGGGTTGAGTCTTTGGCCTTCCGGGCTGGAGGTGTTGTTTGTCTGTGTTTTTTGTTTGTTTGTTTCTCTTTTTTTGTGTGTTGTTTGTGTTGCTTGGAGGTGCTTTTTGGTTTGTTTGTTTGCTTTTGTTTGTTGTGTTGTGTTTGTCTGCGCTTTTTGCTTTTCCCCCCCGCAAAGCAGGGTATCCCGACAAAGAAATTGCCGGTGTCGGGGTTTTTGCTCCGCGGAGTAGGGGTACCCTTACAGAAACGTTACAGGGCAGAATCAAGATTTTGTGATTAGAACCTCCAGGAAACTGGTTTGGGGGCTAGGGAGTGTGATTCCCTCTCCCGTTCAGGGAGGCTTCCTTGGAAATTGGGTTGGAATCGAAGAGATGGTTGAGAAAAAGTTGCCTTCCCTCATCCACTGAGTGCCAGCAGGCTTTTTCAAACCAAAATCTTTGGAAACCACCAGGGATGGTTTAAGATTCATCAACCCTTTGAGCCCCCCTGGCGGATGAACAGGGCGGAAGATGACAACCACTTGAGAGGGAACATGAAACAGTTTCTCCGCGTGCAAGCCAGTTTCCGTGGAAACACAACACTCGAGGCTACCGCAACTCACACTGTGTCGACCTTGCTTTGCATAGGGACATTTTTTGCAGAGCTCACTCAAGCAGAAGACTGGCACAGGGGCCAGAAGAGACCCAAACAGGTGTGTCTCACATAGACACAAATCACCTCTGAGCTGGTCACTATGCGACGCCAAAAAGAACAAACCTGGCAAAGCAGGCCCCACAACTGAGAGGGTCGCAACCATGGTGGTGGGAGGCATCACCCTTTTTTTGCGATTCAACAAGGAAACCACCCATTTGCCCCAAAGGTCATGAAAGACCCGAAACCAACGAGCCAGGGCTCAAACCGTGATGTCCCTGTCTCTCGTCAAAACGTCAAGATAGGGGGTGGTTTCCCCCTTTCAAACCCCCTGAAAAGTGTCCAACTCGAAAACACCCCCCCTCCCCCCCGATCTGATTGCGGGCTTTGAGCACATGCAGTCTGGGCCCTCAAACTCCGAGTCGGCGTCCCACCACTTGGAGCTCAACCTGATCAGCCCCGCAAGAGTCTTACAGTAAGTCTCCTGTTGCAACCCCCCCTTTTTTCAACGGCATCTTCAGGTAGGGGGTTTGGAGGTTGTATGCCACTTATATAAGGGTGCCGTAACAGCTTTTAAGCTATTTCTAGGCTGTTCAAAATGGAGGGTGTTTGCTAATTCGATCTTCCATAATCCCGATAGGACAATGACTGGGAAGGTAACCCAAAACAAGGACTGGGGATTGCCCAAAGGACAGCCAAAGGGAAACCACACAGTTTTCGGGATGCGGATCCAATTGAAGAAAACACAATGCTTGGAAACGTGGATGGATGGGACGAGTCGACGCTCCTGATCAACGCCAACCATCTCCACCTTGGGCCGATATCAACTCTGAGCTGCCAGTGGGAGCCTTTCTGCAAGAATCACGTGTCACAGTTTGCTTTCGCCTGACCCAGCAGTTGAACTCATTGGACTGCCCTTCAGCGTGCAAAACGAGCTCTCCACAAAAGCCTTTGTCAGCTACTGATTCTTGTTTACAGAAAAAAAAGGAAGAAGAAGATATGTTTTTCCAGAAGAAATCCCCTCCAGTGAAGAAACTACCTTTGCGGGCACCCCAGTTTCATTTCATTGCCGCACTGCCCTACCAAAACCTGCCACTGTGTGGACTGTTTTCGGGGGCCCCCGCTTTTCGCCGTCCGTTCACGGCGCAACCTTTTTGTTGGCCCTTGTTTGGCTCCGCGTCAAATATCCGGCACGTTGCCTACTGAAAGCCACGTAGCTTGACACTGGTGTGCTGGGGAAGCAACAACTATGGGCTGTTCTGGGTGGGAAAAACAACAAAAACAAAGACATCGCCAACCGACACTGATGGTCATCCAAGCAATCTTCATAGTGCAGGTCGCAAAGCACCTGTCGTTGGCCCCATTGGGTAAATCCTACTCGGGGGCTGTCCTCACCAGGGTTCACCACTTTGGCTGGTCATCCAAGTAGCCCACTGAAACAGCAAAATGGTGGGGAACGCTACGACAGGACCCTTGCACAGAATCAATCCTCTTTTGAGCCTAGAACATGGAAACTACAACTAAAACTGCAGCTAGATCATAGCACATACTCCCCCACCCAAAAAACATATCCAGAAAAAGTCCTCCCTAAAGGAACCTCCATAACCTTCGCCTCTGGCCCTCTGAGTCGCGCGCCTCTCCAGGGGCGCGGCGTAGATCCACTCGGTGTCCCGCTGCCAGCGCCAGCGCAGCAGCGCGGCCTCCTCCCGGCTGAGCCGCGCCCAGTCGAAGCGCTCGGACCGCCTCAGCCCGGCAGCCCGGCTCCGGCGAGTCTCGAGTGAGCCGAGCGGTCGTCCGGAAGGGAAGCCACACGGGGATTCAGTTTATTTGTATGACTTGTGCTATACTATTTGGGGATGTTTTTTTAAAGGTTGTATTCCCAACATGGTTGTTTTTTGCAGGTTTTTTTGTGAAAAATATATTTAACGAAAAGACACACTAATTTGCCCACATAACCCATGCTATATTTTTTCGGAGTTAAAACTATCGAACTCAAGTGGTTGATGCACATGAATCCCCACTATGATGACATTTGCCCACAAGTGGGTAACCAAGGGAACAACTAATAGGAAAATGGTGAAGGGTTGCCTGTAGTGACATCTGGGATATATTGGGAATAGTTTTCAGATCAGGTAGTTTTGTGTTCGGATGTTGTAGAATTTCGCAGACTCGTAGGCGGTAGTGACCCGTTCGATCGGAAAATAAACATAAAAAATATGTTTGATAAGTTTACTGAATGGGTTGATTTTGGAAACCGGTTTCGCCCAGAAAAGTCAAATCAAAGTTGCATTGGCTTTGGTTCTGTGAGGAGGTTCAAATGAGCCACACCACAAGCAAACGCCTGGTAGCAGTGACCCATTCCGTAGAAACATGGTGAATTCCTTTGTGGGGAATTCGTCAATGTGCTTGAAGGGGGTCGGAATTTACAAAAGAGTGCCACTTCACAAAGGATGCAAGCTTCATCCCCCAGCAGCTCGCAAGTTTTGCAACTCGCTTTCCCGCAGACCAAGAGGAACATGTAAGGGCTACTCCAGTTGGCTGTCTCTCCTGGATTCGCCCGTTTTACTCGACGCGAAACATCCGGTTCTGAAGACCAAACCAACCCTCCCTCCCCACAAAAACACATGCACAAATGCATCTATTCCCCCTGTTTTGGCCTGATCTTGACCTAGTTATTTCATGTGAGCCACGGTTAACATATGCGACTGCCGCAAACGACTTCAACTTTGGCTGATTTCTACTTCTGGCTCCCTTGCAACCTGTGAGAAAAGGGCGGGCCCACCAACCCGACCACTCTTCTCGGGCAGAGATTCAACTGCTTGAGAGACTCCCAAAGCGGCTCGTCCATGTGGGCCTCCTGGGAAAGCAGCTTCCCATCACAAAGCAGCTGGGTGAACTGTCGCGCAAGGGCTCAACCGCATACCCCTAAGTGGAACGGTGCAAACACGAAATATCCTATCACCCCATACGTGAGTGAGACCTTGGATAAAGTACGCTGCGAACCCGAATTCGAATTGGAACCCTACGAAAGGATTCTTCATTATGGGGCCTTCTCGTTTGAAGATCAACGCCATTTGCCCAGAAGGGCGTTTCCAAGAAGGGCGGCCTCAGAAAATCGTCGATTTCCTTTGAGCGGGACTTCCACCCCAAAGATCTAAATCTTTGTCAATGTTTCAATGGAAAATGAGCCTCCAAAGATACAAGGGGCGATTCGGATGCAAGCCATGTCCTTTCAATGTCCTCGAGTGATGCTTTCGATGTTCCTTGAACGACGTGAAAAGCGTTGCAGAAGTTCTTGTCGTTGTCAGATTTTAGGACCCACGCACGGCGACTCATCAAGTTGTGGACCCTGGACTGCGTTCTGACTTGAACTGCAACTTTGCATTAGGTTCCCTGCTGGGTCGAACCCCCATTCTTTTCAACCATCGTCCTTCCCAACAATGCCCCCCCCCCCCGACTTTTTGAGGGTTTCCTGAATAGAAGGGTTCCGGAAAAAAGGGCGAGCTTCCTGCTACTCATAGTGCTAAGCTTAACATCTGGGAGGATCTCCTGCAAAAAGTTCAAAAGCTCTCAGCGCCCAACCTGACTCATTCCCGCGTCCTTGTTTTTCCTGTGGGCCTCATAGAGGCCCTTCGTGTGTTCGAACAGCTCCTGAGAAACAGCCGGAGAAGAGCTGCTGGCAGGGCCGGAATATGAGAAAACAAATTTCGATCTGCTTCTTTTGCAACTGGCTTTTCACGATTTTGTTCTCTTGTGCCTTCCCCTTGCTGGGCGCTGCGAGCTTTGCAGACAAAGACGGAAGAAAGGTCCGTTCAATCACTGGACGGGACCCGAGCCCATTTTGCTGGTGACTTTCTCACCAAACACAGTACTAATGATCAAACCCTGAAGCACACATGGACCCCAAACCCTAAGCACCCCCAAACAGAAAGTAACTTGTACCCTGTCTAAAGCCGGCACAGCATGCTACCGGCAGCACTCGACCCCTCCTGTTCATAAATGCAGCCTATCCATTAGTATCTTTCCCATACCCCAAATCTCGCAATACTAAAATAGAATTGGCTAGTACTAAACCAAGTCTAAGCCAGCTGTATGAGACACTTAAAAACTGATTCTAAACCAATGCTAAATACAAATACTGACCCAATGTTGAACGAATTCGGGGGAGGAAAAAAAAACAAGGAACGCACCCAACAAACCCGAGCACTTGCCAACGCATTCCGAGGAGTTGACAAGGAGTCATGAGTGCCTCTGGCCAAGGGAAACCTCCCACTCCAATGGTTGCTCGTAGAAAAATCCCTTGTGCTTGGGTCTCTTAAACAGGGGACCCAGCAAATTGACTCGGATTGCACTTTGGTTTTCCTTCAACACTGCCAAACAAAAGGTGCCTTCGAAGGAGAAAAAAAAAGAACGAGCCACCCAATTGAGATCCATTCAAAACCTCTGCCAGGCAAGATACAAGACAAACATCGCAAGACTGATGGGGACTCTCCCGTGGCAATCTTCAGCTTCGGGTTGGGACTTTCGATGCGGATTGGGTTCCAAAAGGGCTAGTCTTCGGTCCTTAAAGGAGGCCCAATAACAACTGGCCCAGCTGCTCAGCTTGAGGTTGGATCCACTCGGGTTGCTGTGATACCTGCATCACTTCAAAGGGGATTCGCAACCAAGGCAAATCACAGGGGTCACAAGCGTCGAAGGAAAGAGCGGGCAGCTGCAACTAGGGGGAGGTAGCCAAACACCACCGCAATATAAGGGATACTCCATTTTCTATCTCTATTCAGGTGCTTACATTCTTCCCCCACCCACCTACCGCGAGTCCACCCCGACCCCTCCTCGGTGCGGCGCAGAAGCTCTTCCGACAGCTCCTCGCCGTTCCGCTCGAAGTCCGGGCAGGTGTCCCAGTCAGTTTCCAGCAGCTCACCCCACTCCGGATGCTCCTGGCACGTTTTGGCAGTGACGTTGTGACTTTCGCTGGGTCTTCTGCTTTGGTTTCTGTTGCATTCTCTTTCTTTTCTCCGTGGCTGTGTCCCTGCGTTTCGTATTTTGTTGTTTCTTTTGCTCGCTTTTTGTTGTGGTTTGGTAGCGGCCTTCTGCTTTGGTTTCTGTTGCTTTCTCTTCTTTTCTCAGCGGCTGTTCCCCCCCCCCCCGTGTTCCAATATTGGTCATGGTGTTCTTGCCGGCCTTTTGGTTGCCTTGCTATTTTCGGTAATCTTCCCTTATTTGACCGCAGGTCCAAGGCTGACAGTTCCGAGTTGAAACGTAGTTGTTTGAAGAATCATTCTCGTCAGAGACAACACATGTGAGTAAGCTGTTGTGTGGTGAAAGCTGCCACGCAAGAGCTACCCGAAAGCAGCATTGCACCCAGTCCCGCCTTTGGATCACATCCAAAAACGAAGGGACGTCACACATTTGTAGGCCATGGCTTCAAACATCGGCTACGTCCGAGCAACCAGGACGCAGAAACCCAAGGATCGGTCCTTCGCGCGAGGTCGGGTCCACTTGGAATCGGCGACATGCGATGGACCCCCCAAATATGATCAACCAGATGGTGAGTGCTTGGATTCGTCCCTGGATAAATCCCACTGGACTCCAAGACTATTGACAGCCTCCAAAACTCCACAACTGAGGATGTCAAAAGAGACGTGAACGGTAAACCGTTCTGAGAAACACTCAAACACCTATTAGGAAACTGGCTGTCCTGAGATCTTAACTTTTAATGGGTTCAATGGCCCCACTAAACCCTACAAACCTAAAAACCTATCGGGACGGCTGGGACCCGCCAAGGGAAGGGGCACCAGGCGGCACCAGGGTCCAAAACGCGGCCATGTTCTTGAACCCCCTGCAAGCAAATGCGTGCCACAGGCAAGTGGGTGGTTTTACCCCCTTTGGTTGGATTTGGGAAACCGAAAGGAAAATCACAATCGTTGGGTGCGCTCATCTACCATGTCCTTTCGGAACTGGTAGCTCCGAAAGGGCCCCGTTCATAAAAGCAACGTTGGAAACCCGATCCGCACTGGCTCCCTTCCAACCACCAGCTAGTAATTTGGGACAACACAAAAATGTGGTTTTCCTTCTGGTCTCCCTCTAAAACCACAGAAAAAGAAGGGGTGCCAACTCCAAGCAACGACGCCAAGTGACGCTGTGACCCTTCGGGTGCCGCTTCGAGCGCTCCTGGGCCAGTTTGGCGATGGGATGTTCCGGGCCGGCGCCGTGCAACCACTGCGCGCCCATCTCGATCACGCTGCCTCGCGCTTCGCGACGCGCTTCGCGACGCGCTTCACGCTTGCTAAGGCTGGGGTTTCCCTTCGATGGGGTCGCTTGAAAAACGCGGTGCAACTGTTGCATCCCGCGTCCACTGCGGTTTTGCCATGGTCAGAGCTTGCTTCGCGGCTCAGGGGATCGCCTATGTGTTGCACAAATGCGATGTCAATCCAACCTCTGACCCGTTTTTGACGATCTGATGTCGAGCATAAAATATCAAGAACTGAAGCAAACGACCAAAACTGTGCAAATTAAGCAAAGGGCTTCTGAAACCAGACCTCAAATGTTCACAAGATGTTGTGTCTTGCGATGTTGTTGGGGTTGGGGTTGGAGAACAAACATGTTACCTGAACAATGAAGCATCAGGAAACCCACAGCACTGAAAGTGGGTGCTCACATCCTCCTCTCCCGGATGACACTGCGCGGATCAGGCGGGAGGATGATGAAAAGCTTTGTCTTGGCTGAACCAGGTGACGGCCTCAATGGTAATAGTCTGACATTCCACAATACACCAAAATGTGGACCACAAGTGACAAGAAACAACACACAACCGACATTATCTCCCATGACTTCTATGGGATGGTTGCAATTGAGTTTCGCACTTTCTGCATTTGCTATACCGTTTGTCAAGAATGAGTTGAGCAATAGAAACTTCTAAGTTCATACCCGTATGCCTGAAAAACACTCAATTCATTCACTCCTGGCGTTCCAACCTCAGTGATTTCCAACTTTTTGCCCCTGCCGCAATGGAGGAATCTCCAGCTTAGGGGCTTGCAGCTGCGTGGGCCTTTCGGCCTCAGCCTGGTTGCTGCGCATTTGCTTCACACATCTCAAAGTGTGCTTCAGAGCTCCAGGTGATCGCCGAGCATTCTGGTGTCGGTGGCTCCGTCTGCATTTATCCTCACACAATCCCCAGCGGATGTCCAACCATTCCTACTGAGTGCGGTGCGCATACATCGATTCAGGTGAGGCGATGTCGCCTTTTGGGACAAAGGCCCGAGACACCTCGCGCGTTCGGGCGTAGAGTTGCCGCGCGTGAGCCAATCCGTCCGCACTGTATCTCTCCAAAGCCTTGTCGATGTCATGCGCACCAAAGAAGGCTTCCTCAGTTGCCCAAGAGGTTCATCCTTTGGAACCTTGACCAAAAAGTGGACCAAATCTTTTGGAACCTTGACCAAAAAGGTGGACCGATCACAAAAACCAAAAGAATCAAAGGCCGACTCTCTTTGGGGCAGGCGAGCTTCACGCAAAGCCAAGGCATCCAGAATGGCGGTGTGAGCGCCCACCGCTGTCCTGGGGCTCGCCATGTGAGCCGCGTCGCCCAGCAGCAGGACACGGCCCTTGTGGACCCGGTCGATGTTCCCAAACTCGAACTGCGGATGGGGCTGGAGCTCTCCTCGTCGCACGATCGCTTCCACCAATGGCAGCAAGTGAGGGACTTGGGCAAAGTGATGCTCCATGTGAGTGAGGAACCACTCTGGGACTTCGGAGTTGGTGTTGTCGCCGTGTCTTGCAGCACCATCCTTTTCCTTGTTCCAGTACTTCGATATCTCAGATTCCGGAGTTGCAATAAAGGTTCCAAATGTCCACACATCTTCAGAGCTGTCTTTCGCCATCCTTAAAACAATGGTGTCGTAAATGCCACTCTTGTACACTCCTTCCACATGCTCAGCGTCACGCAGTTGCTCGCGAGACAGCTTGGAAGTCGATATGCTTCCTCTCCAAACAACGTAGCCAGCATACTCTGGTTTGACAATGTCGCCCAAGACATTCTCCCTCAACGCCGAAAAGCCGCCGTCCGCTAAAACCACCAAGTCATATGGCTTGTCACCTATCAGCGGCTTGTCAACAGTGCCCTGCAGTTCTGCAACGGATTTATCAAAGTAAACCTTGACTGTGTCCGAGGGCAAACCGTCGTAGAGAAACAGCCACAAGTCACCATAGTAGAAAGAGCCTTGTGCTCGCGACGCTCGCCGACCGCGGCGGATCATCGGACGTTGTGTCAGCCTCTCCCAGGATTGGGTGTCAACAAAACCTAGGCCACTACCTTTCTTGCTCATCTCAGTTGGCGACCGTTCGTGGACATCAACAGACCAACCTGACTGGGCCAAAGCATGTGCTGCTGCCAAGCCACCTAGAGAACCGCCCACAATAGCGGCCTGCCGCGCAGCAGGAGAAGTAAACGAAGAGGACAAGCTGCTAATTGAACAGCCCGCCATGCTGCGACCTGCCCTTCAGCTGCACAAGCAGCCACTGGAGAGGTATGTTCGAGATTGCCGTGCTCGGACGGGCTTCATGTGCTTTGTGATTTGAGCCAAGAGGCGGTGGTCGGGTGGTGCGCACTGCGAAGAGAAAATTTGCACCCCAGACATGATAAGCATATCCATTGTTCGGAACTGCAAGTCCTTGCAAGGTGTTCCCATGGGTAGTAAGGGGCTTGAAGTCAGTGGACTTGGCACTCAACAAGCTATTGGCCGGCATGCGCCGAACCAATAAACATTCAGGGGTGCCACAAGATAGTGACCTCAGTCCTCTTCAATCCTTGCGAGTCGTCTGTTCCGCTGTTGACCTTTTTTATGCTGCCTCAAGTAGGCCACCAGCAAGACGATATTTTGAAGATGGTTCAATTGGTCTGGACCTGCTTTTGACATCACTTCCGTATATTCTTGTCAGGCAGCGCAACCCGCCATCAAAGTGTCTTGTCCTGCGTAGAAAGAACTGCAGAGGCATGAGCCCAAAAGGATGAAAGCCATGCCACTTCAAACAGACATGAAACCCGAGAAAGCTGTCAATCATGACGTAGGAGCGGCGATCATTGAGCAAGAACAGCATTTGGAAAAACTTGGCAACTTTGCTGCAGATATCTAACTCTTCCAGCAAACTGTTTGTTTGTTCAACAAGGCGCCACAAGGTGGAATGTGAGGATGCTGCTGGGGTTCTGGCAAATCATCTGTGGACCCAAGAACATGTTGATCAAGCACCTCCCCCCAAACACCCCCAGAAGAATGTTATAGGCCTGCTTACAATCCCAACACAACACAACACAACACAACACAACACAACACACACACACACACAGACACACACACAGACACACACACTCACTCACTCACTCACTCACTCACTCACTCACTCACTCACTCACTCACTCACTCACTCACTCACTCACTCACTCACTCACTCACTCACTCACTCACTCACTCACTCACTCACTCACTCACTCACTCACTCACTCACTCACTCACTCACTCACTCACTCACTCACTCACTCACTCACTCACTCACTCACTCACTCACTCACTCACTCACTCACTCACTCACTCACTCACTCACTCACTCACTCACTCACTCACTCACTCACTCACTCACTCACTCACTCACTCACTCACTCACTCACTCACTCACTCACTCACTCACTCACTCACTCACTCACTCACTCACTCACTCACTCACTCACTCACTCACTCACTCACCTCACTCACTCACTCACCTCACTCTCACTCACTCTCACTCACGCACTCACGCACTCACGCACTCACGCACTCACGACTAATGCACCCACGCACTCACGCACTCACGCACTCACGCACTCACGCACTCACGCACTCACGATCACGCACTCACGCACGCACTCACGCACTCACGCACTCACGCACACCGCACTCAGCACACCGCACTCACTCACTCACTCACTCACTCACTCACTCACTCACTCACTCACTCACTCACTCACTCACTCACTCACTCACTCACTCACTCACTCACTCACTCACTCACTCACTCACTCACTCACTCACTCACTCACTCACTCACTCACTCACTCACTCACTCACTCACTCACTCACTCACTCACTCACTCACTCACTCACTCACTCACTCACTCACTCACTCACTCACTCACTCACTCACTCACTCACTCACTCACTCACTCACTCACTCACTCACTCACTCACTCACTCACTCACTCACTCACTCACTCACTCACTCACTCACTCACTCACTCACTCACTCACTCACTCACTCACTCACTCACTCACTCACATCATTTGGGTGTGGGTCAAAAAAAACATAACACCCCAGGTTTGAGTCTGTGTTTACCTTTCCCAGGGTTCCGTTTTGGGTACCTATTTCTTGACCCACGGCCATTTCCCCAGCCAAGGGGCCGTCGCTGAAGGTGTCGGACCACACACGGCCACCCAGGCGATCTCTCGCCTCCAAGACCTCCGAAACGGGCGGTTCGGCGTTGTTTGGGTGGGTGCGTCGTGTGGTTTTCAATGGTACCCGTTTGAGGGCGTTGCTTCAAAAGGGAAGTCATGGGGACCCCCCCCTCAACACCCGCGTTGTTTTTCGTTTTAAGGATCCAGGGGTATGTGTTTATCCGTATTTGTCCCGGGATCCTTCGAAACACGCCCCGGAAACCCAGGCAAATTGGCTGCTTTGCGAAAGAACCATAGTTGAAAAGAATGGACATGAACCCCTAGGTGGTACCCTCTTTGGGGCGTTGCTTTAAAAGGGAAGTTACAGGGAACCCCCTCCCCTCCCCCATTTTTGGGGGTCACCTTATTTGAGACGCACACGTTGTTCCCCAAAATGAGGAAAATGGGGGAGGGGGGCCATGTAGAGAAACCTCCAATTGCACCTGTTACGTTCAGGGTTTAGAACAGTGACAAGAAGTCCGAAGGACACACACGAAAAATAACCAAACACAAACGCAACAAACACAGCAACAGCTGCTTCCCCTCAAAGAGCAGGAGGAACCCCAAAACGGCTGGTGCTCCCTTTTGTTTCTCTAAACACCAAAGAACAAGTCTGTTGGTCAAAATAGGGGTTCTGAGCTATGAGAATTGCCGCGCCACTTCTATAGGGTACCACTGAGAACAATGGATCAATGGCTTAAAGACTCAATGTGTTCTACGCTGATGACCTGGCTTATATATATATATATATGTATAACTGAACACAAAGATAATAGAAGCTTGAATTACTTGTTGAAAAGCGCTGGCTGTAGACAAGACTGCCACAGTCTATTTCCCCTAAGAATAATGAATTCATTTGCAAGTAAAAAGGGGTTGGTTTCCTTTTTAAGGGAATAAGATATCGTGCTTTTCTTGTAATCCCAAGTATTTGCTTGGTTGGTCATTTAGGTAGGTTTCCCGTGCGAATAACCTGTCAATACTGTAGTGTGTACTTTCTTCGAATAATAACACTGACAGGTAACTTCTTTACTGATAAGATGAAAAATGGAAAACGGTGGGGTTGCTCACACCAATGGATTCATTATCATGTCATACAATCTAATTATTTCAAAGAAACTACAGGCCTTGTAATTAGTATTACGTGCTATGTTTACTATTGACGTCTGGTCTGTGGTGTGGGCTAGAGTTAGCCACTGGGCCGGCTACGTTTGCTGCGGCCGAGTCGCCGTGACTTCCACTTCAGGCGCCAGAGTTTTCACCTGGGCAGGGGCCGAAGAGAGCGAGCACCGAATGGTGGCAAAGCACACGCACAGAAAAAGAAACGCATGCAAGTATATGGTTGTGTATGTGTGTGCATGACACCACGTGCATGTGTAGATATATGCATGTATGTATGTATATATAAATATGTATATATATATATATATATTGTTGTACTGGTCTACTTTGCGGCTTGAAAACAACTTTTATATATGCATATATACATATGCACATGTTCTAGTTCTCCATGTAAAGACTAACCTCTCTGCGTATACTTGCTTTTATTTATTGCACACATGGTCATGTTTACAAGTTCAATTCAACATGAAATCATCGTTGTGCTACCATCCCCAATCGGAGTCAGTGGCAGGAAGCTGAGGGGTCCGGCACTTTCGGCGCCAATGGGTCTTCTCACCGTTATGGTCACGAGGGACCGCAAGGCTTGAGACATAGCAAGGGACAGACCGGTCAAATCACACTTGGCTCCATAGACAAGCGTAGACTACAATTCCAAAAGCGACGATGGATTCTACAGCAAAGTCCCTTCCCTTGTTTTTGTCCCGTATCGTGGGGGCCCTGATAGTTCGGCACCTTTTCTGTTTTGTAGGCCCCAAAACCATAAAGAACAAAGCAGGTCCACAGCAATGCTGTGCAAGGGTCAAAGAAACTGTCAGAAAAAGAGAAAAGGACATAAACATGCATAGGGAAACCAAAATAATGGTCCATATCCAATTTTCAGACTACACCCAGAGTACTTGAGCAAAGTGCTCCCGCCTGCTTGGCGGCGGCGAGGCCGCTCACGCCGGCGCCCAGCACCAGGATCCTGCGGTTTCGCGGGCGTTCAGAAACCTGGGCTGTCCGTTTTTGTTGACGCCCCCGGGCATTTTGTTTTTAAAGTGTGTCCAGTAGTGATAGATTCCCTTCAAAACCAACAAGGGAAAATAGGACATATTCTTAAGCAAATGGAAGTGGCTTGTCCGTTTTCAGATCCCCCGCGAAAAGTGAATAACTGTTAGTGGGTTAAATTCGGAAACCCTGCCACTAAAAAGCTAACAAGCTCAATAGCAAAGGAATCGGATGGCTAACCACAAATGGAAAATGGCTGCACCATGTTCTTTTGGGGGGCCTGCATCCTAAGGAGAAGACACGCCGATGTCTATCTCAAAATATGGGCTCCAAAAACAATGGGGCCCGGCTGGTATGGCATGGGTTTGGAGGGAAACCCAAAAGAAAACAATCTGTTTTTTTCTCCCGGAGTTTGAGAACACATGTTCGTACATGGGTACGCGGCACAATAGGGACTTGATCTTCCTTGTGGCATCCCTGCCAACCAACCTGAAAAGGGTAGCCTAAAAAGGCAAACACACCCAGTGGGGCCCCAAAGAAGGAAGCGGAGTCCCAAGCACGAGCAGGGCCTTCACTCCAGAAAGGGTGTAGAAGCCACTGGGGACGGAAGTATTCAAAACCTTCCGTGGCCTAGAGCTGATTGCTCCCTCGCCCGCGCCACGGTCCTCTTCCGGCCATCTTGCGCCATCCGCGGCCCAACACCCCCGCGCCGGGCGCGGCGCTGGTGCCCGCGAGCCAAAACCGCGGCGAAATTTTGCGGAGGTCCCCTGCATGGCATGCCAGATGACGAAGTCAGGGGGACATGAAAGAGCGTGAACCAAACAAAATGGCACCATTCATCACTTCGAAACTTTGCCAAGCTTTGCTGGCTGAGGATTCTGCTTGTAAATTCATGGGCACAAAGACCACCCAAGTGGTTGTGGGTCGCCCTTGAAGCCGCCGGCTCAATCCCCCGGCCTCACCAGCCGCCAGTGGGGTCCATACCTACGCGGTGCAAGTCACAGCTCTTGGTGCAGCCGAAGGACTCAGACGCTGCGTTGCATCCAACTTTCCTCAATGCCAAGAAAGAAAAAACCTGAACAAGGGATGATTCATCCCATTGAAGCTGCGCGGGACTCAAACGGGGCATGGACGAATCTATCACGAAACCAGGCATCCGAGATCCGAGGCCCCATCATCACTTTCTGAGACCGCAGGCCTGTTGTAACCCGTTTCGGTTTGGTGCCACCTTTACTGGGCAATTCAGACCCCGAAAATCATCTTTGGTCAACCATGTGTTCGAGCATGTCTATCTTACAATTGCTTCAACATCCTCCTGGTATCCTCAAGGGTGCCAGGGTGCAAAACTCGAATAAACAATAACCTTCATGCAAGGCATCTGGTTCCTGCTGTGACTTTGCAGCTGAGAAGGTGAAGGGCGGCTTCGACGCACCTTTGTCTTGGCCCACATCTGGGGTGCAGGAAACAAGCTTTCTGATGCTGAAACCAACGTCGCACACGAAACGGGCTGAGGCTCTCAAATCCCACAACTTGGAGCCAGCTCCAAGCACTACGAAGTGCTAGATGCTGTCTCATATCTAGTCTACCCCAAAAAATAGATCTCAGCTTTCGGAGGAGACCCAGTAGTCCTCAAGCACTGCTACCCTTTTGGCGCAAGCAAACACTTGCGCTCCCCTGAGCCGCCGGGCTTGCTCCTGACCTGACAACCAAGTTGCGAGCATAGCGACTCTTCCCGTGACTCAATGGGCCAACTAGACCTACTATACCTCGGTTACTGTCATGGAACATCCGACCTGTTTCAACCAAAAAGTTTAAGTCCAAAGATCCAAACAAATCGCCATAAAGATACTTTACCTGCCACACCTACCATAGAACTACCATACCTAAGCATTGCTAGCCCCGAAGGGGCGAATCGCTGGTTGCACTGCCTGCAAGGGCTCCAACAGCGACTGGACAATTCTGGAGGGGTCCATGGCAGGGGGCTTGTCCCTTTATGAGGCCGTTGCCTCAAAGCTAAGCCCCCCGCCAAAAAAAACATAAATTTTCCCTCCTGTGGGTTTCGTGTTCCAACCACACAAAGGGGTACCCTGGAAAAAAAGAAAGACCCCCCAAATCAATCTTTGTGGATGTTGGCGTTCCCGGGAGTTACCGTCTGGTAGGGTACCACTGAAGAACTGGAGTCAAATTTAGGGCACGCTACTTTTTCATTCAGCTTTCGGGGCAAAGCGAAGGATGGAGCCCTAGAGGATCTGAAAATCAATGGCGTAAGTTCCTAGGATTGTTTTTGTCTTTCTTTCTATTTTTTCGAATACCATCAAAAAGGGGGAGGCTCTCCTTGTTGAATCACGTTGGGTGTCTTTTTTAGGGACCCCCCCGGAAGAACATGGTGGTTATCCTTTTGCTTTTCCTCTAAAAGCACCAAAAATGGTTCGAAAGGAATCCGGCCCCCAGGGCATAACTTCAGCCGGGGCAAACCGAAGGAAACCAAAACAACTCCCTACTGTGGATGGACGAAGTCCACTTGGTTAGCCCACGATTATCCACAATTCACACCGGGGGGGTCTCATGTTTCATCCATCCCAACTGGTGCAGGAGTCTGTCCATCCACAATTGATCTCATTTTGAGTCTCGGAGAATTCCTGCGTATTGTGAGCCGTCAATTCCCCAAGAAGTCATGACCATCCCTGCCAACAGCACGTTATTTCAAAAGGGTGTTCACCTGGGAAGTAATGCAACACAATCCTTTTCTTGAGAGTCTGTCTTCAGTGACATGCTGTGCCGAAGGATCGGGGTGACTCGCTGCGCCCCTCTGTCGGCGTGCCGGTGGAATTCTTGGGTCGCAGAGCACAATGAGACCTAGTTCATGTTGACCCCGGATCAATGAACCCGTCCTAACGAGGGAGGTTCCCTCCAATCGTGATGAATCCCCACTACACCTGGGACACCCCACTAAGCTGGGGGTTCATCGCGGCGGACTCCGCGTGTTCGTCCCCCGTTTTGGCACTTTACTCTTTTTCAGCTTCCTCCCGCGGTTTGGATTGGGTTGGGTGGTTTTCCCCAAACCAAGCCCAATCCAAACCCACCTGGCGGTGCCTGACTGTTGACTCCTTTCCAGGACAAGTGGTTGAGAAAGAAATGACCCGGCGATGAACCACGGGGCGGAAGGGCACTGAGCAAAACGAGAGACTGGGAGCCCCGGCCGTGGGGCCTCCTGCCAGGTCCGATCGATTTCAGTTGAAACCTTGAAACCAAATCACCCCAGCGATTGCTGGTGGTTCAAAGGGGTTAAACCCGGGTCCCCCAAAGTTATTTGGCGACCTCAAAAAGGTTGGCGATCAGGGGCTTCGGCGTCGGCGCCCTTTGGGGGGGTTGAGCCACGCGACACCAAACCCGCTCCGTTCCATACCAATCCCTGGGAACCAAGTGAGTGGCTGGATCTGGGTGTTTGACTCGTTTTTCCACTCACAACTGGGCAATTGAAACCACGCGCGCCCTTTGCGCTTGCTTGGCCATGTTGGTTCAGTCCCTTTACTTAGGTCTGGGAGGAATCGCGAAGTGGTTAACCCTGGTTGTAACCCACCAAAGCCATGGTTGTGAGTTCCCGAAAAACATGGCAAGGCTCAAGGAACCCTTCACAAGATCGAACATCTAAAACGCATAGGATCAATGGCTATGGAAACAATATATTATATATGTGGATTGATTACAATATATATTTTATGCATACATATGTGTATATATATATATATGCTGCCCTCAGATCCCCCGCTAAAAGTTTAACTTTTAGCGGGCTAAATGGAAACTGCCACCAAACACTAACAGGCTAAATGGCTAAGGAACCGGATGGCTGGGAGCCACCAAGATATACGAGGCTTCCTTTGTTACATGCCATTCGCTCCTTGGACGCCCGCAGAGACAGGGCGAAGCCTGGGCAGGGCTCACTGGACGGCGCTCGCCATGCCAACCGGTTGCGGTTGGGAAAACGACGAACACCTCAGAAAGCTCACCCCCTCCCAGCCCCCATGAAAAGCGGTGTCCCCATCACCGGGTGCTGAGATGTATGTTGTTTCTTGAGAAAAAAAAAGGTGGCTTTATATCTTAATTATATCTTTAAAACCCTGATTGAGATAGGGGTCCTACGGGGAATGGATAGTTTGTAGCAGAAGCGTTCCCTATATGTCCCCCTTAAACATCACCCCGCTAAGAGGAAACTCACGATCAGTAGCACAGGTGATGCTTAAACTGGCTCAAAAGGAAAAAAGGGCCCCCTCTACTACAAGCGCCTCCTACACTACAAGGGCGGGAATGAAAGAAATGGAGTGTACTTTCAACTCAAATGAAGCCATAATCACAAGAGCGCAATAATGCTGCAATGATTTAGCCCCCTGGTATTAGACCACCATGATATGAATTCCTCTTAAGGGAACACGGCCATGTCTGGCTTGCTTTTCCCTTGTCTAGAAAAGATGATTTTCTCATGCGGGACTCATGCGCATCGTGGTACTGGTCAAGCCCAGCCGGCTGGTCAAAATATCCCCAAACAATTCGTGGGCATCAATTTAATGTCTTGGTCTTGATCCGCATCATGAGCGGTACCACGGCAAACAAATTGTGCCTACAATGATCAGAGCTCGTGCTGCGCCCAATTCATGATTGATCGTCGCCTGGAATAAATTCCAACACTGTCATGAGACATGTTCTTTGCTCAAACCACATGAGTTGAAAAGGTACACTGTCCGCACCCAACCAATTTTCATGCTTCGATAAGTCATCAAAAGAAGGTCGAGGTTGAATGATGGAGATGGACCCTTGAAAGGAACATCTTTCCCGGCATCATTTCCATTGGGGTTCATTCCCTTTCCCAACCATGTTTGAAGGGGCGCCCACCACTGAAGCTCAAAAAAACATCGGCCCTCTACCTTACCCTATTGATTTGGGAAACAAATTAGCGGGGATGCGGGAAGCAGGGATGTGCGAGGATTCCCTGTAAAGAAACCATACCCGACAAATTGTTCCACATCCCTGCTTCCCCGGCTACCCAAGGTGCAACTCCGAAACTGCAGACAGGGCGCCAGCAAAACAGATTTCCACTTTGGAGTGGCACAAGTCCCTCCAATCCACAGCATGGCCCACCCCCAGAGGGGCATGACCTATGGCTCCATTTTAGGGTGGATGAACATCCATTTGCCACCTATTTTGATGTTCACCAGGGGTACAGGGCTGGTGACCCACGGCCACATGTAGTCGCCCTTAACTCTTTAAAGGGCCAGGGTTTTGTTGAGATAAGGGACCGCTATAAGAAGTGCTTGGAGACCCCAGCCTTGGAAGGCTCAGCTCCCGCATCGACGAATCGACCGATTCTCGGGCCCCTGCGGCAGCCCGCGGCCTCGGCTTTCGACCCAAGCCCCTTGGCTTTTGGGGAAGGGATTATTTTGCCATGGGTCAAAATTAAACCTCCAGGGGACGGCAGCTTTGTCATTCCATTTGCCAGGGAAACCCACTTTGGGCACCTCTTTTTCACCAACCGCCATTTGGGTTCGTCTCCAAATGAGGGAACCCGATAACCAACCGTGGTGTTCCTCTTGCCCCTTAACCAAGCGGACACCAACAAAAAGACACAGTCCAGAAGGGCCGTCAAAAGGTGTGCTGTTCACCAGCAATGCCTGCGCTCGAAGAGTTCCAAGACAGATGCAGAGCATCTGGTGCATTGGCCCCAGGCGCCCGAGCTCTGGCAGACGAAATTTCAGCTGTTTTGCAGAAGACATATGCAACACAAGAAACACAAACTGTGGACATCTACGCCCAGATGGAGTAATTCACAAAGCCGGGCTGGGGTTTTAGAAGGGTTCAGGGGGTTCCTGTTGAGGATGCCACTTGGGCCTATTGGTAAAAGGTGCGGATGTTCATGGATCTCATTGCCAGCTCTTCCACGCCCATGTTTGCTGGTCGGGTCGACTGAACAGGACTTTTCACCAACCACTTGAGCGGGAGGTGAAAAGTCCTACTAAGCCACTGAACAACAGGTTACCGCGTTTTTCTTGGGATACAGTAGTGGCTGGGTAGTGAAAACTGTCTGGATGTCTTTTTTGAGCGTACCTCACTCCCACTAACATGGCAACTGGGTACCTCCCACAGGTACCTCCCCAGTAGGTACCCTCAAAAATGGCACCAAAAAAGGGGTACCAACTCCAAAAAGACCCCAACCAACCCCCGGCACTTTGCCAGGGGCCCCCTGCCTGCCGAGAATCTGCGCCTGCCGGACATCAACGGCCATGGCATGTCAGTCAAAGAAGGCAACCACCGGGACCCCCACACGACCCCTGTTTCTGCCTTTATACCCCTTTTTTTTATGGGTCAAAGGTACCTCCAAAAGCAACAGTTTCAATGGAACCCCCCCCCCCAGTAAATTGCAGCTCTTGAAGACAATGGGCAACAATTTTCTTCTTTTTCTCATCCTCTCTTCCGGAAAAATAAATGTCTGGAGCCGGGACCCTGGTTTTAATCCACCGGAAACTTCGGTCTCTTACGCTGGAGACCCGGTCACGCCTCGGCCTCGGCGCAGTGGAGGGCCTCCGAAGTCATTCGACCAGTTCCCTCCCTCCGAATCCCGGGCACTTTGCCTCCGGTCGAATGGGTATCCGATATGCCCGGGGAACATTTTCGGCGGGAAACACGTGCCATGCCAGTTTTTGTGGGGCCCGCGCCTGCGATCGGAAACCGACCATGAGAAACAACACGGGTCATTGCTCGAAAACCAATTTATGGAAGACCGCAGCCAAAAGCCCAAAAAAAGAGATCCGCTCTTTGCAGACTGGTATGGGTTCAATGATTACCCGCTGGCCGAACATGGAACCCACCAGGAGGAAAAGAGTCTTCCAGCACTCTGAGAGGATGGGAGGGTATCCAAAAAATTGAACTAGGTCCATTGAACCACAAAATTACCCTACGACATGCAAGTGATATCCTCAAAATTAACCTCTGAATGCGTGAATGGTGGCTTTAAGCAAAACTTTGCCAACCCGGCGAAATGCTCAGCTCTTGGAACCCACTCAAATCACCAATTGCCCCTGTTTGGTGACTTGGCTTGGTAGTTTGGACGCTAGCGGGCACTGCAGCCGGCGGGACAATTGCATGCAACTGGCTACGCGTTTTGTGTGGCCACCTCCCCTTTCGGGTTGGAATGGGTAAAAAATAAGTACCCAAAATGGGTTGTCCTGATTAATGGAAGGACTGAAACCTGCGGTCCAATTCCTGGTGGATTCATTTTGACCCATACCCAAATGCAAACCAAAAGGAAACTCCACTGCCACTTTCGGCGTTTGCCAAAAGGAACCTCCACCGCCACTTTGGGGGGTCCCCCAAATTTTCAGAAATTCTCGCTTGCTTTCTGCTCCCCTGCTTGAAGTTTAACTTTTAGTGCTTCAATTTCGAAAACCCACTAGTTGGCAAAAAGCTCAAGTCCTGACATCCCTTGGAGAATGCACCTCTGGAAACACTCCCCTCCCGGCCTCAGACCTTCCAGCCGCGCCGCCAGCGCCGCCGCCGAAGGCGGCGGCGCCGCGGAGCGCTTGGAGGACGCCGGGGAGGGCGGGCGCCGGGTTTTGAGGCGCCGCTCGGGCGGCAGCTCCTCCGAGGCCTCCGAGGACCCGTCGCACCTCCGGGTCCGCGCGAAAAAAAAACACCGCCGGTTCCCTCCGAAGAGATCGGGAGGGGAGCCATAGGGGGACACAAAATCGTAAGGGGAAAAACTACCAGAGGGTTGGGGGGGGGGAGGGGGAACCTGGGAAATATGATAGAACTGAACCAACTTACCGAGATTTGGGCCGTTTGGCCACTCTAGGGCACCCCCCCTTCGGGCCACGTTGTTGTTGGTGCTTGTTCCTTTCAGCAGGGAAATCGGGACATGGGGGAACGACCACGAAATGAATGGAGGAAAACCACTGAAGCGAAACTAGCCTAAACCGCCGCATGGACCATTAGAGCGGGGTTGCGGGGCAAGATGTACCTCATCATAGAATTAAACCAACTTACCCAGTAGATCCCAGGCGCTTGCCACCGCTATAATAGCTAACCATTCGGAAAGCGGAATGGCTGGGTTTGGCGTCCTCTTTAGACTCTCAACACCCCCACCAAACCCACCGAGCCCACCGAGCCAAACCCGCCAAACCCAACACCCCTTCCCAAGCCCTCATTCCCTAAGGAACTACCCCTGACACTTCTCCCTTCCTCTTCCTCACCCTGCCCTCCCCCCCCAGGCACCCTACCACCCATGCGTCTTTTTGGGGACACAAATAGATTCCACTGGTAAGCGCTTGGAACCAAACCGAAACTCATGGAATCCAGCTGCAAACAGCGCACTTCTAGAACCAACCCGATCATTGCAAAGGGTCCCAAGCATGCGCGACTGGTGCGGAACACGTTGCCTGCACGACCTTGTGCTTGGCTTATGGCACTGATGAACAACCCCCTCGAGGGAATCGACTTGCCACGGTGGCCATTCAAGTTGACGCAAAGCTACGTCACGTTGCCTTTCCATTTTTCTCCCAAAAACTCACACATTTCTGCGACCATGACCTCCTGTCAGGTTCCATGTAACTGGCTAGGAGTCTGATTCCTCACATCGGCTTCTCCGACGACTTTCCAACCGGGCCTCTGCTCATCCTCCTGGCAACCGTGTGCACCGGTGCGTGTGAAGCCACCCCATTCTGCGCTCGAGGTGCTTCTGAGAGCCTTTCTGCGGGCTGTCCGGAGTCAGGAATCCGGCAAAACTGGCAAACCTCGCCTTTTCGGAAGAGGTCCTTCCTTTACCGAAAGAAAAAACACAGAAGTCGCCCCTCAACCAAGACAAGCACACCTCTCGTCGAAATGCCTCTAGGCCATGAATTCATGGCTGTGTCAAAACGAGTTGAACCGCTTCAAATGGGTGTCTCATTTTTAGAGCATCTTTGTCACCTGGCTTAACGGGAAACCAACAGGAACCGCGGCCACTTCGGGGTAGTTCCCCTTTTTTGAGTCAAACCCAAATTGGAGCACTTTCATGTTGGTTCGTCCATCAAAGGGTGGAGCTTGCGACGGATCCGTCACAAAACCAGGGCTGTGTTCAGTAGATTCTTAGGCACATCCAGCCAACCATTTTCAGAAATGACCAAACCCCAAAGCCGTTGTTGGGGGTTTGGAGCTGGGACCACTTGTGGGGGGTCCCCCTTTTGAGGCATACCCGTATGACAGTTACTTCTCCTTGCTTCCTCTTGACTTCGGGGATTGGAATTGCACTGGTCTGGGTTGCAACTCATGCCAAGATACAAGAAACGGCGAAAAATCATTGAAGTCATAAAAAACATGAGTAGGCGTCTTCATTTCAAGGCTTCCTGGGCTTCCTCAGTAAAACACCCCGATCTTATGACCTCTCTTCTGGATTGTCCATTTCACCTGACGCTCGTGGCATGGGCTTGAAATAAGGGAACCCTCGAAAACGACAGGTTTCCCTTTGAGTTGCCTTACCCTCAAAATGGGCACTTCAAAAAAGCGAGCCTCACCGAGCACGAGACGAGCGCCCATGACTTCCAGATGCGTATGGGGTCTTGTTTCCCAAAGCATCGGGTAGCTCTTTGCGGGACCTTGTCTGAAAAGAATGCCAGCCTCCAATGCCGTGGTGAGCATTGACAACTTTTCAGAACTTAAAATCCTCTCCTTTCAAAGGCTCTGAAAAAACTTCCTGAAACTTGAAAACAGCAAACCCAAGCCCTAGTCAACCCAAATCACTCCCGAAAATCTCGAAGACCTCGAACCTCAAACATCCTCCACCAGAAATCAACCCAGGGCCATGGGCGCAGCCCCATAGGTGGCCTTTTGGAGAAAAATCGATGGGTTTCCCTGGCAAATGGGGCATAAACCCAATCTAAACCAGTGGAGCCCCATCTATTTTTAACCAAACTAAGCGATGAAAAGGACACCTATGTGGCTGTCAGTCAAAATCCCATACCCCCAGTGAACATCCACCAATCCAACCCACTAAAACAGGTCCTACATTTTGGTGGTGAATTCACCCACCCCAAAATGGGATCCCATGCTTTTTGGCCCACAGCCAAGCCCAAGAAACCCAGCCATGTACAGCCAACCCACCGCCCTGCAAACGTGGGAAGCCCCCAGATCCCTTCCCCTCCTCCTCCGGCTCCTCCTCCTGCGGCTCCTGCGGCTCCGGTGGCTCCGGCTCCAACAGCTCCGGCCTGGCCGCGGAGTTGGCCCGGGCCAACCCGAATTTCCCCCCCCCCCCACTCAAAACCAAGAAACGCGGAAAGAAAGAAACGCCAAAAAAAAAAACGGGGCTGTCCGTTTTCTGATCCCCTGCCAGAAGTGAATACCTTCTGGTGGATCAAAGGGAATCCCAACCTCTAAAGCAACATGATACCGACGGCTGGGAACCGCCAAGCAAAGAGACACCTACGACAATCGTACCGGGGCAAAAGTGGACTAGGCTGCCTGAAAAGGTGTGCTCGAGAGCTGATTCTGATCCATAAAAGCAGAACCAGGATAAGGGTATGTGTGTGTGTGTTGAAAACATGCATTTGGATCCTCAAAATGGTGGGTGCCCTGAAACCAACCCAAACAAGGATACCTCAAACAAGCACAAACCCACGTGGGGTTGCAACATACTCGCATGCAAAGGATAACCGGCGCTTTGTTTGTACTTCAGGCAAACAAATCATGGTCCCTGAAATGCGTGAGGGATACTGCAATCGAACCCACAACTGCCTGCAAGAAAAAGCTCTCTCGCGGCCAAAGACATGCGCCATCTATTGTTTCTTGTAAGAATAGCACCGCCATCCCATTCCAAATGCCGCCGGTTCAACTTCAACTTGATATAGTCGAACCATCTTCGTTTGAGCGCCCCTGACTAGCTGGTTCTATCAGACGACCTCCTGCAGAAAGTGCCCACTTTTGCTGGCATGTGGGGAAGTCGCATCATTTTCCCACAGGTTCAAAGTGTACTTCCGGCACCAAAGCTGGCATTTCAAGAAAAACCAGCGGCAACTGGCTGTGAAAAAAGGTCCCTTTCGCCGACTCCCTGCCTGGCATCTTGAGCTGCTTCCCGGCTCGCAACGCCTGGCGACGAAAACGTCGGCCAGGCAGCTGCCGTTTGAGCTCCAAGCTCACCGCTTCGCTCTTCCAACCCTCCCACCACCGTCAATGGGCTGGGGGACAGGGGGTTCTAAGAGACCTCTATGGAAATTGGGTGTAGGACAAAGGGGGGAAAATTCCACTGTCCCCAACGGGTTCATTTATTCGTGACATGCTCAACATGACCCTTTACAGGGGTGGCTCGTCTTTTCTAGACCCCCCAGATTGGCCTTGGTTCTCCTCTATGCCCTCCGCAAAAAACGACCCCGGCCCAGGTGTCAAAGGCAACTCGCCTGGCTCGGCTCGCTCCTTGTCTTCCTCGGAGCGGCCGGGTTCCCAGGGGCTTCTTGTCTTTCCGGGGGATCCAAGGGGCGCCCATCCAAGAAACAGAGTCACCCATTGGCCAACGGGTTTCAACATGCTCGCCAGGGCGTATGTCCGTTGCGTGCATGGGCCTGGCTCAGCTATGGGGTTACGACAAAGGTGGCCAATTTCTGGCAGCCGTTCATCAGGGGCGTTTCCAAGTATGGCTTTTGGAGGTGTGGACGCCATACCAATCTAAGCTTAGGAAGCAACTACCCCTTGCACAAACGGTATAGAACCTCCCAATCCCATACCTGAAATGTCCATTGAAGGACCCTGCCCCGGGCCTCAATCGATGAGAACCACAGACCCAAATGGTTGCAATTTACCTCTTGACCTTGAAGGCCTTTGCCGGAGACTTGAGCCAGGGCCTACCTCGGAGACAAAGCCGGATGAGGTTACGAAAAGTCTCACTTCAAGGGAATTCCCGGCATTTCCGGAGAAAAGAAACAAACAAACAAACAAAAACGTCCCCCAGGCTGACGCGCTCAAAATCCGAGAAGATTGAAAGCTGGGATCGCGGGCCGGATTCGCGCAAACGCACATCCATTTACTGGTTCACGGCCAGGTTTGTGGGGAATTGAGCCAACCCCGCGCGGAGCAACTGGCCCGGCACCTTGCCAAGGTGCCACCACTAAAAGCGCCAGGGGCCAGCCAGCCTCATCCACCTGGGTCAAAACAGCTCCACGTGAGTTCGGAGTGGGGACTCTTTGTCGGACATCATGTCCATCAATTGATCCGGGTCTCATTCCAATTCATAGCTATGGGAATTGCATTCACATGAAGTCACCAGAGGGCAAGTCGCAATCCAAGCCTAGAGGGGGCCACCGACCGAGGAAGAAATCAACGGAGACTTGCACTGAGTTTTGCGGTGAGAAGGGTCCCGAAGGCGAATTTTTGCACCAAGTCTCGAAACCAACACACGCCCCGCGCAAGGCTGGAGCCCCTATAACAGGAATCATCATGCGAGGGTTAGGGTATGAAAGTTTGAGGGTATGTCGGAGTGATCTGGATCTGCGAAAACAACTTGACGCCTGCAAATGTATGGGGGGGGGGTTTTTGGCGTCGCCCTAAAAAGGATTCCCCGATTTAGGACACTCGGGAGACGAATGTCGCTCAAAATCAACGAGCCTATCGTCTTCCCGTTCACCTGCAAGGTTCCCAACGCCAACCTGGAAAACAATTGAGTGTGTCGCATTCGGAAGGGTCATAGATGGCCATAGGCCTGAACAAATTGCCGAGTTTGTTTTCTGCCCCCTGGTGCAAGTGGCAACCGTTGCAAGGGGCCCTTCAAGATTGCTTTGCACACCCTGACAAGCCACGTATTCACTCCAGAGAAGATTGACTTTGGTCAAAGGTTCTAAGTAGGGCCTTTGATTTCCTGGCGCGCCACCATGCTTCATATCCTTTTCGTGTCCCTTTGAACCCAAACAAAAGAAGATTCCGCAAAATGGACATCCCATTTCGTTTCCATGTCTACCCACTGGGTTCTTCGCCAGGAATGAACAGAACCAAACAGGCAAACACCAGCATCATCCAGCCTTCCCCTGGCAGGTTTGCTGCTTGGTGCGGGCTGCGGTTCTTCATCAACTGCATTGGGTGGACACGGGTTGGGTGCGGGTCAAAAAATATGCCCATTGCACTGCATCACCAACATCATCCAGCCTTTCCTTTGGCAGGTTTGCTGCTTGGTGCGGGCTGCGGTTCTGCATCAACTGCGCTCTATGGACAGGTTGGAGGCGGGTCAGGAAATGCAAGCACACGGAGCCCACTGCACTGCATCAGCATCATCCAGCCTTCCCATTGGCAGGTTTGCAGTTCCGCATCGACTGCATTTACAGTCTTTGTAATTTTCCCCCGGACATAGGAAAACGTGTGTTTGGCGTCTCTATGGGACACCCTCTGTTCAGTTGATCAACCAAGTTAATCCTGGGATAACATGTCCCTTGCAAAATCCCTTAAACAAACAGGGCAGAGCGAGTGGCACGGGTTCGGTCAACGTTAGACCCCCAATTCCGAGCGCTTGGCCCAACCAGAGGATGGACCATGCACGACGATTTTCAGATGGACCATATCTGGTCAATCTTACGATAAGGGTGCGGCATTTTGGTGGGACCCCCATTTTGGGTGGCTTTCCTTTTGTGTTTCCAAGCATAACAATGATAAAGAACAACACAAAAACGGGTACCCACCAAAAGGACTCGCCCATGTGGGAGGGTATCTGTTTGAAGGTTCCCAGTTGTGGATTGAAAAGAAAATCGAAAGGACACCGGCCATTTTGTGGGGGTCCCCCAAAATACAGGGCGCAAATAAATAAATATATATATATATATATGTATATGTACATATGCATATATATATATACACATATTTTATAAATACATACATATATATATACATATGTATATATATATATATATATTCCTATTTGCATAGAGAGAGAGAGAGAGAGAGGGGATCTTTCCCGAGAAACCCCCATGGCTCTCCGAGCTCTCCTCTCCCCGCTTCCCGCCTTTGGTGCCACTGGCGCATTGCAGGTGCGCGCGCCAGGCGGCGGCCTGGGCGTGATGGGTAGGGCATGGAACCTTTTCGGCTCGAGGCCTTGGAAATGAACCGGTTCAAAAAAATCCTCAAAGAAGGATTCAACTTTTGGGGGGATGGCCTTGGCGGGGTCATTCCATTTCTCGCAAGTTTCGGCAGTTCCCACTAGCATGGCACCTGACACAAATATTCAATATCCCTTGAGGAATGGGATCTTCCAGCTACCTTCGAAACAAAAAGAAGGTTGATAGTGGGAGGAAAGGCACTCTGTATTGTCAGTTGCGCAGGGACAACTTGCGTGGTGCCGTTTTCAGGTTGGTTTCAGGGAAAACTAAAAAGAAAACCGCCATCTTCTTGGTTCTAGTTCTGCTTTGCCAGAGAAAAACAGAAACCTGGGGCGTCCTCTGTTTGTTTTTGGGCGTCCAGCCGGCAAAAGGTCCAAGACCATCAAAGTGCGACCCGAGGACCAAGTGCTTCTTAACGGATAGTGAGTTCGGGTGTCTTTTTGCGGATCCCTTAGTGGCTATCCGCATGGTGTCCATTTAAAACCACGACAGAGGTACCCCACCCCCTGAATTGAATCCTTTCTGGGAACATTGCGTGTTTGCCGTCTGTCAGTCCAAGGTTGAAAATTCCCCGCATGTCGCGCGCCAACAATTTCTGCACACAGCATTTTGTCAGTTGAACCACGTGTCATAAGCGGCGAATCTTTTCAGGCGCGGCATACAAGTGACACGCGACACGCTCACAGCCAGCCGAAGGCAAAGGGGAAACAACAGAACAACCCCCCCCCCCCCCGCAGACAATGCGGGAGACACACACACACACACACACACACACACACACACACACACACACACACACACACACACACACACGCACCACGGCACACGCCTGGCTCAACCTCTCAACCTCTTAACCTCCCAACCTCTCCAAACCTCTCCAAACCTCTTCTCCAAACCTCTCCAAACCTCTCTAAACCTCCAAACCTCCCAACCTCTCATCCAAACCTCTCCCCAACCTCTCTCCACCCCCCAAACCGCCCAAACCGCCCAAGACTTGCCAGCGCCTGTGCTTGGGCAGCACGCCCCCGCAGAGCGGCAGCCAGGGCCCCCAGATCCTCCGCCGCAGCTCCTCTGCGATGGGCCGCAGCTCGAGCGCCGGGGCCGCGCCTCAACCGGCGGCCGACCCACCGGGCCCCAGGTCCACTCAGATGGTCAGTGGATTTCCGTAGGAAAAACGGGCACTGAGAGCACTTTTTGGGGTTGGTTGACTTTGCCCGCTCTGGTTGTAATCTTTTTGGTGGTTTTTCGTCATACAGTACCCTTTTTTTGTTTGGTTCACTTTGAAGGGGAAACCGTCCCCCCCCAAAAAAAAGTGGCCATGGAACCCCCATCAACCCTCAGACGGCCAGTGGATTTCCATTGGAAAACAAGAAACAAGGGCATCTGAGTTTTGGGGTTGATTGACTTCAAAGGAATCGGAACCCTTTCCCCCAAAAAAAAGAAGAAAAGAAAAGGGCGCCACTGGGGGACTGGATCCAGCTTCTGCACCTAAGATCTGGTGTTTTGGTTGATCCCGCATATGTGCTTTGTTTGACCCCTAATATATATATATATATATATATATATATTACTTATTTATATATATATATATATATTTCATTTATGTTAGTTATGTATTTATCTATTCATGTATTTATTTATTTCATCATTTATTTATTTAGTTATTCATTTATTTTATTTATTTATTTATTTATTCATTTATTTATTTATATTTGATGCCCATCTCCCCCCCCCCCCCCCCCCCGATTTCTCTAGGCCAAAGGGCTTCCATGCAAACCCCTTTAAAAGGCTGGATGACAAGGATCGGGAGCTCGCCAACTTGTCTTCTCATTGTGACCTCCCCATTCTCTCGAGGGCTTCGTTCTAGAAAATCAAGAAAACCCTTGTTGGATAACTAGTCCACTTGCTCACTGGCTAACAATCCTAGCTAATACGCAAGACTTACCCTGCACATGATCTCAAGAGAACTGGGTACTAACCGATCCAAGTAGGGCTATTGAACAAAAAGAATGGTCCGGTTTGGTTTAAACAAATGAAAATGTAATCAACCCCCTCGATTTATGGTAGCACTCCAGCCACCAGATTTGCAACACAACTCCCAGATCTTGGGTGCACAAAACAGGATGCTCAGATTCTGCTTCATATTCGGGGCTGTCTCTCCAAAATTGGTGGTTTCCTCTGGGCTTCAACCTGCCTTTTGCTTAGCCCCCTGGAAAAATTAAACATACTGGCAACAGGTGGAAATTACTTTAAAAAAAAACTTAAGCAAGTGGAAGTTTCCTTTTACGCCCTGAAACAAACTTGGGTAGACCCATTTCGTCAAGCCGCACGAGCCGAGGCAGATCACGGCCACTCCATTCTTGGCGTCCAGGAAGCTGAGCACCGTCTCCTGGCTCGAACCAGGGCCACGGTTTTGGGGTGGATTTTTCTGACCCATTTCAAAAGTACCACCATTTGTTGGGCGAACCCCAACCCGTCTTTTTTGTCATTTGTAGGATGTCCTGCCCGAAACTTGGCAGAATGCGCATCCTGGTTTCCAAGAAGAGGGCTTCTCATGTGGGGAATTCGCCTTGAAAAAAAACATTTTGGACGTTCTCCAACTGGCTTGGTCCGGGCATGAGACCTCCAATTCCGCATGCACGCTCATGGCTCTCATACGAACCCGTCCAATGGTTTGGGGCTCCTGAAGCCCACCGACCAACCTCAAGGAGAAGGGTGTGACCATGGCACATATGGTGGATGATGAGGCACACGGGTGAGCACAAACATTTCGGATCCTCAGGGGGCGAAGGAACCAAACACGCTCCGAAGCACACCTCCAGTGGTGGTCTAGCAACACCATGTGTATCAGGGTGCCACAAGGGTAAGAGTTTACAGCCAAAAGGGCGATGTGTTCCAAACAAAGGCAGTAGCAAGACTCGGTCTCAAGCTCCGCGCCAACATGCATGGCTCCCTTTCGACGGCAAGCAGCCCCTGAAACTCACCGAATGATTTGGCAACAGGGCGATATGTAAAGCCAGAGGCAAATACCACCTTTCAGGTGATCTTTGAAGCAACACTCCTCTCAAAGTTATCTTAGACGCAACACCTATATATATATATATAGGAGCCTGTAAAAACTGGAAATCACCTATGGAATGCTCTTATATAAACCACCTTCACGTTCCGGCATCTTGCACAATCGCGAGGTCATCACTATGTCTCGGGGCAATTAGCAACAAATTTGAAGTCTGTCCGAGGTGTGGACATAGCAAGGCGCATCGTGTCGTTGCAAGCAATGCAAATCATGGCAGTTTTAAGGGCTGCTGGGTGGCAGGCGGCAAAGATGTTTTGCGGGTCACAGACTCTGTCACATCTGTCTGTCAGATCTGTCTGTTATAGGCTCTGTCGGCGGGCGGGCCGGTCGCGGAGGTCGGTCCCTTAATAATAATAATAATAAAGAATGTTGGGTGAACAAAGACATGGCAAAGAGAATGTCTGCAAAGGCCCCAACGGCAAGGGCGGGCGACGGGCAACCTGAGGTGAACAATTAACCACGCTCTCGGCACGCGCCTGGCAGCACTGGCTCGCTGGGGCACAGCGCCCCAGGATGGTCGCCTGTGTGTCTGAGGGTCTGCGTGGGGGCCTATCAAGGTTTTGCGTTTGGGCCATGCTCCAACAGCAACGGGAGCGCTATTGCCAGGGTATCGGTTTTGGGCAATCAAGTTCACACAGCTCCGGGCACCCAAGACCTAATCTGCTAGTTGAGGGGTACCTGGTGAAATGCAACTGCATGCGACGGTTGTCTTATGGGCGGTTCCCTTTGGATGGTTTCCTATGCTAGGACTGGCGTATTCTTAAAGCCCAGAGACTTCGTTGACCTTTGTAGTGACCAAGGAATCACCCTTCAAATGCCAAACAGCAAATGGATCCACGAAGGACATGGAACCCTCCAAGTGTTTTGCCCTTTGAACAATTTTCAGACACAACCTCAGTCACACTTTTGTCCGTGGTCGAGGGTGGGATGGGGCTTGCCCTTGAAGGGGGCAAGGAAATGTTCCAAATCAAGAGATGGATTTGGGTTGCACGTCCTCAGTGGACTCAACAAATGTGCTCTCACGCTGGCGCTGGTTTCGGTTCTCGTTTCCGTTGGGTGCCCGGGCGGATCGAGCAGATCTCTTCCGCAAACCCGCTCCGCAGTCGGTGCAACAAAAAGAGACGAGACGTTGGTTTACAAGGCGTGACCATTTCCGCACAAACCAATGGAGGAAAAGAACAAACAAACAAACAAACAAACAGTTGAATTTTATGTATATGATAAGTTTCAAAGGTCACCCCCAAGAGGATGCTTCATCACGGAGCTCGGGAGGGGTTGCTGTTCATGACATTCAAAGGCATAGAGGAAGTGTGTCTCAAGACTTGGGTCTTGATTTTGTTCAAGATCACTTGGGTTTATCGTCCATTTCACACAGAGCAACCTCAAAGTGGATGGTTTCGCTTTGGCTTCCCTTAAAATCAAGCCCAATCAGGCACCGAGCCCCAAAGAAAAACATGTTCTCCCCAAAGAATCCAAGCTTGAGGGCGAGAAAATTGGTCGTGAAAGGGCAACCTCAAAAGGGTACACTGCACCTTTGCACCTTTGCACCTTTGCACCTAAAAAACAGACGCCCATCAAACCAAACCTTAGGGGCCGTTGAAAACATGGCCCATCCCCAAAGGCGACCCGAGCTCGCCTCGAGCCGGGGAAGCTTCGGACACCCATCGGCGCCGGTCAAAGGCCTTGCCACCTGACAACGGTTCCAGAGAAAACCTGAAAGACTACCCTCATGTTGAGTGAATCTTTGAGGCGAAAATACTCATTTTGAGTGAATCTTTGAGGAACAAATCCTCATGTTGAGTGGATCTTTGAGGAAAAAACACATTTTGAGTGGAGCTTGAAGGCAACATCCTCGTTGTGAGTTGATCAAACATCCTGGCAACCATCCTCATGTTGAATGTATCTTTTGTCGGCAAGCATCCTGATTGGTGCTGGATCTTCCAAGAGGCAAACATCCCCTGTAATTACCAGGCAGGTTTCTTCAGGGTGGAGTCAAGCAAAACTCATGCAAAAACGAGGTGATAACTTGTATTCGTAGTGAACATTGGAAATCCATAAATCCTGGTGCTGTTGGAACAAATGTGTTGGCCAACAAACATTGAAAACATAAAATCACAGCAACAACAACGGCTTGAACAAATATGTATTATAGCTTCATGCAAAAAAACAACAAAAACATGATTGAACACATCAATACTCTTAAGAAGCGCTTCTATAAAGCAGGGTCGGTGTTTTGTCTTTGTCAAAGCATCCAAGACTTCGCTGCTGCCTGACATTCTCGCCGGCTGCTTCGCATGGCTGCCAGAATCAGCACACATCCACCTGCTTGGAGCGCGGGCAACTTCCCGTGGAGTCGTCGCATGCAGCTGTGTCACTTGCTGCGGCTGTCCCGCCTCAAATTGGCACTTGCACTTTCCGTAGACGCCAATATGCAGATCGGTCCACGCAAAAATGCTAGCGAAGAAGCCCAGAAATGAATTGAAACCAAACCTCATCAACTGCCCAAGGCAATTCGCCGTGAAGGACAAGGGCTGCGTGGTAAGCCTCGTTAGGAAAATTGTCCAGGGCAATTAGTTGCGTTGGTACCTTGAACAGTTCGGGAACCCCTGATGTGGTGTTAGACCTGGATGTAGGAACCAACATCCCAAATTTGAGTGCTAACTATGGCTATTTTGCGATATGCCGGTATATCAAACATGTATCAGCTTTCTACGGGTAGAAGCGAAGCAACAGTAGCACATAAGTCCAGATTCTCAGCCATGAGTGTTACTCCCTGTCAAGTGTTTCAACTGAGGTAAATTGCTGGAAAAAAAAACGACTGAGACAATTAAACGTACCAGACACAAACCTATTTGCTTGAACCATAGAAAAAACAAACAGCTAAAACATAAATATGCATTCGAAGAGTTTGACTTCTGCAAAAACAAAAACACATTGCTGGCATAAAAGGGCAACCATAACTCTGCGTCACTCCTCCCGAGACCTCCTAATCCATAAGGCCATGTGCGCCAAGTGAACCCGATCCCAGGGGCAACCCTGCCGGTTTCTCTTTGTTCGCCATCCAAAGGGTTCCTGTGAGTCAGAACCAAAAATGCTGAACTTTCAGGACGGCAGAAAGTCTGGTCAAAATGGGGGGGGTCCCCAAGATGGGTGGTTTGCCTTTGACAGCCTTCTTTTGTTCAACTCACAAACAAGTTGCCTAACCAAGTCTCACGAAAAAAAGAAGAACAAAAAAAGAAAAAAAAACAGCTTACCTAAGTGGGGCAAGTCCCCTGGTCTTTGTGAGACACGCCCCCATGCCTTGCCTGCACCTGCACATCCTCATCCCGGAAGCGGTGGGGAAAGATCTGGCGCAGCACCGCCAGGACACCTCCCCCGCAACCCGCAAGGTGGGGGGCAAGAGCCAGGAGAGACCCCGAGGATGGAGGCAATCGCTCATGGTACCCCCGAAATAGGCTTAGGCGTTTCCTTTGAAAACGACTCAGAAATAGGCTAACCCTCAAACGAACATACACACACACACTGACACGTCAATCCTTTTCGCGAACAAGTTTGTGCGCCAAAAGGCCCTGGGGTCTCGGAATGTTTGAAAATATCCATCTCTCTTGGCTTCTGCTGGGAGAAAGTACAAATGATTGGCTACTTAGCACACAGACAAATTTGGGATTCATACCACCTAATCAACTCATTTGGGGCAATCATAACTTTTCCCAAGTCTTCAATTTGTCTTAACTGAACCGCACCTGGAGGGACGAAACAAAGCTTCACCTCGTTCACCGTGGCTCGGTTGGTGCCGGTTTGCCTGCAGGTCTGGGGACATTGGCTTGTGTTCGTGGCGCGGAAACCCCCGGGCCCACGCACGGGAATGGGTTTCGCCAGGGAAGCCTCCCAATGGCGGCGGTTTCCGAGAAACTGCGCCCCCCAAACGCGACACAAAGCCAGAAAAGCCATGTGTTCATTTGACACAGCGCTGCTTTCAGCTCCCTGTGGCCATTCCGTACCCTAAGGGGTTGAGAACTGGGGGTGACCACGTAACATATCCTTCCTTCTTGTCCAAAATCCCGGAACCCTACCAACCCTGGCACACCAGTGCCAAGAATTGTTCTATCCAAACTCGCCTAAAACGGACCCCTACGTTCATGAAATGTTCCTTCAGAGAGACCAAACCGCCGAGAGGTTTTTCAACTTTAATCCTCCCCTTTCGGCCTCGGCGAGCACAGAAGGGCACCGCCTTGCCGGTCTGCCTGCGCCACTTCAGCGCCGGCTGCAGGCGCAAGGCCGTCCTCTGAAAGGCCCCCCGCGTTGGCTACTTTCGGCTTCAACTACTCCCCGTAAAGCCGGGGAATAGAACTGCACCTAAAATCAGCTTGCCCCCTAGTTGGTTTGGTTTGGTGGTCTGCCTTGTTGTTTTTGGGCTGGGAGCCATTTTTGGGGAACCCTCGTTGGCAGTTTGGCTTGGCGCTTTGGAGATGTGGGGGCGGGAAATCCCAGTTGCTCCCTACGAGAAATCGGAGGTTCAAAGCCCCAGAGCAACGGCAAGCCACCAACATAGTGTAGCGGGGAGGGTTGGTGGCGAAACCTGCCTTGGAAGAGTGAAACGACGAATCCTGGCGGGTTTCCTTGAGAAAGCTTGGGCGAAAGTGTTTTGAACAACGCCGTGATACCCTTCAAAAGAAACCAGTTGGTTCAACCGGGCGGAGTTCCAACCTTGCTGTGCCCTTAGACATTCATGGCTTCTCTATGCCTCAACTGCCACAAGGGATGGCCTTTGGCTTCTTAGCGTGGTGCTCCTGTCTGAACCAACCTGAAACAAGCCACCGGAAAAAAGAAGGGACGAAAAACCATTGAAACTATGTCTAAAACGAAAAATAAAAATAGAATGCTCACAACCTCGTAGCATCACGAATTTGCGGGGGTTCTCTTGGCCTTCTTTTGAGCACCCTGAAGAAAAAAAGGTGACGAACAACCGGGTTTCCCTTTGGCTTCCCATTCAAGACATCCTGCCTGCCATGGATTTCAGCAAATTGTCCAAGATAGCTGAGGCACACGTGCGAATCCCTTCTTCTTCTTCTTCTTCTTCTTCTTCTTCTTCTTCTTCTTCTTCTTCTTCTTCTTCACGGCAGCACTTTTTGGGCCAACCTGAAGAAAGGGCGACAAGACTAAAACCAGGGGGTCCCTTTAAGACGGCAACACAAAATAGAGGGCGGAACCATCTGAACATCATTCATAAGATTCTCATCCCGAAACCAAACCCACACCCTGCAGTTCCTCCAAATTCGTCCTTCATCAACCCCCCCCCCTCCCTCACCCAAACCCCCAACCACCCCCACCACCCCAACCACCGCTCCTCACGCGCTCCCGCTTCACCGCGGCCCAGCTCTCCGCCAAGCGCCCTTCGGCCGAAGGCGCCGGCTTGGAGCTGGCCCCGAGGCAGGCCAGGACCTGCGGAGCGTGAGGCGCGGCTCATCCTTCGTGAGGCGCGGGGGATGGTGGGGTGCTTTTTTCGTGGGAACCAAAGGGAAACCAAAGGGCAAACGCCGTTTTGGGGGGTTTCATAAAGGGAAACCAAAGGGGAAACGCCATTTTGGGGGCTCCCCCCCAAAAAAGAGATACCCAAATGGAACCCCGGCATGGTTCTAAAAAAAGTGCGTGTGGAAAATGGGCCGGCCCCTTCTCACACCCAAAAGTTGTTGATTCAATCATGACATTACACAAAATCAAACGAAAGGTGTTAATAGGGGATGCCGATCAAAGCAACACAAATGACTGTTCAACCATGGGGGGGGTTCCATCGCTGAAAAGGGAAGTGGCCACTCTCCGGCGGAACCCTCCCGAATGCGAGGGAGGCCCTTGGGGTTTGTAGGAAATTTGGGCTGTCACCCCCCACCCGCCCCCTCCAACCGTCCTCCAACAGACATCAATAAACTAGAATTTGCTGCTTGGGTAGAGGATACTTTCGAAAATACATATGGCTCGTGTTCGAGGTTCTTATCAAAGACAAGTGGGTATTGCTTTTTTGGGCGTTCCCCTGCTATAGACGCTTTAGGGGAGACCAAGAGGAAAACCATCATTTTGGAGGTGCCCTTAAACAGACACACCCAAGTGCGTCCCAAGACACACCAAGTGCGTCCCCATGTCTCTCCCAAATGGGTCTAACGTCGACCAAAAAATCAGAGTGTTGGCTCCATGAACACGGGAAGCCGAGGGAAACTTAGGGCTCCCATGTTACGAACACAAAAGACAGGCTGGCTACCTTCGCCGAATCTCGGGCATGGCTTTCTTTGTTTAAAACGTTTCGCGCACATTGGAAATGCGTTTCAAGGCCCAACCATTTTAAGCAGGGTAGACGTTCACATTCGAAAACGGACAGCTGCACTTTGACGAATCAGGTGACTGTAGAGGCCCCGTTCCAAAGTTTTGCTTTCCCATTCGATGCGCCGGGACAAAGGCAAGATCAAGCAAAACGTAGGGATGTTCGCGGCCCTCATGCTGAAGTGTGCCAGAGGCAAAGGCGTGTGATCGAAGCGAGGCCTGAGGGGCGGTTCTCAGGGAATCACCAAGTTGTGCGGGCATGAACCTAAAGATCTCCTCAAAGGAAACCACCAGGGAATTTTCTTGGGGCTGTGGATGGAGGAAACCTTGCACCACGTAAGAAACCCTGGAATGATGATTCGCCTGTAAGTACCGACAAACCGTGGTGTCGGGTGGTTTCAAAGTGGTGCGAGATGGATTTGTCCTTCCACAGTGTGATTTCGGTATGCTGATGACCGTTGGGGTTTCCCCCTATCAGGTCGCCTTTCACCCAGGGGAAAGAAATTGAATTATCCTTCAGCCCAAATCACCATGTGGGCGGCTCGATATTTTTTTTGCGGGTACACCCTTTGTTGTGGTTTAAAAGCAAACCAAAAGGTAAACCACCCATTTTCGGGTTCCCCTAAAAAATACACACCCATGTAGTCTCCTAAGTTCTGTACCAACAAAGCCGGACAAATGTTTGACTGCGGCTACTTCCGCGAAGCAAGCCCATGTGGAAAAGAAGCGCGTCTCTTTTGCTGCCGAGCCCGTTTTTTTTTGCAGTGCTGAACTGTTGACTTTGTCAACAGCCGTGGTCAGAACACCTCATGCCATGGAATCCTTGGTCGAAAGCCCCAGGGTTGATGATGAGCACAGCTGACTTCTCTCGGCTGTTTTGGGCTTCAAAGCAGCTTCCCCTATGCACACATAACTTGGAAGGGGAAACAAGCGCTCCAAGCTCATGTGAGTAAAATCAACAAATCGATGGCATCGTCCAGAAGCAAACACGAACCCTCCACACAGAAGCACCGACCTTAAAGATATACTTATCTTATTGTGCATCTTTGGCAAAAAACAACAACAACATCAGGCATCAAGTCTGCAAACAGAAATGGTCCTTTGGCCCACCTTTCCAATTGAGTTCTCCTGAGTAGCCGAAGGAACCAAAAAAAAACGTGTGTTTTCGGGGATCTCCAAAAATGAGAATGGACCCCGGCTTCCTGGCTCCCAATTGGGAAATGGGGGAGCCCACCTCCGGCCTGCAGCATGACCTGCACCTTCCGGGTCGGCTCGCCCTGGCGAGCACGAATTCGTGGCGCACGCCTTTGTTGGAGGTCCTGCACCATTTACCATTTTGGAGTCACCACCTATTTAGGAAGCCATTGCTTCTTTCAAGGGTGGAGTCCATGACCATCTTAAGAAGTAGAACTCGCCCAGAGGTTTCTCGGCAAATAAACCACATACCCACTGCTGCAGGATTCTGTCCATCCACATCACTTGTCTCCTTGTGCTTCCTATGGGAAAACAACATCTGTGTATCCAGAAATGGGTTGAAAACTCGAAACTAGTGGAACGACTACTGGTAGTATAAGTAATAAGCAGTAGTAGTAGTAGTAGTAGTAGTAGTAGTCGTAGTAGGAGGAGGAGGAGTAGGAGTAGTAGTAGTAGTAGTAGTAGTAGTAGTAGTAGTAGTAGCAGAAGTAGCACTACTACCGCGCTAACTGCCTCTTCTTTCACACAAACTTGCTAACTACCCCCTCCCTCAGCTCCACTCTATCTTTGAAACTTACCAACCGGCATACCTGCTTACTTGCCAACTTACTACCTTGCTAACTTGCTAGCTTACTAACTTGCTAGCTTATTCTTCGTCTCTGTGCCGGATACTGACCCTTTGCTGCAGGGTGCACAGGATGTAACTTGCCAACTGCCTTCTCCTTTACATTGGGTATGGAATAATTTGTGTCTGATCCTGATTTTTGTTTGATCCTACATTAATGTGTTTTTGATGCGTATGCTGCTCTTCTGCCATGTGGAGGTTCTTGGTAAGTCACATGATTATGTTTTTTGTGTCAAATGGCGGACTCCCTTTCGCATGTTGCTTAAAGGGAAAACCAAATGGAAACCAGTTGGTATTCGACGGATTTCCAAAAGGTTCTAAAAGCAGGTCTGCCACAAAACTCGTGGAAGGTGCAGTCCTCTAATCCGGACCGTTCTGGAGCCTAGCTGTCAAATGTGAAGTCTGCCTTTGTTTCCATTCGAATCATGCGTGTGAGTCATGTTGAACGTGTCTCTCTCGAGCCGCTTTTTCGCTGAGTCCATGGTGAGAGATGAAAGCTAGATTTGCTAACTTCATAAAAGCCGAGTGAATTACCGAAACCAAATGTCCTGAAAGCTTGCTCTTTTTATAGATTCATCATAAGAAAGATTGAGAAAATAACAAGTACATATAAAAGTTAGTCTCATTTGAATCAATGCTTTGTTCTTAACAGTCCACTTCACTTTTGTGTTTCGGATTCCGAACAAATGAATAAAGTGATCAAAGCCTAGTTGGCGGTTTGCATTGGTGGTTCGGTGTTCCGCGTGTTGTTTGTCATTTTCTGCAAGAACCAGGGCTTCAATTCCCAAACCAGGAGTTCCACTTCGAGAGAGCCATCTGGGTGTGCATCAACATAGGAGCCGTAAAATGGCGCGTTTCCCTTTGGCTTCCTTTCAACGCAACCCCTCGAAGGGCACGCTTCGCCTCCGAACGACCAACTCCCAGAGCCCCGCCTCAGCTGGATCCGGAGGCAGTAGGCGCCTGGGTCGCTGGATTTCCCCTATTGCCATTTTTACGGGTGGTGTCCATGGAAACTGCCCCCACTCTTGCAGCTTCCAAAAAGGGAAATGAAGGAAACCCGGTCTTCGCCCTTGCCCCCCCCCCCAGAAAAAAAAAAAAAAAGACACACCCCTATCAATCAGCCAGGGCTCCACGAAACATAAAGCATGAACGAACGCACGGACAAATCCACGAATATATGTCTGCGCGTTGTGGTACGTATGTCGTATGTCGCAGGTGGCTTGCTTTGCACACGTGGCGCACCCGCGTAATCTAACCCACGTCAGCCCGAGCCTGGGGCCTTGCGGAGGTGGCGGCGCTTCTCCTGAAAACCGTTCGGGGGCCAGGTGGATCACACGGGGGTAGGGCTGTGTTTGGGGTGGGCTTAGGGTGGGCTCAGTGTTGGGTTTGAGGGCTGGGTTTTAGGGCGTGCTTAGAATGGGTTAGAGTGAGTTTCGGGTTTAGGGTTGGTTTAGGGTGTGTCGTGTAATAACTGTGTGGCGCATTACAAGCACAATCCTGACACCCAACAACTGCCCCTTGCCAATGATGCTAGGGGTGTTGCAACCACAACGAAAGCCACCCCATGCCACAAAAGCCAGCAGAAGCCACACAGTTCATGTCCGAAGAGCCAAAAAAAACACTAAAACAAACAAGAAAACAAAAAGCAAAAGAAACTCCAAAGAAATGCCTCCCCCTCGAGAAGGGAACCCTCTTTCGTTGGAACACCCAGTCCCGCCACCCCAAAACCAAACCTAAAACCTGGAGAAAATGTCACCTTGCGAGACCAAACCCCCCATGTCGGCATGTGGGTGACCGACGCCACTTCTCCATGTTTCGATTTGGGAATATCAGGTGCCTTTTTTCCCTCGGTGATCTTTTCCGATGTTTTTTTTTTTTTTTTTTTAAGGTACCCTCAAAAGAAAGGCAGACCTGGTTTCCGGGACGTTGGGATTTCCCACGCCTTCGACGAATGGCCTTTGGACAGTCGTCCCCATCTCTAACAATACTCTAGGGGCACCTTGCCCATTTTTCGGGACCCCATCAAGCAAGAAAACCCCTGGAACGAACCCAGGGGTTAATGGCGGGTCAAAAAAGAATGACGGCTGAAAAGAATGGTTGGAATCGACACCTAGATGTACGGGCGTTGACTCAACTGCAACATACGCGGGGCCCCCAAAACGATGGATGGTTTGCTTTTGGTCTGTCATTCATCACTAGACACGTCCTCCCTGACCCCTTGCAAACGGTCAACCACAGGCTTAGGTCACAATGACCAGCCGTTTTTGGTTTCTCTTTCAAGGCCGGCCAAACACCCTCCACCAACCCATGGCTGTGGCTCAAAAAACCGGCACCAAAAAACCCACCGCTTCGCCGCTTCGCTGCGCTCCGCTCCTGGCGGCGTCTCCTCCCGCAGCCGCGACCACGGCCACGGCGAGATCGACGGCGCCTCCGCGGCCGCGTCGCTCCCGGCCTCCGAGTCGGGCCAAAGACTCGCCGGGGCCGCGTCCAAGTAGCGCTCGAGCTCGTCCTGATGCCAAAGCCACGTGGGATCAACCTCCATTTGCTTAAGTTTCCTGGAAAAAAATAAAACATGTCCAGTAGTGATAGATTCCCTTGGAAACCAACAGGGGAAGAAAAAACCACTTAACCAAATGGAAGTCAACAGGGGCTGAAGCGTGTCTCAGCACCCGTCCAGTTTTCCAGCTACCAAACCTGTCATCTTGAGCCTGAGAAACTGGATCGCTTGCGGAGATGGAGTGAAAGGCATCGCGGTCAGGGCCCCAGTTCAGATGGTAGAGGTTGTTTTGAGCTTGGCAGGGTAGCAACAGGCACATTCGGAAAAGGGACCCTTTGAGAGAACATGAGTTCACCTCTTGCCAATCGGTCAAATGAAGGCAGCCTGAGAGAAAGAGCTTCTTAAACAATGGCACAAACCCCTTCGTGGTGTGCTATTGAGGTCAGAAGCAGCACACGGAAACGCTGACAAGAAGGTACAGAGCGTGTTTACGTGTCGCAATGGGAAACTTGAAGAAACACCCCCGCCCGGGTTCAAAACGAATCGCCGGCCACAAAGGCCACATCATATCGGGCTCCAGGGTTTGCATAGCCTGGCGGAGCCATTGCGGAAGAAAATGAGAAAGATGTACCGGTTGTGACCACATCCCTGGAAAAGCCACCAAAAAAAGCAAATCTTGATCATGGGAAAATAGTATTTGTCATTCTTCAGCCTCTTCTAGGTCCTCCAGGAGAGAGGTGAGATTATGGGTACCCTTTTTCTGTAGTCTATTTTGGTAGGGGAACCCTCCCCAAAAAAGGGTAAAAGGGCAATACCGGGCACTTAATCTTAGTGGGCCCGTTAGGGCTCTTTCCTCTAGCAGCGCTCGCCTCAAATTCCTCCATCTGTCGCAGCGCGCGCGGCTGGCATGGCCGCCGCGAGCGAGGACGGAAGTGAACCGATGACTGAAGGTTTGTGACAAGTGGCTGCTTGTCTAACTTGCCACCTACTCGAGGCAAAAACAACTATTGACATAGGTAGTGGGATCAGGTGGGTGCATAAAGGGTATACATCAAAGGTACCTACTCCAGGCGCTGGCGCGCGGAGACATCTTGGGAGAGATGTGATTCTGCTGAAAGCCTTGGCCGGGTGTGCTTCCATGATAAGGGGTTTATGACAAAATGACTCCTGACGGTTTCTAATTTGCATGAAGCTTCTTTTCGACCTTTGATTTTGGAGCCGAATCAAATGACGGGGATTCCTTTTCTGGGTGTGTACTTTGGAAGGTGTGCATCTTCAAAAGAGGAAAGCCGAAGCCATTTTCGCAGGGCCGAACAAAGACGCACCATCAGCAAATTCCAGTGCTTCACCTTGAGCCTCGCAAAGTGGATGTCGAAGCGGGGGCCAAAGATGGAGCTGAGCCAAAAGGTCCGTTCCATGGGATGAGCATTACGGAAAAACGCCAAAAGGATGACCTTCCCGCTAAGTGGGAAGCGTTATATTGATCAAACCCCATGTCAAGAGTATTGATCCATTCCTTTTGCAAAGGCAGACGTGAGCGCTGAAAGTGGCCCTGATACAGCATATGGCGGTGCCAAAGTGAGAAGCAAGTACTTAATGGACTCCTCAATTGAGCCCCACAGCCTTTGCAACGTTCGCCGGTACAGGCAAATTAATGTATGTACTAAAGACTCGCGACAGACGGCTGGTGGGAAGCTTGGTCTCAGAGCCTAGTTGACCCACGCGCCAGCCTGATACCTGCAAGCCGAAGATTGCAGTCACATCTTGAGTTACAACCCTAAAAGCGCAAGGTGAAGCTTGAGCTGGCACGCTCAAACAGCTTGCAAGTAGGGCATGTCTACATCGGCTCCAGAAAGCTTGGGCAAGCGGACGTCTTGATGTTGGGCTACGCTCAGCATCAAGGACACAGCCCTAAAGGTATGTTTGGGGTAAACAATGAATCCGCTAGAATAACGCTCTCCCAAGATCAGTGTTGTCCCTTGGACGCCCCGATTGCACCCCTTTTTCCCTCTAGTCGAAACTTGGGAGCCCCAGGCGCCAGATGAAGTTCGGGAAGCAGCTCAAGGAGTGGGGGACCTCAAAAATGGGTTCCGGGTTCACCCGACTTTGACACGAGGAAGCGATAAACAACTTGGGGTTTTATATGGGTTCATGCATTCAGCCGATTGCTTCCAGAGCCAACTCTTGAAGGGCTAGAGTTGCTCGCCAATTGGCTGCAAGGGACTGAGTGGTTTCTCTTCGGGGAAAAATCATCTACCCTTGTGCTGGAAGGTTTGGAGCAACCTGGCCTTGCAAGATGTAATGGTTTGCCCGGCAATGTGCCAGATGAGCCAGATCTGCCCTCTCCACTGGACCTTTTTTTCTCCCAAAATTAGGGTCCTCGCTGCTTTCGAGGCACCAGAACCCCATGGAACAAAGGCAAGTACCTCTCTTCTCACAAACTTGCTCCTTCTGAATTTCGGTTCCTTTGCCTATTGGCGGAATGCTACATGAAGTGTTCAGAGTGCAGGGGTTCACTTGTCAGCTTGGACCTGTCACGCCCGCGAATCCTGGGCACTCGAAGCATTTCGGCCCGAGGTATGAGCTGAGTGGAAAGGACTGCGAGGGCACGCAGGGATCCTTGCAAGTTCCGTTTGGGTGATTGAATCGCCCATGTTGGCTGAGTGTTGGGTTGATGTGCTTGGGATGTGTAAAGAGGCCATCTCAGAAACCCCATGCCCTGCGCCAGCCTTGGAGAGCCGATGGCTTGTCACTCGCAGGTGTCCCTTCACGGACCATCCGAGCTCTCGGGCTAGCACAGCCCTGGGCTCTCGTCGCGGTGATTGAAACAGACAGCACCTCCAGGTCGGCCAAGGAGGCGGGTCCCGGAACACTCCGACTGTGACATGTCCGGCCTCAAAACAAGACGACAGCGCTCCTTTCAAGGAGAACTGAGCATGTATGACACGTATCCAGTGCAGGGCGTTCTGCGAAAGATGAACCCTTGGTGCTACTGGCAGACAGTTACTTCCGTTCCGCACTGAGATCATGAAACAAAGATGCCCGAGGCTGACACGAGGGTTTGGGAAGACTACCATTTTCTGGAGGGGGATGTCATGATTGGAGGGTGAACCGTTCAGCCTACCTCTAGGGAAACCATGTTCACCTGTCAATCAATCAACCTAGAGGTATAGGTTTGAGGTTTACCCGAAAGAAATTGTGTTGCAGGCTGATTGTAAAGCATCGTGTATGAACCCATCAAAATGTTGCACACTATGGGGGCTGGTTCCCCATAAACTAGGGAATCATACAAGATGGACCTTCAGCGGTCAGATTGACCCGAGCTTCAATGAGGACATGACCAGCCAACTGTGAACACCCTGCTGGTTTTACAGAGGCCTGCTCTGGCCGTATGCGGAAAAGGGCGAGCAGCGCCGCTCACTTCCGCCTGGAGCTCGGCACGTTCTCCTCGATGTCCTACGTCTTCAGCTTCCCCGGCAACGGCGTCCCCCGGGTTTGCAGCCCCCCCCCCCTTTAGGCGAACCCACAAGCGAGGGTGACCAAATGTGGTGACAAATCCGGGTTCAGGCGCCCAATTTCTGAAAGCATCTTGGTACACGGGGGACTTGTTCAGGAACCCCACGAAGTGCCCCAGAGTCTCCGATTCGCATCTCCCTCGCATATCTCCAGAGTCCACCGGCGAGCCCGGGAAACGGATCTATGGACTCCATCAAGGGATTTGAATCACATCCCCGGAGCTTGAAACATCTGGAACCTAAGTCGGGACTCTGCCCCAACGGAATTGGATTTTCTCTAGGGATGCGAAGTGGACTCGATCAACATGCAGGTCAACATCTCTCAATGGAATGCCTCTGGAAAACCCAAACTCTTCTGAAGGAACACCACGGGCCTACAAACATCTGCCACTGTCTGTCATACCAAAGTGGCCTTTCCATCCTTGTATGTTTCCTTTGTCACTTTCAACAGGGCCACTCGAACACAATGTGAGAAGGTCCGTCCCCACTGTCAGGAACAAAGCGGCCAGGGGCTTCGCCGTTCCCTGAGTTCACTCCATTCAGCTGAGTCGCATCCTCCTCTTCCTCATCATCCTCCTCGTCCTCTTCCTCTTCACCCTCACCCTCCTGCCAGGCGCAATGCTAAGCCCTCTGTTTCCCGCAACCTTGCTCAAAGGCGTACTCCGAAAAACAAGACGGTCCGACGCTCCATATTCAGTCTGCCCTGAAACATAAAATGTGTAGGAGATCTTTTGATTCCCGACGTCTGCAAATACGTCAGTCCACCCTAGTGTATAAAGCAAACCCTACGATACTGTGGATGGACAAAATCCTGAACCACCTTGAAACCACGGCAAATGGTTGGTTCAGGGGAAAGCTCTTTCCAGGGTGTCTTTTGCCGGTGCGAAATGTTCGTCCATCCACACTATCACCCTGTCAGATTGCAGTCGCCTGTTCGAGGCGACTTTCTGATTCGCGGCTTCCCTTCGTCAGCTTGGGTGCCATACCGTTTCCATCTTCCTTGGCACCCACTCGTCCCCATTTTGAGGGATTCCATGTTTCGTCGGGGTACTCTCTCCCACCATCTCAGGAGAAATCCTACTGCATTTCGAACCAGCCAGGTTGTTGCACCCTTGAGCTCTGCGGAAAACTGGGTGCTCGAGCTGAACAGGTAACCTTCAAACACCTGTTGTTCAACCGAAACAGTCCCGATGCATTTTGTTCTCCTGGGAGGTCACAAAGGATTCAAAACAAACGCGGCCACCACTGCTTTGAATAACCAGCGAGTCTAGGGCGATTTTGCATGGTGGAACATAGCCCGAAATCTCGAATAATGTTGGCACTTGATTAATACAGCCCCCCCCCCCTGAACAATGGAGGCGCCAAAATAAAGTGGGCTCACTTTTGGGACGTCCAAACAATGGAGGATTTTGGGGCCCAATTCTACTTTAGTATTGCAGCCACTTTCTTTTTGCAATTCTACTTTAGTATTGCAGCCACTTCCTTTTTGCAATTCTACTTGAGTATTGCAGCCACTTCCTTTTTGCAATTCTACTTTAGTATTGCAACCACTTCTTCCTGCGCAGACTTTTTGGAATACTACTGTAGTATTGCAACCACTTCCCTTTCAGTTCTTTCTGTAGCCATTCAAAGGGGTTGCGTTTAAGCAAGTGGGCCACCAATTGAAAGGGGAATGCTTTTGAGTAAAGCAGCTTATAGTAAATTTTCTGGGAGGGGGGGCTGGGGGTTTGCAACTATTGTGGTCCCCTGAAACAAGTGGTTCACTGGGGTCTGTGAGGGGTACCCTTGTCCTGATTGTTTGTTTGCATTGTTTTAAACACGGTTTAATAGAGAGTTTGCAGTTTCAGGGCTGGGGATAGTTTTCAAATTTCAGAGGTTTCAGCTGGCTTTGGGTTCTGTGGTTGAGCAACCAATTGAAAGGGGAATGCTTTTGAGCAAGTGGGCCACCAATTGATAGGGGATGCTTTCAAGCAAGTGGGCCACCAATTGAAAGGGGATGTTTTTAAGCAAGTGGGCCACCAATTGAAAGGGGAATGCTTTTGAGGAGGGGGGATGGTTTAAATGAAAATTGATTTGTGGAGTTTTTTTTTGGAATTTTCCCCCCGGGCAAAAAAAACTTTCAATTATTCTGGTCCCCCTAAACAATGGGTGCGAACCAGAATAAGGAAAACAACTTGCAATTATTGACGCCCGGTTGATTAATCAAGTGCCAACATTACCAAAGTGGTATATATTTTCTATATATATATATGTTCCAGGCCGTGAACCCCCCCTCCCTCCACCCCCCCAACCCCCCCCCCCCCCTGTGGCGGTGGGGTGGGGTGGGGTGGTGGGGTGGTTGGGTGGTTGGGGTGTGGTTTGGAGTTGGTTTAGGCTTGGTGGGTTGGTTTAGGCTTGTTTTCAGGGTTGGTTTGCGGTGGGTTTCAGGTGGGTTTGGGGTTTGGGTTGATTTAGGCTTAGGGTTGGGGTTAAGGAGGGGTTGCAGGGTGGTTTGGTTTAGGGTAGGATGTTGTGACAGGTGCTGGGGTGTTGGTTCACGGGGTGAAAGGGAGTCTGGGACCGCTGCAGGACAGCATCCCCAGCATTGCCAGCATCATCCCCATGATGCAGATGATGCGGGGAGCCTACCCTTTGGGGGGGTTGGCAGCCTGCGGACTGGAACATATATTCAGCTATAACCTGATCCCAAAGTGGTACAACCTGGGAAATAGCCCGAAATCTTTGATCCAAAGCAGCATAACCTGGAAAGTTATCCGAGATCTGATACCAAAGTGGTATAACCTGCAAAGCAACACGCAGTATTGTGATGCCAAAGTTGTATCACCTAGGAATTGACCCGCAATCTGATCTACTATCTGAACAACCGGCTTGGGCAAATCATGGGGCACCGACCGATACCAAAATGGCAGCTGTCCTCCATGTCATCCTCCTCGACGATGCCCCGCAGCCAATCGAGGAACGCGGTGACCTGCCAAGGCAGCCTTTTGCCAACTGCAGGGTGCCCTACGTTTCCCCTCACATCACTCCTTGGCAAAACACACTTCAAGTTGGCACAAGTGAATTCACCACCAGGGGCACTCATCAAACCCCCTCGCGGCTGGAATGCTTTTCCGACCATATGTGGGGCTGGTGAGTCCCCCATCTCCTCTTTAAGAAGTCTACATCCCCTTGCACAAGGTGAGATCCCGCCCACAGGGATGGTCATCGTCAAAACCCCAGGTCAGATGAAAATAAGCATGGAAGAATCAGAATTCCTTGGTTGATCAATAGGGGGTGTCCCCTTGTAGTGAGAATCCGGATCACTGTTGTGAGTAACACCCGTCTACAGGATAGGTTTGTTCATCCAGGTTTCCCAATAAGGGTAGCAATTCGCGAAGGTCACCCTAGGTTTATGTTCCCAAACCAACTGACATCCAGTTTGGGAGCAGGCACATCGTTCTTCCCTTTTTCGGAGGATCAGAGTGGCCGTCCATAGAGGGAAAGCTCCTAGATGGGTTCGATGGGTTCCTATAAACCCCGATCCGATAGAATGGGGTTGTGGAGAACTGGAAACCAAACTCTGAGTCATGAATCGTGCAGCAACTTGGTTGAACACTTCTTTGGCCGTCACGTGTTTAGCCCCGTCAACAAAAGCTTCAAAAAAACCAAGCGATCCGTCTCAGTCTCTGGGCCGGTCCTGGAACATGGCGCTAGTCTTGCCCTGGGTGTCGTCATCCGCCTTGGCCCACATCTCGAAGTAGTCCTCCTCGATGACCTGCGGTCGATTCACAAAATGGCGCCCAATATCCAACCCGAGTTGTAAAAACCGATCAGAGATTGGTGGTAAAGGAAATCACCTTACCCCAAACAAAAAATATCGGTGGCTTGCATTGGTGAAGCGTTCCGGGGTTCAGACCCTGCCCCACCTAGTTTCAAGAGAAACTGGGTTCAAATCCTCAAACCAATATTTTGAGAGGATACTAACAACAAGGATCAAGTAGACTGGTGGTTGATAGGGAAAGGAAAGGAGTAACGCTTCCAACTTTGTCTCCACCAAGATTTCCACCCAAAATTGGACCTTCTTGTGGGTTGTGGATGTCCTGTCATAATTTTGGACATCGAAGTTGTGCTCTTCTGAATCTATTCCCTTGAACAAATCGACTGTAAAAACCGCTTCCGGGAACCGAGCCTCGGGAGATCACATGGTGTTTTGTTTTTCCCAAGTCACAGCTCCAGGTTCGAGGGAAAAATGACCCCAGCTGACCACAGATGCCCGAAATATGGTTCAAGGGGATCAAGTGGACAACATGGGCTTGTCAGTGAGCTTCAGAATCTCGCACCGGAGCAAGGGTGTGATTTTGGCAATGCCTCCATTTGTGCGAAGACATTCAATAGAATCATGCGCCAGTTGAAGGAAGCACCTTCAGCAGATTCTTCCAAGCAGTTGAAACGGCATCGTCTGGGAATGAGTTGTGCCACTTCACCCACCAGCAAGGGACGCGCACGAAAGGAAGCTTCAGCATGGGGGTCCCAAAAAGTAGCATGGCCACGGGGTGAGCATTCGGTCAGTATCTTTATGCCAATGCCGACTTTCGCCCCTCTCGCTCTGGCCGTTTCCCTGGCATCGGCAAAAGAGCTGTTGACCTTCAAGCGGGGACCATGTCCATCGGAATTCACCCTTATGGGATTGTCCCACGCCTTGAAATTAGGGCAACTGCATGAGCTTTCATTTCAAAGGTTCCCAAGTGGCCTCATCAACTTTCATTTTATCATGCAGTTTTGGCCGGCCTTTCTGAGAACTCCATGCCTTGAAGAATCGCAGCTCTCGCGACAAGTTCCGGGATGCCCGATCCGATCGAAACGCGCCTCAGCGCGGTAGAGGCCATCAAAGAAGGCCTCCAAGAGGGCAGAGGCCGGCGACAGCCTCGCAGGTCTGAGACAGCGGGAATCGGAGCCAAAAACAAGCGAGGTGGATCCCTTCAACTTTTCCCCATGAAACCGGCCCTAAGAGGTTCCCGCCTAACAAAGACTGCCGCTATATATGCAACCCAACAACATCACCATGCATCAATGGATCAAATCGGTTTGCATGGCGCAGGGTGATGTTGAAATCACACAAAAAAAGATACGTTTTGGTGGGAAAAAGCGGCCTAGGGGGTAACAGCGTCTGGGCGAGACAAACGTGACGTTGGCTTCGTTTGAAGCCCAAGCCTCTGCCCGGTTTGCTCAACGGTTTTCAGGAGCCCGAATGGGTCTGTCTTTTTTAGGGGGCCCCTATATGTATATATATATATATGCTACCCCCCCCCCCAAAAAAAAAAGAAGAGGTTTTGAACCTGGACAATTGCCAAAATCACTGGGAAAAAAACTACTTTTGAGAAACATGTGTATGTTCGCCTCTGTGAAACGCATATGTTTCAAGTTCAAGCAGTAAATGTTGGCAAGTTCAATTAGTTAGTCAAACAAACAGTCAGCAAGTCAGCTAATTAGTCAGTTAAATAGTTGTAATGAATTAGCTTTAAAGCCAGTTAGCTAGTTAAGTGGCTAATCAGTTAGTCATCTATTTAGCTGCCTAGCTAGATAGATAATACTGAAGGTATTCCCCTAATATTCCCCTTCCTTTGCTAGTGAAGGGGAATACTAGGGCAATACTAGCTCATACTCAGGGAATACTAGGGCAATATTAAAGGTGAACACTACGATAATACGTGGCAATCTGTCTGACTTCTCTCAGGCTTCCTGACTAGGGCAATACTAGGGCACTACTAGGGAAGTACTAGGGGAATACTGAAAGCGAATACTGCCAGAATTCTAGGAGAATACTGAGAGAATACTAGGGGAATACCAAGAGAATACTTGAAAAATACCAGGGCAATACTAAAGGTATTCCCCTAGTAATTCCATCCCTTTACTACCGGAAATAGCAAGGGAATACTATGGGGTAGTGAGGAAATGCTAGGGGTTTACCAAGAGACTACTAAATTAACTGAATACTAGAGCAATAATAGGTGAATACTAGTGCAAACATAGGCAATACTAAGGACATACTCAGGAAATACTAGGGCAATATTAAAGGTGAACACTAGGATAATACTAGGGGAATTCTGAGGGAATACTAGGGGTCTACCAAGAAAATATTTAAGGAATACCAGGGCAATACTAAAGGTATTCCCCTAGTAATTCCATCACTTTACCAGGGGAAATAGCAAGGGAATACTGGGGTAGTGAGGAAATACTAGGGGTATAGCGAGAGACTACTAAATTAACTGAATACTAGGGCGATAATAGGGGAATACTAGGGCAATCATGGGGCAATACTAAGGAAATACTCAAAGAATACTAGGGCAATTTTAAATGTGAACACTAGGAGAATACTAGGGGAATTCTGATGGAATTTAAGGATTACTAGGGCAACACTGAAGGCATTCCCCTAGTATTCCCCTTCCCTTTCTAGGAAATACTCGGGGCATACCAAGAGAGTACTAAAGGAATACTAGGGCAATACTAGGGAAATACTCAAGGAAGACTAGGGGAATACTAAAGGAGCATACTAGGAGAATGCTCGGGGAATGCTGAGGGAATACGAGGGGTATACTCTCAAGCTCAATTTGTTTGACCTCGGTTTTCTGGCTAGGGCACTAGGGCAATACTAGGGGAACACTCAGAAAATACTAGGGGGGTAATACAGGTGAATACTAGGGGCTGAAAAAAACTCAAAAAAAACTGGGAAAAAAAAACTGAAAAACCAAGGATTCAGGGGGACATGCCTGGGGGGGGCCCCATGTCCCCCTGAATCCTTGTTTTTTTTTTCAGTTGTTTTCAGTTTTTGTTCCTTTTTTTTCAGTGTTTTCCGTGTTGTTTTCTGTTTTTCATTTTATGTTTTCAGTGTTTTCAGTTTTTGTTCAGTGTGTGTTCAGTTGTTTTCCCTTCTTTTTGTAAGTGCTTTCAGTTGTTTTTTTTCAGTTTCCAAAGCGCTTGATTGAAGAGAGGCCCTTACGCAATCATAGTGCCTGGTTGCAGCATTGGCTGCCAAATGAGAGGCTTTTCACAGATGCAGACAGTGGGCCTGAAAAGTGTGTGTGTTCTGACAGATGCAGGTGTTGATGACAAAGCACTGTAAATACCAGTTGTTTTCTCACAAAACCTTTTTTTTGGGGGTAACATATATATATATATATACGCAACTATCCTCTATATATATATATATATATATATATGTATATATATATACATGGTATTTGTTCCAATTGGTTCAAGCTTGCCAGCCCTCCTCACTCGCTCACTCAACCTGCCCTTCTGCTGAGACAAGGTTTTCTTGGCAAAGGTGGCACTACTTCCAGGGGGTTGGTTCCCTTTCAAGCAGCCCCCAGTTACCCTCCAAAACAGGCGCACCCATAGTATGTGCCATGGAAGCTGGTCATGGCTCCTTTGAAATCCATGCCCGGCATCTGTAGGGCTGCACGCCCGGCACCGGCCAAGGAGCCCAACTTTTGACGTGCCCAAAAGGGGCCTTGCAAAACGCCTCGTGCCATGACTGTCCCAACTAGAGTGCCGCTAAGCGAGAGCTACCATGCCAGTGGAAAAGATGTTACGAGCAAACACAGAACTACGTGTCACAAGAATCACATGTCCGCATGTTTCCCCGTTGAACAGCATCACATGCACTGTTTGCCACCAATCAACGAGCCTGTTGTTTTTCCCAATCGCATTCAGAAAAGAAGCGCGATACATGTCACACCTACCAACATGGCCATATTTTCTCCCCCCCAACCCCCACACAACGCAACACAGCTTGGCTGCTTCCTTGCCCGGAACCGTTCGACATCTAAGCGACTCAGACGACTTCAACCAAACCAAACAAAAGGTCCCACTTGCCATGAGGATTTATTCCCACCGCGCACTTCGGCAGATCTGGGATCCGCTTTGCGAGAAAATAGATCGCTAATCATCCTGCTTTGCGATCCGAAAGATAAAACCGTATGGCTTTGGGTCAAAACCCCGTACCCCCAGTGAACATCCCAATTCTCACTAAAATAGGTTCTAAAATGGACCCCAAAATGGTACCATTGGTGTTGACCCACAGCCGTATCCGTGACGACTTCCAAGGAACCTCGGCAGGCCCATCTTGCTGGCTACTCGCTGGATCTCTATCAGCACCTTCACCTGAAAGGCGCTCTCGACTTGAGTGGCAGAGGGCGGGGGGCCTATGGATTCGAGTGAAACCTTTGCTCCTTGAAGCAACCTAAAACAAGTATTATTAGTATGAAAAGAAAAAGGAGAAAGATTAAAAAAAGAAAAACACTTGGATGACCCCACTTGGATGAGTGGTCCCTCCTGATAACTCCTGAGCTTCCCAGGCAAAGTGGGAGATATCCCTCTTCCAACCGCAGCTTGGGTTCCGCGCCTTGAACCGTCGGATGCCCGACTTCTCAATGAGACCTCGGGAGGTTTCGGGGTGCCCCCCGCTCGACCCCGGGAAACGAACCGCAGGCTGCAGCCTGAAAAAAACCCACGGCACTTAGTGACTTGAATCGAGGCAACTCTTGCAGACCGTAGGTTTTCATCACCGCCCTCTCTACTCTTTTTGAGGCGTTTCACGAAGAATGCACACAATTTCGGTCTGGGTCGTGCAATTGCACAGACAACAAGGCGCAATCCACGCAATGGAGGTGATCACCAGGATCATCCAGTCTGGGTGCAGTTCTGCCCCAACGAAATTGTTTGCGAGGCAGTCGTGCCAAAATGTAAATTAAGAAACAAAAAAACAACTGCATCACCAACATCATCCAGTCTTCTGCTTGGTGCAGGGTGCGGTTCTGAAGCAACAAAAATCAAAATACTACTCAGACATGACCTGCGCAAGCCTTGTTGGCATCCTTTTGCAACCTGTGTCAAGCATGGTTCAGCATCAGAAGCTGACGCATCTGGGAAAATTCCAAAAGCACAAGCCTGGATAGCCAAGCTGATGTTGCTTTCCAAACGCTTTGCGCCAGAAACGTCGATCCAGGAAGCCAAAATACCGGTTGACCACCAGAACCTCCCGAAGTCGAGTGGCAACCAAATCTAGAAAACCGTTTGGAGATGACTTTTGTGGATCCGAAATCAGGGCCCCAGGACCAAAAGCAAACATGTTTGGCGCCACTATTTGGAGAAACACTCACCTGTTGTGCATTTCAAGGGCGGGAGGGGTGGTTTGAAAGCAGAACCTTTTGGGAAAGCAACACTTCGCATAGTCACGAATTGGGTCCTTTGCATCGTTTGTCAGGGAGATAGGGTGAGGAGAGGGATGAGTGAGTGGGAAGAGTGTCTGTGGGTCGCTTCTTTCGTGATTCCTTACCCAACAGCGACCCAATCCTCTTCCTCAAGACCTGACCGCGGGCGGGAGGGAAGGTGTGAGTGAAGAGATAGAGGGAGTGGGTGTTAGGTGTCTCTTGGAACCTTTCTGTCAACATTCCTAAGATTATGAAAGTAACTAGAAATGGAAAGGTTATTACGAAAGAAGAATGACATGAAAGAAACCAAATAATAAAAACATAAGAAAAAGATAATAAAAATAAGATCATAAAGTAAAAGAAAGATGATAGGAAAAGAAAATAACAATGCAAATAAAAGAAAAAGAATAATTACCCCGGCACGAGACCCCAAACAGTGATAGGCGGCGGTCACACGCTGCAGAGTATTGTGCGGGCTGCGCCGCAAAACGGCGGTTGCTGTCAGGAAGCTGCAACATTATTTTGCGGTATTTGCGCGCACATTCACAAAGACAAGGACACGGCCTGGAACAGACACGCGCAAGAGAATGCAGCAGACACGTGTCGAAGCCAGCGCCATGGTCGTGTGTGCTTGTGTGCGTGCGTGCGTGCGTGCGTGCGTGCGTGCGTGCGTGCGTGCGTGCGTGCGTGCGTGCGTGCGTGCGTGCGTGCGTGCGTGCGCGCGTGCGTGCGTGCGTGCGTGCGTGCGTGCGTGCGTGCGTGCGTGCGTGCGTGCGTGGGTGGGTGGGTGGGTGGGTGGGTGGGTGGGTGGGTGGGTGGGTGTGTGTGTGTAAGCATCACTACAAAAGGCAAGATCTGTGTGTTTGTTTCACCAGAGTGCCTGAGTTAGTGAGTTAGCTAGCTAGGTAGCTTCTTGCTTTGTTCTCGATTGTGGCGCTGTTGCTGTTGCTGTTGCTGTTTTTGGGTGTTGTTGTTCAGAGTACCATCGAGACGCCGTCGCAGCACAGAAGCACCATCCAAGCATGCCCAAAGAAAGGGAAACAAGCTCGCGCGGACAGGGCGGGAATCGAGCCCGGGACCTTTCGCCGGAAACCCGTGCCGCCGGACCACGAGACAAAACCCCCACGGTCCCCGGAGCCGCCAAAAAAGCAAAAAAATCGAGTTTGTGCGAGCCTGCGCAGTCGAAACGCACTTCAACATCAAGCAAGAGCAAGAATCTGCGGTAAATACCACGCGAAACGCTCGCGGACAGAAGTCGCCAACTCACTTTGTGCGAGCCTGCGCAATCGAAACGCATTTCAACATCAAGCAAAAGCACGAATCTGCGGTAAATACCACGCGAAACGCTCGCGGCCAGAAGTCGCCAACTCACTTTGTGCGAGCCTGCGCAGTCAAAACGCACTTCGACATCAAGCAAGAGCACGAATCTGCGGTAAATACCACGCAAAACGCTCGCGGCCAGAAGTCGCCAACTCACTTTGTGCGAGCCTGCGCAGTCAAAACGCACTTCGACATCAAGCAAGAGCACGAATCTGCGGTAAATACCACGCAAAACGCTCGCGGCCAGAGCGGGCACCTCAATCTGGCACCAAGGCCTTCTCTCTTACCGTAAGAACCCCTTAGTGTAGACACACTGTTTGGGGAAAAAGAGAAGAAAGAAGAAGACAGAAGGTGTAATAAAGATGGATTGGAGAGATATGTAAAAAGCCAATTAAAGATTTTTGTACCAGTTGGTAAAGATATTAAGATTGCAACTCCTGTAAAATAAGCTCTTGTATCACTTTCTAAACCTACAGTATACATATGATGTCCCCAAACAAGACTTCCAAGAAGAGAAATAGATGACATGGCAAAGATCATTGATTGCTTAGCAAAGATTATTAACTGTAAAATCCCAGAAATTATTATGGAAATGATCCCAAATGCAGGAATTATCCGCCGACATTGCTCGGCGTGTCGGATACTTACTAGAGGATAGAGGATAACCCCCCCCCTAACCCCCCCCCGCCCGACGTCTATTACGTAGGTTTTTTTTGGGGGGGGGGGGTCCCCCACGTACCGCGCGGCAATTTGATGACGTTCCACTAAACGTAGTCTTCGGGGAGCCGGTGTCGCAAAACAGGGGTCCCAGGCTCGATTCCCCCTGCCGGCTTTTTTGCTGGCTTGGGCTTCCTGCATCCTTTTGCCGAAAATCTGGAAAAACTCAATGTTTTTGGACGTCCTCTTTGCGAAAACGCTGGAAAAACCGTGTTTTTTTTGCGGGAAATACTGGGGAGCAAAGGGGAAGTGCAAGGATACATACATACATACATACATACATACATACATACATACATTACATACATTACATTACATTACATTGACATTACATACATACATTACATACATACATACATACATACATACATACATACATACATACATACATACATACATACATACATACATACATACATACATACATACATACATACATACATACATACATACATACATACATACATACATTACATTACATTACATTACATTACATTACATTACATTACATTACATTACATACATACATACATACATACATACATACATACATACATACATACATACATACATACATACATACATACATACATACATACATACATACATACATACATACATACATACATA